GGGTGTACCCCTGCTCCATATTATATGCCGGATATGTCACTCAGTCTAGAATGATGCTCATTGTCATTCTAATGTTTATGAATGTTTATGATTACTTCTTTATTGCTAAATACTTACCATATTTTCATGTGTACCGTCGTGATGTACATTTATTCACTCCTATATGTTGTATTTGAGCAAGATGTAAATACACCTGCATTGTCCACATATGTTTCTTTGAAAGCTAGGTGTTTTGTAAATTAACTATTTAAAAAAACCTTAAAAAATTGTTCAAGAAAAAAAAAATTGGAAAAAGAAAGAAAAAAAATATATGTAAAAAAAAAAAAAAAAAAAAAAAAAATCACAAACTGACTAAAGTTAAAAAAGAAAAAAAAATCACAAACTGATTAAAAAACAAAAAACAAACAAAACAAACAAAAAAAAAAAAAGAAAAAAATTTGATAAAATAAAAGAAAATAGATTAGTTAAATATCTTCAGTTCAAATAACGAATTAGTGCAATAATACATGTATCGCCTGTGTTAGTAGGCGTACATTGTTGAATGTCTCAGAAATAGATCCATTTCTTTTGGGAATCTTTGATGCATCTAATAAGTACTGAATTTGAGTCACCCGGATTGCAAAAAAAAATCTTTATTTTTGTATGAATTAATATATTTGATGTGTTGTACCTATATGTTACTGATACCAAGCAGAGCCAAGTCTGATGACCTTTAATCTCTTTTATTATGATGATTTCAGAAGTACTAATTTTCTTACAGTATTGGAGGATGTCAACTGAAGATAAGAAACAGCATGCAATCATGAACTTCAAAGTGCCTGATAACTATTAATTTAGTTTATGTATTCAAACATTTATTTTGCATTCATTCCAACCAACGTTTATGAGAAACGTTTACCCCCAAAACTTCCTTTTTATTGTTATTCTACATGTATGGGAATGATCTGCAATGTTCCATAATGACTCCATTGCTGAGTTTCGAGTAAAAAAGTATTGTGAGAACTAGCTTGGATACTTGGCTATCCCCTCATTATTTTCAACTTTTTCGAGTACTGGTCAATATTGAAATACAAATATGTCTTTCTTATTATGTGAACTTAGTTTGATTATGATATGAACCAATGAAAAATCTTGGGCAAGTTTTTATATTACTTTGCATTATATCATCCTGACTGATTGAGCCACAAGGGCAATAGACTCTTGTACTTTGATTAACACAGAGTTAATGTTCTTAGGGCTCCAAACAGACAATACATGTAGATATATTATCCTTGATGATATAAAGTTATTTATACATGTTCATGTGTCGTATATCTGTGAAAAATAAAGAGAGCGACTTTTTCATTTTTTTTCTTTCTCCAAAAAGCTTATGGAAAGTAGGGTGGCTCAATAAACTTGGCCATCCCACTTTTCCCTCCAAAAGGACTTTTGGGCACTTTCCTTACTTCCTTCAGTAAGGTTTCATACACCTTGCTGGTGTATGGAACCTATTTGGGGGTTATCTTATAAGACACCCCAAAATAGGATGCAAATCCATTAATGGCAATGAACATATTTACTGATTTACAGTACATGTGTACTGTATCATTGGCCCAAATCTTCTATATACCACATGAATGCATATATTTTCATAGACATCAAATTTTTTTCGCCCCCCCCCCCCCCCGGCACAGACAACAACAAACACTTCCATGATATTAAAAACAGATATTTTCTGTTTCTATATAAGGCTTTTAATTAGCTGTTTAAATTAAAAACAGAACAATCAGCTGCATGTGAGTAATTTTTGTAAATAATCTGAATCTTTTGTTATGTTTTGAAATGTTCTTCTAAATAATCACATTTATAGATGAAAGTTTTTTGTTTTTGTTTACAGTTCAGTTGTAATTTAACTCATGAAGCATGTACATGTGCATTTTGCTTGCTTTTATTTTATATTGCATTGTAAATATAGTTAAATAGATGTAGATTTATGCATAGTATAGTAGTAGTCGTAGTAGTAGTTAGACTTTATTGGATAACTTGTTTAGCACAGGGCTAATCTGCCAGAAATATTATTACTTAATTTAGAGGACAAAATGAAAGAGGGGGGGGGGGGGAGGGACATTACATGATTTCAAATTAATTTGTTAAATAAAGTACTGATAAGTGAAATTTTCTTGCATTTGAAAGAGATTTTCAAATTCCTTCTTGGTTTAGTTCATTTTAATATATTCCTTATTCATTTAGGATAATTTGATGATTCTTTAGAATTCATGTACTCCAAAGAATAAAATAGAGGCTCAGAGGAACTTTATTCATTTTGAAAAAGCCAAGTGTAAAACTTGACACCTTTCAAAACCTAAATTGCAGTAACAATTAACACATCTATGCATTTATATACATTGGCAAGAAACATTCCTTATACTAGTTGCAATTATATACCGTGATATATATATATATATATATATTTACAATTATTATAAAAATTGTAAAACTGTATTCTACTAGAGTATACTTCCCTAAACGAGGATCTATTTACACTCAAAACTATTTACACTAAAAATACTTTGGATTATACCAGTTTTTAAATATATAACCATTACATTTACAACAAATACATTTAAGGGAATTAATATTCATATTTATCCAGTTTTTATTTACAGGCTTCCCGCTCTGCAATCCTCAATCCTGATGTCATCAATGGAAGATGCGAGTTGGAAGACGAGTCATTGGCAGTCAACTCTTCCGCTGTAGTTGTATTCCAGAGTACATTTATTACAATGCACTTCCAGAAACAAAACAAAACAAAAATGGAGGGATTTTTGAAAGAAGAGGTGATATCTTCTCGTCTTTATCGTGATCCTAGAGGTCTCATTGTTGAGTGATAAAAATCACTCGACTGGGGATGCAAAGACCCTGCAATATGACACTTACAATTGGTTAAAATCTCAGAATAGGGCCTTCAAAGACAATTAGTTGATGTTGTTGCGATTAATGGCGTTTCCATCGTCATTCGATGATTTCCGCAAGACTTGCCTTATTTTGTAGACTCGTGATAGTAGACCAAGTGCGTTCATTAGAATTCACACCCACCACATTTATCCATGTAGTCTGTTTTATATAGTTTTAGTGTTATTTGAAAATACATTTTCGCTGTATATAAAAGTTCTGCAAATTTCTAGCCATTATATGTAAAAGTATTGCAGTTATGTTTGTTTGAATTATTAAAATTACTTGCAAAATCAGCGAAACCAGTTTTGTTTTCTCTTTGCATTTCCTTTCATGTTTTCCTATGATGTGTACCAAGATATTTTGAAATAAATTTTAAAATCTTATCACAGAAGACTAATTACTTTAATATCTACAAATTTGTAAAATCAGAGTGTACATGTACTATGAACTCTTCAAAATAGAGGGAGGCTTAAAATGCACTACATGTATACAGTATCTGTTTTCATATGCTATCTAGAATAGTTAACCATCTACATTGTATGAAAGATCAATTTATTTTAGTTCCTTTTTGAAAATAAATAGGTTTAAGTTTAAAGTATTTTTTTTGTGTACAACTTTTTCTTATGGAACTGCCTTTCAAGATTCTACTGCTGTAGCAGTGTAAAGAGGCTTATTTCACTGAAATACGTTCTCACATACAAATTAGTCTCCGCCTATGGTGTGCATTCCATGTTGGGAAGTCTTTATTTATACAAATATTGAAAGGGGGGATTCAAGGGAGGAATGCATGTGATAGATGTAAAATTATTTGACCAGACTGATAACTGTTGTCAAATTAGCTTTCAAAGAAAATTTATAAAATAATTTATTTAGTCTATAAGTACCCCAAAAATATATGTGTGTATGAGAGATTGGGTATTTCTTTGCCTCAGATTCTAAACAAAATCCTGGATTTAGCTCATGCTGCAATCGTATTTATAAACCTTTAGGTCAGCCAGGACCCCATGACTTATACAAGCCCATCACTAGCTGTCTGATATGATTGAAATTAGGAATGTCAAAAACTGTATGCCAAACAGTTTTTTTATAACCCAGCAATCTATTGGGAAAAATGAGTAGGGTATTTAAAACCAGTCACTCAAAAAACAATCAATTTTTTGAAGCGCAATGCTTGTATGGCTTCAATATTGCACCATATCACAGATAAGTACTGATGCATCTCAGATTTGTAAAACTGGAAACGTTGTTGATAAATGCCTTAAATGTTGAGGAAAAAATACTGAATTACACAGCTACTCACCAGTAGCTGGCCATCAAAAATCCTATGAACAATTTACTTTTGCAGAACCCAAATGTTGGAATTCCCTTGCCAATGATTTGAAAGAGAGACCCACTCAATATTTTTTTCAGTAATGCAACGTTATTTTCTCCGGCAGTGTAAAATGATTATTTTTGTCAATGTATTATTGTTCATTTTTTCATCTCGCATCCATGCCTAGCATTTCAGAATTTACCAGTCCCATCTTACTCCATACTAACCTCTCCTCTCTCCTTTGCTTTACTTCTCACTTCATCTCTCTGCCTCGCCCCCCCCCCCCCTTCTCTCTTCATCTACCCATTTTTTTTTTCTCCCCCCCCCCCCCCTCCCTCCCTTTATTCCTCTATCAACCTAAAGCTGTAACATATTGTATTTTGTTTCATTTCTCTTTTTGTCTTGGTTTAGTGTATTCATTTGTTTTTTTTCTGTACATGTACCCTACTTATTTCATGATTTACAGAACATTCATTCTTTCATGTTATTAATTATAATGATTCAGGATTATTTACTTCCATACATGTATAATCTTAAGAAATGTCAATGTTTTGTTAAATGTATTACTAGTATGCATTTTTTGCATGGAATATGATTAAAAGCAACCAATGAACAACAACAATCATCAAGTCCAGCCCACATTTACAATATCTTTGCTAAAAAGCTGTCTCGACATTACTATAAAAAAAACAAGCACACTTCACAATCGACCACCATATCACTGTCATCTTAAATAGAGTCAAACGCACAGATGAAATTTATCATGAAAATTGTTTATTATACAAAAGAAATCCTATCAGTCCAATGACAAAAAATACTTGACAAGTTAAGGATGTACAAAAAATCCAAGAACATTTACAGGGATCCCTCCAATGATTTCATTTACAAAGTAGGTATATAACGATGACAGGTGCCGAGTGCTGATTTGTCAAAAATATAAAACTTGTGAAGTTTAAAACCAAATGATTCTTGTAATGAAATCCCTGAATGACTTGAGGAACAGAGTGAATTTGAGTCTTATTTTCCTCAATACACAATCCTCCTTCAAACATTACCTCAAAAATAATAACTGTGTCATAAAAATCACATTAAAAAATGATTGAAGAAGAATCCAAATATTTTGTACCCAACAGATGTATTTTTACTCTGACTTTCATCTTTCCACAAACAAATTTCCATTAACATAATTATAAACACCTCATTTCCGACATCTGTCATCAATGACTACTCCAAAGCTATTTATGTTGGTGTACCACATATCCCTCTATGATTCGAAGGTTGACGAGTCTTGGCTATGGAAAAGCGTTGGCAATTTACAAAAAAATTACAAATATCATAAGAGGGTATAAAGGAATGTGTAACGCAACAAAGATGCTCTACAAATAAATTATTTTAAAGTTGCCGACGTCTAAGCTAATTCCATGCAATTCACCTGTAACTTCTTGTGGCCCTGAGCATGCAGCCGAGTAATTTTGCAGCACCCTGAAAACATTACATGTATTTTACATCGAGTGCAAGATCTTCATGTAGTATCTGTTCTTAAGGAACAGCTTCCTTCTCCAAATACTATATTTAAAAATAAACCATGACCCAAACCAAATAACATTTATCAAATATTCAGAATGCCTGATGAGCTAAAAGACCAATCATTTGTAAAAATCAGGGTATCAATTCATAAATTTTGTACTTGAAATGTTTTGTTCAGTTTGAGGCTGTTCTTTGACCGACTGTGCACCATAGAAGGACCAATGGAGCTTTCAAGTCCAATATGATGTAGAAGTGTTGCATCCGTTGCAGTACTATTCAGCTGATAAAGAGTTCCAAGAATACAAACCAGCATTGATTCTTAACTGGATGACGATCTCTCACAAAAGATATTAACTATTTACAAACGTGAAGACGGACAATTAACGCTAATTTCTTGGGGGACCTGTATAGAAAGAAAAAAAAAAGGAAAGAAAGTTAATTAATGAATTTTCTTGAACATTTTGAACAATCCCATAAATCATCCCACAATATAAGAAATGCCCATATTAGGGAGCTTATTTTTGTAGTCTGCAAGCATAAGAAAGATAAGAAAAATAATGCTTCTGACACCATGGCAGAGGCACAAATATACCGATAGGATGTTATTCTCAAGTTATTGACATCTTATGAAACAAAAACACATTATCAGGGGATGACTATTTGGACTTCATGTGTCGCATAAATTTGATAAGACACTTTCTCGATGTACAGAAAAACACATGCAGTGAAATGGGTGGACAGAGGATGGAATGGATGATAATCATGATATTAAAAAATTTAAGGGCAGGGGCAGTTTTCTGAAGAGAGAGGGAGATACCTAAATGAAAAATAGTGTGAAAACAGGATAACAAAATTGATAATAACAATTGTCAAAGTTAACTTGGAAGTATTACACCAATTCAAACGGAATACACAGCTCAGACCACATTCCTTGCATTGCATAAATATTGTACTAACAGTAGTTAACATCGTAATTCTTACCTCTCATGCCAGGTGGTGGTCCCATACCCATGGGGGGCATTCCTCGTCCCATTGGGGGTCCTCCTCGGAATCCTGGTGGTCCCATACCGGGCGGTCCCATTCCAGGTGGTCCCATGCCTGTATCAATATAGAGAGATAGAAAGAGAGAGGAGGGTAGGGGATGAGTTACAAGGCACTTTGTGTAAAACAACCATTTAAATTGTCAACTTTCAATTGTCAAATGCACCCCCTCCTGCTCCCCCTTAAAAAAACACCTCTTTAGGAGGTGATGAAAAAAAATGGAACAATGTACAAATACCCCATAAGTTTGAAATAAAGAAAAACAAAAGAATTGAGATGTCAGTCTTCAAGTCATATTTGAAGATTGCCAAGGACACAAACAGTTAATATACAACTGCAATTTCAACTAAAAAACAGAAGACTACATTGAATCTCAAATATTTATTAACAAAATGAAGAAGAAAAAAAAAGATTTCTAAAAAAATGAAGATTGTGAAATTGAAGTTCAATTGAAGAGACAAACAAACAAACCAAAAAAATATATCAAGAGGCAAACAAAATGTGTCTGATTCAACTGAAAACTGCCAGATTCAAAATATTAGGGGTCTGTGTGACCGAGTTGGTCTCTGTTAACATTTTTAAAGTCTAGAGTTAAAATACTAGGCATCCATGGGTACCGGACCCCTGTGGGACATTTTCCACTTCTACAAGCAGCAAACCATTCATAGAAGAATAAAATATATCAAAGAAATGATGATAAACAAGTTTCTTACCTGGAGGTCCCCTGGGTGGTCCCCTTGGGCCTGGATAGCCTCCTGGTCCACCTGTAACAAGACAAACAAATCAGTTGGGTTAATAATGAGAGCTGAAAACTTGGTTTCTCAAACCAAAAGACCTTGATGATTATTGTTCTAGATATATAAAATTGGAAGGAATTATCCTCTGGGGAAACAAATTTCATAAATCCCTCTTATCATGATCATCACCGTCATCATCATAACCACCACCATCGCCACCTTGTGATTATTATTTCCATACAATGAGATAACAATGGTCAAATGCTAAGCTCACTCTATTCTATGTCAGTTACATTTGGTAGAAGTATTATCCATGATAGAAAGTGTGAACACCTAAATTTTAATTACATGTACATTGCATTGATTCATAATCAAATATACTCACTTGCCCAATAATAATTTGTATAATTAAAAGAATTATTATAATCATACTCTCTTGCCTAGCTCTATACATTATAGCACAGATTTTCGGATGTGTTTCTCAACATTGAAAATGAAACACATCCAAGAATCTGTGATATGGTTAGTACACAAAGTTGCCACACCCATGTCCTTACCCATAGGTGTCATATGTGATTGTGATGGGCCGCCGACGCCCCTGACTGGTCCTGCCAGTCCTGCTGGTGCGGACATTGAGGCAGAGGCTGCGGGGATACCACGCCCTGCTGCACGAGCCATACCTGGTCCACTGCCACCACCGGGCATGGGGACCCTAGGACCCTGTGGAGAAAAAAAGATACAAACAGTGGTTTTGACGTTATAAATCATAGAAATGCGGACCCCAAATATTTTTAAAAAAATCTTCTAAACTTGCCCTCATGAAGAATGTGACATGTCATAATTTTCATGAGTTCATATATGACATTCACAAGGAATAATCTTATGGTCATTGATTATTTTTTTCTCTCCCTCTTTTGCATTTCCTCAGCAATGGAAAATGATAAATTTAAATGGAATTAATCAAACAAGTCATTGTTCTTTTAATCTTTTTCATTATCATGATATCTTCCTCACATTTTTTTTCCTCAGCAATCAAAATTGTATCATACAGGTGTATATGTACTTTACAATGTCATCAATGAATATCATATTACCTCGGTGTCAAATAAAACAACCAGTCTTCATGTGATGATTATCAATTTTGATGCATCCATGTTTATTAAATCCTGTCTCACTAACACAGAGAAACCAAGTCTTGTCTTTTTATTTTGTTTTCTGTATCATTATTCTCGTTGGGATAAGATATTTTTTTTGTTTTTCAGTGATCTGATGCTATTGGATTTCAAGAAAAAAATCTGGTAATGTTTCCACAATACTTGTTTTGTGAAACACTTTGCGGACAAGTCGAGCAACAGCATGAAGATGTTGTTGATCTTGTAGTTTCGTGAAACAACCCCCTGAAACCAGAGCAAAACATTGCCTGATGGTTGGTTCACAATGAGGCTAAAACAAAAAACACTTACTGAATCTTTTGCTGGTCCTTCTACTGTCATGGAAACAAGATGCTCTCCTCTGAGCAGGACTAGACCTAGTACTCTCTTCTCCTCTTTGGCAGGGGCTTTGGCACTCTTAGCTCGGAGTTTCCTGAACTCCTCGCAGTCACCCAGAACGATGTTCATGTGTTTGTCAAAGGCAAGGAATGTGCCTGTGTGGATAAAACATATTTCATTCAGATCAAACATACAATCAAATCCATCCAGAGTGGTCACCTATACAGACTCCTTCTATGAAGGAACATGTACTGTTATACCTGTCTAGACAGGACACCTGTCTACAGTGGTCATTTTTTTCTGCTTCCCATAGGTAGACAGGAAAATATATACCTTTCACTGTCTCAACTGCACTATCAATTCACAAAGAATATTGTTCATGTGTTTGTTAAAAGGCAACAAATGTGCCTGTATGGAAAAAAGAGGAAGATACATTAATTTCATTCAGCTTAAACATACTTTTTCACAGCCCCCATTATAATGCTCATCACACTTCAAACTTCTCTCTACAATATTATACTATCAAGTTATCACAAACAATGATTTTCAACTCCTTAAATGCCATATTAGTGCCAGAGTCGAGTACGAAATGTTGTTCATCACAAACATATTGGCCAGCTTCATTTCTTCTCTCCTCTTCTCAAAGCATTAATATTCCTCTCACCAATGAATGTGCGTCCATCCTGCAGGTTGACTCTCATCCTGTAGTTGATGTACTGCACCATCTTAGAAGTCCTGCCCACCACCTACAGGGAAAAAGGAAAAAGAAAGAAAAAAACACGACTTCATCAAATGGAGGTCCATAATGATTTACCAAGATTTAATCCAACATTCTACTGACAGATTGCCGTGATAACGTTATTACAAACTCGTAGCTCGTGCACAGTTTTTCCTTCATAATCATTTGCTTTGCGCGTAGAATAGAAGGGATGAAATTAAGATGACGTCATGCGCATCGAGAGTTTAAAGCTTATCTGCCATAGTTTACAGGAGGGATTAGACCGCCCTGCAAGGTCACTGGACAGGTGGTTATCTCATCAACTCAGCTCTCAGTTAACATAAGAAAAAGAGGATCATGGGGGACCAATGGTCACCGATTAGGCATTGTTTGTTATATAGAGGGCGCAAGTAGCTACAAGTAGTGCAGTGGGCCTTTAAAATACGGCTGCAAGATTTTCAACATGGATGTCAATTTTGACCAATAATTTCCTGAAAATGGACCATTAAACAGATTTATTCAGTCAAGATGGTAAGTGGAACCGATGTATTATAGCCTAGGCCTAATTTACAATATAAAATAAATCGAGTATGCATCCGGTAAAATATCAAAATGAGGCATAGAGTAAAGGAGGGGGTAATCGGCCGTCGGCAGTTTTAGGATGCATGTTTTTTAATGCATGGTAAAATCCCATTAAAATACATTGCATCATAGTTATCCCACACATACCAAAACATGCCAGAGTCACTGGAGAACCACATTTGCAATGGAAAATATATCCTTAAATATCACATTTTAGCGATGTAATCGGCAGTCCTGCTCCTCGAATCTGAAAAATCAAGTATCTTACGCGTGTTTGTAAGGAATATGGGTACCATAAAATGAGCTTTATTTCAAGTATTTTTCAGATTTAGAGCCTGATTTTGTGTGAGTCGCAAGCTCAAAAGTATCTCGTCGTAGGTATTAAATCAATGCAGCCGGACACTGCACACACGATATCTCTCTCTAATTCACATTCCAATTTCCGATCAGCGCAAAGATATTTTCGGCATGGCGAGCTCTGGCGTGGGATACCTGCTCGTCCGCTAGAGCTATAGATCAGCGGGGAAACGCACAGCGCGCGTGCTTCCCATTGACTTTGTACATTTCGGGCGCTACTTTTCAAGCTTGCCTGCATAAAAATAACACTCTAAAAATCTTTTGCATTGAACTCTATGCAAATGTAAGGGAGCTCTTTTGGGCATTTCGGGGGCAAATTCGCCCTGAGCCCCCGTGTATTTTTTTCACTGCTAGGCCCCCTCCCACACTCCCTCGTTGCGCTTGGTCCGGCTTGGTCGCTTCGCTCCCTCTCCAACAGGGGCGCTGGTCCGTGAATGAGGATCGTCTTCATAAACAAGGATCGTCTTTGTAAACGCAGACCGATGCGTCCTCAAAAATAAGGATCGCCTGCATTTTTGCAGACGTCTCATATTTTTGATCGGCGCATTGCCGATCCAAAAAACGGATTGCGCAATGATTTTCTCGATGCATTTTACATAGGCTTGAGTCGGTACGGTCGGTCACACCGGGACCCGACCGTTGCCGTCGGGTCCCGGTTTCGTTTTTTGAGAACCGACGCTCCGAAAAAAATAATGAAATATGTAAGAAATGGCAGTTTTGCACACCACTAAAATCAATCCACCTTAAAACTTAAGTTTTTAATTGTTACCAATCATATTCTAGCTCATCCTGAATCAATCCGAACTGCTGATATAAATATGGGTTGCAAAGCAGTTCGCCCCATGGGGTTGTTGTTGCCAGCTAGCATGCTAGCTAGCTACTGTACTGGCCGGGTCTCTCGGCAGGATTATTAAATCAGGTTGAAAGAAACATTAATGTTTGAATATAAAACGACTTTCTAAAAAGTACTTCTTTACAACATACCGATCGAACAATTTTTAAAAGACAAAATAGATATTTTTTCTTTGATTTTGAACACCGCATGCTTCTTTTTAAAGCTGAAAATTACTTGGTAATCACAAGAAGTTTCGATACGGATAGCTGTTGCAAGGCAAGTTGAGACTAGTCTCGGAAAAATGCGCAGTGCACCTCGTTAGCTGTAATGCGTGCCAGAACGAACCCAAACAAAGACGTGATCGTAACGAGAAAAAAATCATTAAAAACTACGAGAGCACAATTGGAAAGACAACTACTCAAAATTATCGTAAGCTGATACATAACTTGGAGGAAGAATACAATAGTTGTCCAAGAAAAGCCACAGAAATTGTGATATTTAAGGAGTTACTATAGGTACAATCATTATCGGAAGGGCCTAGCTGCTGCGATATCCGAATTACACGTGTTTAAATTGAACACGAGGCTAGAAACCAAATAAGGCCCTCTACGGTAAAAAGCAGTATATAAAGGATTCAAGTATTCGCAGTAGGCCCCTTGCGATAAAAATGTACCCAGTTACTCCTCGATTATCACAATTTCTGTGGCATTTCTTGGGCGATAATTAAATTCTTTGTCCAAGTTATCTATCTGATTATGGTAATTTTGAGCAGTAGTTGTCTTTCCAATTGTGCTCTCGTAGTTTTTAATGATTTTTTTTTCTCGTTACGATCACGTCTTTGTTTGGGTTCGTTCTGGCACGCATTACAGCTAATTACGAGGAGCACTGCGCATTTTTCCGAGACTAGTCTCAACTTGCCTTGCAACAGCTATCCGTATCGAAACTTCTTGTGATTACCAAGTAATTTTCAACTTTAAAAACAAGCATGCGATGTTTAAAATAAGAGATAAATATTTATTTTGTCTTTAAAATATTATATGATCGGTATATTGTACAGAAGAATTTTTTAGAAAGCCGTTTTCTTATTATAACATTCATATTTTTTGACCAGATTTATTCAACCTGCATAAATCAAAATGGCGGCTCCAATGTTGTTTTTCCATTTCTGCCCTAGTTTTTTTTACTTTTAGAGGCACGATAATGGCACTAAACATCGCCAATCATGGATGAAAAAAATGTCAAATGGAAGAATATACCGATCTGGGCCGAGGTATGCATGTGTTGATTTATTTGATTGATAAAAAAATTCACTTTTAAGGGACATACTGATGATATTAGCTTTTTATAGAGGCAAGTGACAAATCCTGCGAGCTGATTTCGGGACACCGGGTCCCGATCGGTGCAACGCCGTCGGGACCCGGTTTATGAAAATCCCGACATGACTCAGGCCTAATTTTACATCGACTTTGTACATCGACTTTCACATTATGAGCAATAAATCCTTGGGAAGACGGACAACCCATAAAATTAGATGGTGAACTAGGGTTATTTTCCTCTGGGGAATCCATTTTTGGCATTGCCAGCGGGCGGTTCGGTAACCCGAAACCCCCGGAGCGCCGATGAAAAAAAACGTCCGCGAAAATGCAGACGGTCCTTATTTTTGAGGACGCATTTTGTCTGCGTTTATGAGGATATCCTCGTTTTTGAGGACGATCCTCATTCTCAGACCAGCACCCCTCAATACTTTCAACTGTTTTACAATGTTGACAGATCTGGGATGGTGACGTTTTAAGGTCGGTCCTCAGGCGTAAATAATCAGATTTGATTGATACACTTCTGTTAAAACCCAATGCACACACACACACACACACATTCTTGCCGATAATATCGATCTCACGAGATATCTATCTAGAGTCTACATCTATAATCTAGATCTAGATCTAGTAATAGGGTGTCTGATCGCGCACCCGATGTTGTGTGCTAAAATTCTTCCCATAGAGATTACACGCATCCCTATGCAGCCTACGTGCATTGCGCGACCATGCAAAAAAAGTCAATTTTTTTTTTTCAAATCGAGATTCAAACCTTTATCAGTTGTGATCCTGAAGGTGATAATCAATGAATGAGGTGTCATATGAAAGAGCAGGTGAATTCCAATATTTCCAAAGGGGCGTAGCCCCCGAAATTCTAAAAATATCTTGGTCAAAACAGCAATTTAAACATTGTGTCCTGGCTAACTCTGAGGTTTGTCACTTTTGAGATATGACGCCCCGATCGATAAGTAGGCCCAGTCCTAAGGAACAATTCTATGTGATTATATTTTCGCTAGCCCCCAGGGATCACAACTGATAACAGTTTAAAAATACCCTTCTCGCTATTTGGTGGATCAGCTAATTAGGAGGCGTGCGCTCCGCTCAGTCCAAACCATGGTTACATCGCGTAACATCTCCGCGCACGAACGAAACCCCAAATTATAGTGACTGAAATTATGGTTGGCAATTCCCTCGATAAACCCGGAAGTGAATACACGTTATAGTCAATGGCAATATCGCGGAGACAACGTGCGTTGTCTCCGCGATATTGCCATTGACTATAACGTGCATTCACTTCCGGGTTTATTGTGCGACGAACGCCAACCATACTAGTCAATCGCACATGTCGCGGAGACAGCGTAGCTCAAGCTGCAAGTCGCGGATTGGCTTAGCAGCATGCGTACGATATGCATACGCTTGCATATCGCGCGATACAGCTGTTTGGCTAAATTTAGCAAAACAACATCACTCTGCGTGGACGTCTTTTTCGTCGATTTTGACCAAAATGATATGAATATACCAGCGTGTTGGAGGGGCTGTAACTTTTGATAGAAACATCGGTGAGACTTGAAATTTGAAATGTATTATTCTGATAACATTTTTTATTCAAATATCAAACAAAAATGGTGAAAAACGATCCCAAATTGAAAATTGAAAAATCGTTCAGACACCCTACTAGTAACTAGGCTAGCTCTTCATGCAACATTTTAGGAAGATCAGAGACATCTCCGTAGCGTAGTCATGGTAGTTGGCGGATAAAGTTACGACAGTCTTGTTGTTGGTTTCTAGGAACGAGCCCCAGTATTCTAATTACACTTTTCTTCCAAATGTAAATCATTCAAAGTATGAGGTCAAATATTTCCTCGATCTCAAGATACATTTTGATGAAGACAGCAAAACATACACAAAAACCTATATGTGGGGCACTGTACTATACTAAAATTGCACTTCCGTGGATTATCACTAATTGTGAAGTAAATACATTACATACAACATAAATATGGATATATTCTATTTCGAGTATCTATGTTTAACACATTAAACTTTTCTTACCATTTTAAGAGATTGTTATTGCCCCGATGTAGAAGGATATTCGGCGCTTTCGTCAATCGTCGCAAACATCCACAAAACGACACGCTCACAAGATATCACAGACGCCGCGTTAGAAATATAACCAATCACAGTTTGCAGCTCAAGTCTACCTCTTGTCGTGTGAAAGTTACAAGCACATTGATTGGTCATTCAACACAACAAAGATGGCAGCGCCCATGGTCGTGTAATTCTTGTCCCTGTCGAATACAAAGATTACTCTTAAGTTTTTTTGACATACTTCATCGGTCTGTTTAAACATTCGTCACTTCAAATGGATGAAGATGAATATGGAGATATTGACTGGAACTACGATCAAGCTGTACGTATAGTCTAGTTTTGTTTAATAGTAATACAATAACTCCCATCCCACGTCCACTTTGTCGGCGTTTGCCGCGGGCCAGCCAGCGGCATAGCGGCAGTGGGTAATACCCCCAGGTGGGTGGTCGGCGCTTGTTCAGAAACCTATCCAAAATTTGACCCTACTAAAATATACCCAAAATTAAGTAAATATTCATGAAATGTCCAAGTAAAGATCATGAGTTAAAATTTGTTATGTTAGGTCTAGATCTAGATCTACTTTATTTTATTTACTGTTTCGTGACAATTTTCTTGTTATTTTTGGAGTAGTCTAGATCTAGACCTATTTTTCAGAAAAACATTGATTATTATACACTTTTTCTCAGGGTTCAAGGCAAACCGCTGCACAAAATACAAGTGCATACCGATGGTTGGTAATTGCAGACGGGCACGCGACTGTGTGAAGTTATCTAGATCTACATGTCATGATAATGAGGATCTGAGACATCACGGTAGATAACTAATTCACACAGCACAGGCGGGCACCCGCCCGCAACAACATAGGTATGTAGACTAGACTAGAGTCTTTATGCACTTGTATTTTGTGCAGCGGTTCTGCACCCGCATCCAGTACGGGTAAACGAAACACCCAAAAAGGGTACCTTTTCACTTCAGATTCACATGTTTGACATCGTCGACGTTTTCCGCACAAAAACCAAAAAAGTACTTTTTCCAGTTCACACTTGCAGGTTTCAATGTTTTTTTTTAAAAGGGTCATTTTAGAAAAGGTCCTATACGCCATTATTAAATATTTAGGGTCCATTTCAGAGGTTGCGACCGTAAGACCAACAGGACTAACTTTCCGTATACTGTTGATGTTGATGTTCATGTTGATTCATTTTTGATTGACATGGGTAGCACTTGTGTACAACTAATCTATGCTATGAGAGCTCGAGAGTGACCGCCTGCTTTTTTCTTCAAAAAAAAAAATGAAAACACATGAAAAACATACTGCTAAATGATCTTTTTGAACTTTTTCTGATTTAAAAAATCAATAAAAACATAAATGCCGGTGGCCATCTTCAAAAAATGGCCCGGCGCTAGTTCAGAAGTCTATCCAAAATTTGACATGTACCTCTGGCGTGGAGATACTAACCCTGTAAGTTGGGGCTCTGATCGGATCGGAAGATCGGAGCGACACCCTCGCACCTTTGATCGGTATCGGATCGGAACATCGACAAAAAAAATCAGCCGATTTTTTTTTTTTTTTTTTTTTTTTTTTTTTTTTTTAATGACAAAAAAATTTCAAGTTTTTGGCTATCAAATGCTTAAAAAAAATTCATGGCTGGGATTATTTTGTCATTTAGAGTTGTTGTAGACCATGTTTGTTGATATTTAGTGCCTTTTCATGACTTTGAAATTAATAATATTGGTCTAAGAGCAGAGGCAAAACATGAGATTGGATCTTGGATTATGTAGGTATGCATTATAATCCAAGATGGCGGCCCGCATGTTTTGCCTCTGCTCTTAGACCAACAATATTGAATATATTTTATTTTTAGGCAGCAAATGGCTTTCCATAATGTTTAAAGGGATAGTTGAGTTCTGTTGCAGAGCGGCGCTACACAAAATATTGTTTGTGAGATAATGAAAAACTGAGTGTCATATTTGAAAGAACATACAATTTAAATGACAAAATCATCTTTGTTTGATCAAAATCGTTCAGAGACGGCTGAAATATCCATAAATATAACGATTTCTAATACTTGTGTACCACCACAAATATTAGATAATTTGAAAAAGCCGTTGAAAAAAACGAAATAGCACCTTTTACTTTGCATCTCAGCCAATGCCGATGTTGGCTTTTTAGTTGGCATTTTCGTGTTGGTTATATTACGCACAACCAGCCGGCCCATGTATTGTTATTTTTAATTACCGTATTTTTTTTAAAGTGGAGCTAAATTAGTATGATTGTATTGGCTAAATTTCACACATTTTGGGGTCTAAAATTACTTTCATAGCAATTTTAGGTTCTAAAAGGGCAGTAGAAATGTCAAAGATAAGAATAAGAGCAATAACCATGCACTTTTAAGGCATTTGCGGTCTGAAAACAGAACTCAACTATCCCTTTAAGTCCAACTTAGAGTTAAGTTCGACTTAGGATCTTTGTTAAACACCATTTCAGATATTTGGCTCCCGATCTGCTTTGACTTACGGAATGTCTTTGTCTAGCGTTATATTCGCTCGGTCAGCTCCTTCGTCACCTACAAACTGAAACAGATGGTCCCCTGTTCTAAAATAAGCCACATATTTTTGTAATTTTGGATAGTGACATCAAACGTGATTAATACACATCTTTGAAGAGTCAATTTTAACGTACATTCTCTCTACTCCAGTCGCCCAGTTTCTTTCAGATCACTCTAAAGTCTGGGAATATATATTTTGCTTGTCTGATGATGATGTCATTGTATTGTCCCACTTTTTTTCAGGAAACTGCTGCGGATGAGGATGAGGAAGGAGAAGAAGATGAAGACCCTGATAGATACAAAGAGAATGAAGAGATCACCAAAGAATGCTTGGAAGCCTTCGCCAGTACGGATTACATCATGGAGCCTGGAGTCTTCAAAGATCTCAAGAGGTGAATGGATGTGAACATGTCTCGCTAACTCTACAACTTGGGTTCTACAAACCTTGTTAAGCCATTAGTAAGATGGAAAATAGTCTATGAAGGAAAAGCTCAAGAACATTCCGAGACAGAAAAAAATGAATCTGTGAATGTTAGATGGTGAGGTGAAAAAAAACAACAACAACAACAACACGGGGAAAAACAATAACAAATATTCAAAAGAACAGTACATGTTTGGAGTTGGACACACTCAATCTACAGCCTACATGATAATAGAAATAAAACTCTCTCAAGTCTCTCTTTATATATTATCTTGTAAATAAACTTATAAAGAATATTTGGTAATTGAAGCATATTGTAGGGTCCTGACTTTAGCTGATCTACGTCAAAAACTGCAAGGGGCTGTAGCCACTCACTGTTTGGGCTCAAAGAGGATTTTCTATCTTATTTAGTTTTATTTCAACAGGGTAGCCCCATCAGTAGTTAAAATACTGTTAAACTTGGGGGCCCTGTTCTATTCCACAACACTTCTGGAAATTAGCCTGTGTGTCGTACCCTTTGGTGATACCTTTATTTATATCCACATTAAAATACCCTCCTGCAAGTAAAGGCGCAACAGACATGGACAAGTTCTACATTTCTTCTTTCTTGGTTACTTCTGTTTATCAATGCAGGTATTTCAAGGCAGGTGGGGGCCCGGAACAGGTTGTGGTGTTATTATCAGAGCACTACACGGCTGTCGCTCAGACTGTAAATCTCCTGGCAGAGTGGCTTATATTCACAGGTAGGTGAAAACTCCTGGATAAATCTCATTGCTTTTACAGGTTACTACTCTACAAGACTTGCCGCTTTGGACAAGATTGACCCGCATGTATTGACCAATAATCTTAAAGATAAACTTGAGTTCTGGTAAAAAAAGAAAATGAATTTTCACAGAATTTAACGATCCTTACACTGAATGTTCAAGATTACAAATAAATGTCATGTGCCAAACAATTTTGGAAGAAAATGTATACTGGCTGAGTAATGAGCATAGAAAGATAAGGAAATCAGGGTAGTACTAGCCCTGACACCATGTGTGTTGTCCCATATACATCTTTCTGTGTAAGTGATTGTTACTTTACCAAGACTCTGCCAAATTTCTGATGATTTTGATGACTCCAGAACCTTGCATTACACACCATTACTTACATGCTATATGATCAACTTTTCTGATCCATTCCACACCTTTTTTTTCACAATGCAATCGCATTACCAGAACTCAAGTTTAGCTTTAACTGCTCATGGTAATATTCATGATTGCACTCAGGTACAACATATGGCAGAAGCATCATTTCTAGGAGCTGATAGTTAGCGTAGTATACCATAATACTCTATACAAACTTCATATTTACAGGTGAACACAAATGTTGAAAATTTGGTATAATATATTCATATTTAAATGTACTAACCCCACAGACAGAGGTTAACAAATGGCGGAGAACTGTTTCCAGGTGCTAGTGACGTGTACATATGTATATATATACACTTAGCAACAACAAAAATGTGGACATTATGATAGATATAAACAAATAAATAGTTAATATAAAGTTAAATTTATCTTTTATATATCAAAATATAATTAAATTACTCCTATTTAAGATAATATTGGAATCATACTGTTTGTCAATACAGCAGTGTAGTATGGATTGTTACAACATTTTGTTGAATAAGGTCTATTGTAAATATTCACTTCTGAATGATAAACGCCTATAACCTAAACAACAACAACAATTTATAGACTACCACAGTGCCAATGTCAAGGTATTAGACCCTCCTTTGTTGGTTATCTAATGAAAATAGAGTCCCCCCTCTCCCCTAGCCACTCCTACTACCCATCCTCTCCAACCAGCGCGATAGTTCTCTTTAGATCTCTTTAGAACTATAAGCTCAGGAAAGATTACAAGCAGTCCTTTTCAGGACTATTCACACACTCTTAAGAAAGAAAGATTACAAACAGTCCTTTTCAGGACTCCCCAATCCTTCCCCTCTCTCACATGGTGCAACTGTAAGCCTACTCAGTGTTCAGTGTTCAAGTGAACTACTACAGTGAAGTTGTTAAGTTGCAGAAGTCTTAGAAAGAGTGTGTTCAAATTTATTGTACAGCTACAACAGGCCCAAATTTGGTAAGAATATACTCTCTTTATATCGCAAGTTAGTAGTTCATCTTAGTTATTGTATGATTAAAACTGAAGTTGGTGAGAAAATTGAGTTTTCTAAAAGTTTCTCTCTTAGAATTTGGAAGACAAAGAAAGCGAGATGATGAAGGTTACACTTACAATCTCTCCTATGTGTGGGAGTGTGTGTATATATATATATGCTGTATGAGATGGGTGTAGGGTACGTAGCTTGATTAAACATGCATTGGAAGTGGCGCTCTGGTGGAGCAGTGATTCTCATATGCAGAGTATAATTGCTTAGAGATTCAAGGTATATGTTAGAATGGCATTGACCATATAGTGAATATAGAAGATTATGATCTTGCTTATAGTTATACTTATACGTTAAAGGCAATGTACCTCATCACTAGTATTGATTTACATAAAATGAATGTCAGAATGACGTGTTCATATGGTGATTAGAACCATGTTTATTTGATGCTAGTTCAGAATCATATCCAGACTTTTTGAACACGTTCAACATGTCTGCTTGCTCTATTTTTGCAATTTTCTTAATCAGACCATCTAATAGTAAAGTGATCAAACCTGATCTAGTTGATGTTGGTACTTGGTAGAGTATTAATTTTTTAAGATTTACATTTTATTGGCGCTTTATATCAACATTTTGAACAATAAAGAGTATTCACTTTCTTTTTTTGCAGAGTGTAGTTAACTTGTTTTTTGTTGTTTAGTTTAATGCACCGTTGACCAGTCCTTAATGAAACCTTTGTTTTTGTTTAGGTGTAAACCCAACAGAAGTACAACAAATGGTGGAGGACCATCTCAAAGTGCTGATCGTGAAGCACTTTGATCCTAAGAAAGCCGACACCATCTTCAGTGAAGAAGGAGGGGTGAGTATGGCAGACTCCTGATAGATTGGTGGGAGATGGGTGATTTAGTTTTCTCCTTCAAAACTTGGGTTACACTATGTATTTGTGTATTTCAAGTTCTAACCATTTCAGATAAGTCCTAAATCTGAAGGCAGTAACAAAATAAAAATCAACACCATATGTGTTGTTTATTAAAAATAACGGAATTCATAATACCCCAAAGTTATACTATCAAAATATTTGTCATCTGAATTCAATATCTACATCAATTTGTTTTGTGTAGTTTAAATTCTTTTATTGTTAACATGGTGATTTACCTTTAACAATCTATTAGATAAATTGCAACAGATATGGGTAATTGATCGTGAGACCGACAGAAGGGCATTAGCAGGGGCGCTCCTACTATTTTAGTGTCTTAGGAATTCACTTTCTAAGTTCATGCCCTTCTGCCAGAAGTACAGCCATGAAGTTCAGTTTAATATGTGACAAAATCCAGATTAATGGATGGACCTGTAAATATTCTTTGTCTGTCTCTCTTTTCCTTGCTCAGACTCCAGCATGGTTAGAAGCTATGATTCAGCACCGGACGTGGAGGGCGCTGTTCTATCAGCTGGCTGAATCTTACCCAGACTGCCTCATGTTGAACTTTACTATCAAGGTGAGATATTGACCACTTCATAGTCACATTAGGCCTGTCTTCATCAGCTTGAGATTGCCAAATATCCAAATCGCAAATTATCCAGTTAATTTGCGTCTTCATCAACCCAAAGTTGTAATTAGCGGGATATTTGGTCGAGATAATCATCCCAAGATAGCTTGGGCTAGTTTGCAAAATATCCCGCCATTTGTCCAGTGCATCTTTACCAGCCCACAGACTCACACTGTGCGCGACCGCTGAGAAAAAATATCTTGAGCTGATGAAGACGCGATTTTCCAAGTCAGAAATAGCGGGCTATTAGGCAATCTCGATCTGATGAAGACAGGCCTAAACACTCAAATCAGTCTATCAAAGATCACTGAAAGGGCTACACAAATTGTGGCCCCTGTAGACTGATGACCCTTCTAGACAGGTTCTTTAACACTCGCCTTACAAAGGTAGAGAAGCATAGTTTAATAACAGGTGATGTAGTAGCACATGATGGGGGCAACTTGTTGCTACAGCAGCCAATAAGGCAGGAACAGAGCTCTGTCAAGCTGCTGAGAGCAATAGAGCTCCCAAGCCAAGCATGCTGCAGAAATCTGCTGTCCTGAATGTATTGACAAACCTTATGCTTGCGATGTGTGTGGGTTCTGCAGTGCCAACAGAATTGGACTGTGGAGCCATTCAATAAAACACCAAAGGGTATACCATATCATGTCAGCACTGTTAACGATGGACTGACAATGATGATGATGATCAGTAAGATGCAAACATCCACCCCTTGCTTTTACAGTCTAAACGTCTTCGGTGACCACCTGTCTGTGAAGACAACAATTTTTTTGTCGACTGAAGTGTGTGTCTCATGTATCATAAAAACCTGTACATGACAATAGTATTATTGTCTTCATTGTACAGTCTTTATACACTGGGTGCACATAATTTAGTGTCGATGAACCAGCCTAGAATAGTTGCTAAATCTTCATAAAGTTAACCCCTTGCCTACTGGAACCGATTGATCTCTGTATCAAGCCTATGGGAATTAGATAATTCAGCAGTTAACAGGTTAAGCACCTTCCACTTGTTTTCTCTACAGCTTATATCTGATGCTGGTTTCCAAGGTGAGATTGGGGTTGTTACCACAGCTTGCCATGAGATTGGAGTCTTCTCCAAAGTCCTCCAGACATCCATCAATAAACTCCTAGAGGGAGGGGAGGAGGCCATCGTTAAGCATCTACCAGAATTCAGTGTAAGTCTTTATGTTTTAAGAATAATACATCATTTGAAGGGCCACTTATATACTTAGCTCAAAATGATTAGAAACTACTGTAGGGTTGATATATTATGATATTATTATAATGAACTGAACGTGAGGTAATACATGTCATGTTCAGTGGTTATTATCAAGTTTGCTACATTGTGGAGTATTCAAACACAAGTATTAGAAGTTGAGAGCCGGGTGTGTGTTGTGTTTGTGTAATTGGGGTTTCACAGACATGTATCAATCAGATATGATTATTACATCTGGTGACAGACCTTTAACGTCACCATCCGAAAGACGTTACTCGGTCTCGAACAGGCGTCCGCCTGAGTCAGATTATAGGCGAAGAGAGCGAGAGCTGACCGTATCACGGATATTACCGCTAGACCAACTCACATCTCCGGTGTAGTGTGGACCCTCTTTTATACAGAATGCTACAGCAATGTTAATGTTACAAGTAAAATCCTGAATGAACATCACCTGTATTTCCTGTTTGGGGCCAAAAGTGTATTACCTCATATCATTTCACACAGAGTTAATCCCCTTCTAGTTCCAAACAAGATAATACCCTTTCAATCGATCATCATTATTTGTATGTGATGGGGAGGGACACATATCTCATTGGCATGTATTGTTTTTTGGGGGGCAATATCATCCCCTTCTTCTACCTTACTCCTTCCTCCTGCAGAAAATGGTATGCCATGGTCAGCATACATTCCTGTACGCTGAGGTGATGATGCAGCTACTTGCCAGGCAAGATGGGGGAGAGTCCATCATCAGGAGATTATGTCAAGAAGTCCAATCCGTCGGATATCAGAGGTGTGTTTAGGATTAGTTTTAAAGGCCCACTGTACTACTTGTAGCTACTTGCTCCCTCTATATAGAAAACAATGCCTAATCGGTGACCATTGGTCCCTGATGATCCTCTTTTTCTTATGTTAATTGAGAGCTGAGTTGATAAGATAGCCACCTGTAGGTGACCTTCATGGGTGGTCTAATCCCCTTTAAGTTGTTTTTATAGTAAAAGCTCCTGAGAATTCTTGTTATGCACAGTGCTTTGGTATGGACGATTTCATTGTTAGCGGATTGTAGAACAGTGGGTTATTGAACGATAGGACATATCAACATTTGTTCTCTATGACAAACTTCTATTCTATTGTACCAAAGTGGAATAACATCGAATAGGATAGCGAGGTATTATTGAATGACACTGGTAAGAGCTGATTCAGTTTGGAGCTACTTTCTGGGTGAGATGAAAGAGCTCTCAAATAAAAACAGGTATGTGCAGTGGTAGTAATGAATAAACGAGTGACTTTTAGTTTCATGTTACAAGGATTGAAAATCATTTTATTTGCCATAACGTAGTATACAAACAGTGTTCCATTAGCTTGGTGAGAGATGAGTACTAGAAATACACACATGTGTGAATAGCAAAAGAAATTTGTCTGTAGTCGAGGTTTTTGGATAGAATTAAATAAAGACATGTGAAAAGTAATGAAGTCTAGATCTACTGTGTAATAAATGTCAATTTGTTTTGTTGCTGACAGGGGTGAAGGTGTAACACAAATCAGCCTAGCGGTCAGCGGTGCTACTGCTTACCCTCGAGCCTGCCAAGCACTGGTCTCCATGATCTCTCGCAAAGCCCTTAACCCAGCGGATATGTCAGTGGTACGTAGTCTACCCTCCCCTAGTTCACTCTGATAATCGGTTCTGGAGTATATATTGAATGAGCTGTAACGTCTGTGATGTTTTCCGATTGTTATAGGGTCGTGAAGGGAACAGTGCAGTTTGGAAAACTTGGCAGGTCTGACAGTGTCAGGGGCGACGATCCCGGGGGGGACGGGGGGGGGGGGGGGGGGGGGGGACACGTCCCCCCCTCAAAATTTGAAAAAAGTGCAAAAAAAAATGTATAGCAAATACTGACTAAAGATTGCAAGACACTTTTAGGCTCTGGAGGGCCAAAGAGTGTAGCGTTTAGACAAATAAAAATGCAAAAATGTTCTCACTCAGCAGCTACGCTCCCTCGCATAATATCCTTCAAATTGTGTATAAGTAAATACCGAGAAAAGTGAAGTGTGAAAAAATTATATTGCTTGTTTTTATGCTATAGTTTTGCTAAGGAATGTAGTTTTTTAATACAACCAAAACTTCAAAACCTGTGAGAGGATAGTCACTTCCGTCACCTTCACCCCTCTCATTCACTATGCTCCCTCGCACTTGCGTATTGATTTAAAAATTAAACATGGTTTATTTCTAATTCGATACCAGTGATTTACAAATGTTGCTGAAATGGCATTTTTCCCTGAGCTTCCGGGGGCTCTGCCTCCTGGACCCCACCAATGCCCTAAGGCAGTCCCTGGATGCTCATCTGATCGTAATTAAATGCCTAAAACCCCTGAGCTTCTGGAGGCTCCGCCCCCTGTACCCCACTCCAATTAGTGACCTGCATGTCAGTGCAAGTCACAAATAGGGTATCAAAATATGCTACTCTGACTGTAATCAAATGCCTAAAACCCCTGAACTTCCAGGGGCTCTGCCCCATGGATGCTCATCTCACCTTAATTTAATGCCTAAAACCCCTGAGCTTCCGGGGGCTCCGCCCCCTTGATGCTCATCTAACCTTATTTAGATGCCTAAAACCCCTTAGTTTCATGGGGCTCCGCCCCTTGACCCCCATCAGGGCTTAGCCCCTGGACCCCACGGCAATTTACACTCCATTGCTTCGCTCGCTTTGCTCTACCTGATCGTAAATACTTAGCACCCCCTCCCAACTTTGAAAAAAACGTTGCCAGTGCCTGCGTAACATGTGAGAGTGGTGGTAACGCGGTTTTTTTCTCCCCCACCCCCCCCCCAACGTTTTTGCTCATTACGCCACTGCTCCCTTATCCCTCACATTTCGTCCCCCCCAGTCATGAAAAGAAATTGCCGCCCCTGGACAGTGTCCCTTTAACACTCCTGGATTCGGGACAGGTAAGGGGTTGGATGCTATCCCAATGTCCAATAAACATGTTTTCTTGCCTGTCGCCTTAGGGTTAGTATGAAGTTAGTTAGTTATTACTCCATCCGTTGTAATAATGACTTATGGCAAGAGATTTACCTACATGTAAACTTATTACTTTTTTAACGCTGGTGTGTGAAATGGGTGTGCGATAGGAAGAAATGGGTCAAATACCTGGAGCACCATGTATGGTAGCACTGCTGAAGCCAGAGTAATATACAATCACAAAATGTGTTGTGTTGCGAGTTAAGTGGAGCTCAGCTTCCCGATACACGTATATACATTGTAGCTTCGAGAAAGCCCAGGGTCGATGTAGAGCCTACAGATTAGATAATCAGACCCTGTGGTACTTGTTATCATGGAAGACAGTAATTTGTGCCTCTACAGGTGCTTGGAACCTGCAATTTAGTAAATTTATGAATTAATTGTTTAATACACACTGCCGCCTATAAAGTTGGAATAATTTGTCTTACCTTTCTTCATGAAATAATTTTTACAATGTTTTTTTTTATTGGGGATAGCTAAAGTTTAAATCATCTCATAACTCTATTTATCAAGAATATATCACATTGTTACAATCATTTCAGGAAGAGAGGTAAGAAAATTTTGTTCCAACTTTATGGGAAACAGTGTAAATCATCATGTAATATCTCAATTTTCTTATCCTTATCTCAATGTAGCTGTATAAGATGTACAGTGATCCCGACCCTCCCCCTGTGGAGCTGATCAGGGTCCCTCAGTTCTTCTCCCTGTTCATGGAGGCACTCTTCAAGCCCGGTGCTACCATCAACTCAGATCACAGACCCAAGTATACCTATCTCCTAGCCCATGCTACCTGCGCTCATGAAACATGGAGGCTGGTAAGTAGGATATTGATGATGATAATGATGATGATGATGGCGAGTACAAGGAGGAGGAGGAGGAGGAGGAGGAGGAGTAGTATTTTGATGATGATGATGATGATGATGATGATGAAGATGATGATGATGATGACGGTTATGATGATGATGATGATGATGGCAAGTACAAGGAGGAGGAGGAGGAGGAGAAGGAGGGGGAGTATTTTGATGATGATGATGATGATGATGATGATGATGATGATGATGATGATGGTGGTGGTGGTGGTGGTGATGATGATGATGATGATGATGATGATGATGGTGGTGGTGGTGATGATGATGATGATGATGATGATGATGATGATGATGAAGACGACGACTACGAGGAGGAGGATGATGATGATGATGACGATATGATGATGATGATGATGATGATGATGATGATGATGATGATGATTGATGGTGATGACGACGAGGATGATGATGATGATGATGATGATGATGATGATTGATGGGAAGGAAGAGGAGGAGGATGTTAATTGAAATAATGGCTCATGCTACCTGCACTCTTGAGACGTGGAGACTGGTATGATGTTGTAGTGGTTCTGGTGATGATAATGATGTTAATATAGGAATGAGGTGGAGGAGGATATGATGACCTCGTTGGTGATGATGCTAATAAAGATGACTGTATTGATAATGAGAAATGAAAAAAATATTCAACTAAAGAGGTGCAAGCCCTAAATAGTTCAACAACATATGGACATTTTATACCCTCTTACTGAAGACAAGATTATTCCAATTCAAATAAATAATTCTGCCTTAAATCCTGCTATCACTCCAGGGTAAGAGAACATCTGTGACAAAAGATGAGCTGAAGGCCACCAACATTGCCATCGAGAAGGTGCATGCTATCTGTAGCTCAGGCAAGAAAGGAGAATCAGAGCTCAGCAGTGAACTCACTATGGTCTATCAGTGTATCAGGTATAGAGAAGAAATATTAATAAGGGAGTGTGGAAGAGAAGAGAGGAAGAGAAGGAGGTGAGAAAGAAAGAAAGAAAGAAAGAAATGGGGATGGATAGAAAAGGCACAGGCACGAAAAGGAGAATCAGAACTAAGTATGAAACTCACTATGGTCTATCAGTGTATCAGGTATGGAGAGGAAATATGAATGAGGAAGCGTGGAAGAGAAGAGAGGAAGAGACAGATAGAGAGTGGGATTAGAAGTATATAAAGTGTGAGAGAAGCCGATTGAATACAACATAGGGAAGAAGAGAGAAGGAGAGAGAAAGAGATAGAGAGACAAACAGTGATGTATAAGGAATAGAGGGATTAGTTGAGGGGGGGTAGTACTGAAAGCCAAATAATAATAATAATAATAATAATTGTAAATTTATAATGCGCAGTTTCTATATGTATATACTCAACTGCGCATGACATAAAACTTGGATATTATTACCCCGGCTTTAGCTGTGCTGCCATTATAGCGCTCTAGCATTTCAAGGAATAAATTCCTACCGGGTACCCATTTACTTCACCTGGGTGGAGTGTGGCAAATGTAGATCAATATCTTGCCAAAGGACATTAGTGCGGCGGCGGGACTCGAACCGCGGACCTTGTGATCGACAGTCCGGCGACGTATCCACTCGACCACAAATAGATAGAACTCATTACAGCTTATAATCAATGTATTGGGTTAGAGGAGGATGAGGAAGAAAGTCAAAGATACAAACAGAGAGTGATAAAGACAGAATGAGTGAGAAACAGACATACACATTGTAATATACAGTCTTACAAATGGAAGAGAAATAAAAGGGGGATGATATGGAATGGGACTATTCACTTTAACCTAATTTAATTATTCTTTTGTAATTTCTAGTGCATTGATGATAATCCCACACAATGTGCTTCTTCTTTTGTAATTGTGTTTTGGCTTCTTGTACAATCAATGGATTTTCAAGAATTCATTTGATTTTTGCTTTGCATTTTGTAATGGTATATTGAATATTTGCATACTTAATGGATTTTCCACAATTATTCTTTCAACCTATTTCAATACTTTTTGTATGTACTTGTGTATTGAAGATAATCCATAAAGGTAGATTCTATTTAAATAAATGTGAATCTAATCAAATTGAAATGAATTGAACTGTATTGAACTGAACTGTACTGAATCAAATTGAATTGAATTGAATTGAACTGAACTGAACTGTACTATTAAAATCAAATCGAATTGAAATAAATTGAATTGAATTGAATTGAACTGAACTGAACTGAACTAAACTAAACTGAACTGAACTGAACTGAACCGTATTGAATTTAATTGTTTATTACCACAGGTACCCAGTGATAGCCATGGGTGTAGTCTACTGGGTAGACTGCGTGGTCCAGGACCCCACATACTTCCAGAGATTGACAGACCACACCCCCATACATCTACTACTTCTTGATGAGGTAAGGCAATGATTGTTTAAGTAACTTTCAGCATCAGTCCATTAACTGAACATTCTGCCAAGTCCTCTCATTTTAAAAATATTTACAATATGAGGGATGCCCATTTCCAGGCCCTAACACCTCCCCCATTTCAGGCTTTATATTCTACAGCATATGGAACTCCCAACAATTCAAGGTCGTTTAAGATTTTCTTCAAGCATATGAAGAAAGAAGAAAAAAAAGCCATATTTGGCTTATCTTTTGAAGGTCATTAATGACTATCATTCTTTGAGTGTAAACACACAGGTGAGTTTCCATGATTATTTTGAAACAAAATCAAAATTGTTCATAGTATTATCTTACTTCACTCCTCTACATTATTCAATCCAATATTTAAAAAGCTTTCATAGTCAAGTTTGCTCAGATAATGTTGTTCTGTGTCCGTGCTTCTCAGTCACTTGAACTTCATATGGGTTTTATCCTGGCGCCAGTTAAAATGATATTACAGCTCATTAATAGTTATATTAAACACTTCAGATATCACATAAAGATGCATAACAAAAATCGCTAGACATGTCGCATCATGGCACAAATTATTTGAATACAGAGCATAGCTACAAAAGTATGCCTGAAAGAAGGTTAACAAGACCCCCCCCCCCTCCCACACCCCTCCCCTTATCAGTGGCCTTATTAGTTCTGTCGACCAAGGAAGACGGGTGTCCCACATCCCGCATGCAAATTGCAGCAATATTCTTTCAAATGATAAGAATTTTTAAATGTTTTATATCCATACTAGGTTGTGAACTGTCATCAATTACTGCATTCCAAAGTTCTTGACGTTCTCATGCGACAGTTTTCAGCACCATGTCCTGAACTGGATGTGATGGTTCAGGTGATTACCTTTTCCATGTTTATCCCATTTTTATCCCACTACATAGAAGTATTATCACTTTATTCATATCAGTATTGTAACATTATTTTTTTTAAGTTATATCTTGTTTCCATTCATAGTTGTATCATCAATATATTTGTAATACTTAAAAAATTAAGATGTATTTGTTAATTTTTTTCTTTCTTGTATAGTGCAGATCACATTAGGATATGATATCTATATGCAATATAAAATACAGCCGTATAGTACCATGTGGAGTTTTAATAAATCTTTACCGGTAATTTGATTCACATCATTATGCCTCCGCTACAAAGTAGCCGGAGGCATTATGTTTTCGGGTTGTCTGTCCGTACGTCTGCACGTCTGTACGTCCGTACATCCCGTTCTCGTGATCCCGTTATCTCAGGAACCAATTGATGGATTCCCGCCAAACTTGGGTCATGTATGTATCTTGCAGAGCCAATGAACTGATTAGATTTTGGGGTCGCGAGATCCAAGGTCAAAGGTCATAGGGCTCATTATGTATGCAAAAATAGCTCGTGATCGAGTTATCTCAAGAACCCATGGATGGATTCCCGCCAAACTTGGGTTATGTATGTATCTTGCAGAGCCAATGAACTGATTAGATTTTTGAGTCACGAGATCCAAGGTCAAAGGTCACAGGACTCATTATGTACACTGTATGCAAAAATAGCTCGCTTCTGTTTTGGTTTGCAAAATTGCTCCATGGCGGAGGCATCATTTTCGACTGCGCGCAGTCGAAGGTCCATCTAGTTCTTTGTGATTTTACTCACGTTAAAAACACCATTCAAAAGTATATCAGAATTTTGTAACTTGCACTGCTCTGAGTTGTTATACAAGTTATTTCCATTTTTACTCATCATTCTGAATAGAACTTGAATGTGATATTTCTTTTTTTCAATGATTTTTTTTTTCCAGATGGAACTGAAAAAGACAATCTTGGACCGCATGGTTCATCTCCTTAGCAGAGGCTTTGTGGTACCTGTCATCAAGTACATTGCCAAGTGTGTGGAGAAACAAGACACTGATATCTCACTCATTAGACATTTTGTTACAGAGGTAAACAAGAAATGATAGATAATGATATTGGATACTTGTGGAGTGCTTATATCCCCCAGACAAGGTGGGGGGGGGGGGGGGTGACTAGAATCCATGACCTTTTGAATCTCTAGTGAAGTATTTGAATGACCAGACTACAATGGTAGAGAGACAATAGTTTCTGGACTTGGTGGCTGGAAAATCCATGTCATGCTGATGGAGCCTCTTTGCAATGTACATAGACTTTTAGATGATTTTAGGCTGATTATTTTGAAATTACAGGGTGATGTACATTGTGTACTTTGTGGAAAAGGAAGGTTATGACTGATGTTGGATATGTGTGGCCATAAAATGATTCACAAATGAACGAACATCCGGGAACCATCTCAACAACCTTCTTACTGCTCCATTTTCCCTGTCTCATTGTTTATATATACTGTTAAAAGGTCTTGGACACCAGCATCCCACCATACACAGCATACTTTGTCCAGATCTTCTTACCAATTAGGTAGAATTGGAATTTATAGATGCCCCCTGCCCCCCCCCCCCCCCTCCCCCAACAACAAAAAAATAAATAAATGTACAAATTAAAAATAGAAAGAATTATCATTTTAAATTCAATATGTTATATTTTCTGTTCCCCTTGCATTCCCAATTAGGTTCTTGACATGATAGCGCCTCCATACACATCAGACTTTGTACAGCTCTTCCTACCAGTCATAGAGAACAGTGACATCACAGACTCATTACGCAATGAAGATGGCAAAGATCCTGTATCAGACTTCATCGGTAAGTAGCATAGATATAAACATGGGCATCTTGGTAGGGCGAAGTGACCTTTAGACAAATAAGGATGTCCTTTGTTATAAATATTTCAAATGGATTTGTAAGGGGATGATGTAGTTTATCTTAGCAAAGATCTTTCTTTTTTTATATACCCTTGTGCAAATGTAAATAACTTTGATAGCCACGTTAGGGGGGTTGAAGGACCAAAGATTTAAGACTTAGAACTGATCACTTACATTTTAGTAAGCAACTTCTGACACTAATATTCTAGTTGGCAAGTATCAGAAGGGCAGCAATTAGTTATTCCCTCTCAAATTTACTGGGTAGAAATTATGCTTTTACTTGTATTTGACTATTAAAAGATTTCATCTTCCATCTTCTATTGTCTTTACAGTGCATTGCAAGACACATTTTATCATGATGTGAGCAGAAAACATTTAGGAGATGCTCAACCTTCAGAGAACTGGAACAGCTGAATTTGGCTCAAGCTAAAACCTGAACATAAACTTGCTATCTACTGTGAGAAACCAGCAACGGTTATAAAAGTTGGCTGGGTTATCAAAGAGGAATGGAAGAGTCGCAGAGTCTGATGGACACAATTTGTAAATGCTTTTACAGTGCACATGACTGGAAAGTCATGGATTCTGACATTCCAAACGGAAGGCTTGAAGGCATCGTAATTCTCCTGTGGACACAGCCAGAGGCTCCACATGGACTGGCCTGTTTGAATCCAAGCTTTGATGTGAACGGCCCGAGGCAAGACAGTGATCTGAGTTTGCCAGTGTGTACCCAGGAGAGAGAAAGACAGTTCATGAACTTGACCTTTAAGGGGAAGTCCATTCTGATGTCAAATTGGCTTTAATAGAAGCAGAAAAAATTAAACGGTTTAGTGAAAGTATGAGCAAATAACAATAAAAGATAATAAATTATTAATTGTTGAAGCTGCGATCGATCAAACACAATTGGCGAATCTGTGACGTATCTTGCGAGTCCCCCCCCCCCCCCCCCCCTTCAATCATACATTCACCCTATATAAACCCCTGTATGAAACAAATCTATTCAGTCATCAGTCAGTATTAAAGCAATTTAATATCTGGGCAGACTTTCCCTTTAAGGGGGGAGGGGGGGGGGGTGGGAATGAAAATTCAAATATATTGCTAAAATTCGTTATTGTATTGTACCACTTGTATATGTGGGAAATTCCAATGTGTGTCCAATGTATTACAAATTATTATGGTATTGTGAACATGTTTCAAGGTTTTGTCCGATTCATCACAAGTACCCAAGGCTACATGTATGTGCTAGCTAGTCATCAGACATACTGAAATCTTAGATATGGTCGGTAGCGAATGGGACAAAATAGCTTTGATGTACAGCCTTTTATAGGAAATTGACAGAGATCATCAATACTTGCTAGATGTCTAGGAATCTATCTTGTACTAGGGCTAGTGTAAATAAAAAGATAAAGGAAGGACACTTTCCTTAAATTATGCCATTGGGAATATGGTAGCCAGGTCATTGGATACATGTATTCGGGGATTGAAACTGTCACTGCAAAATTATTTTTGACTTTTGAGGGATTTATATATGGATATGCATTCAGCAATAGATGAATCAAGAACTGGGTGTGACAGACATTTCACTCTCTTCATGTATTTGAAATACATGTATATTCACTGAATATATATGTGCCACACTCAATGTTACATGTAGAACCCTAGTGCTACGCTCTTTATGCATTGTGAGTTATACTCTCCATTCTAATACTCCTTAAAGTTAATCTGGTATGGGAATCGTATGTCGAGAGTGCTCATCATATATCCTCATATGTAAGACTTTGTATTAACTGCATGAAGAATTATTCAGAATGAATTCTCCTTCTAGAACTTCCATCTCCAGTCATTTTCTCAAACATGGACGAAAATAAAGCTAACTCTTTGTGTGTGTTGTGTATCATCACATTTTATTCAATAACAAGGAAGAAATTCTCACACTTTTCAACAACAAAATATAGGACGGAATTTATTTCCATAGAACAATATGTAGACAAAATAGCTATTCATACACATTCAAAGAGTGAAAGCATCTATATTCACTTAAAGTGTCATCAATTTATTTTCAATTTCATTGGAAAAGAAAGAAAGGCTTCTGTAACACAATATTAAGTGCATCTTGTGTTAAAAGTATCATGTGACTTTTAACACAATATTTTTAAGTAATCCATGCTGTGCTGTGAAAGTCAAGGCCTCATTCAATTCAATGCAATGTAATGTTTGTATAATATGTATATATGTACAGTTTACAATAAATGAATAAAACAAGAACTTTGCATTCTACTTCTCTTCTGTACAACCTAAATAGCATTACATTATTAAAAACCCCTTCAGTTATTCACAAGAAGTTATGTTTTACTTTTACAATAGATAATTATCTCTCCAAATAATTTATCAATAATTGATATATAAATTCAAATCCTGTATTTTGAGAATATAGGAATAAACTAGAATTACAAAAGTCTTCATGAAAGATTGTTTTCAAGGTGTTCTTAATGGAATGAATGTATTCATGCTTATTGGTCAATTTCAAATCTCTAGAAAGAAAAATTTAGCATAACAGCTTGCATACATAAAAGAATAATGCAGTGATAAAATGCAAAATTTGCAGGTGCAGTTTTATGTGGCTTGTTGAAGGTCCTGAACACGGCAGCATCCATGAAACACACTAACATTAAAGTCTGATGCATCCATGAGCAGGAGAAAGAACCTAAAGTAGTACAGTTCAAAGCCACAGCATCTCTTATAAAATTAAAGCAAGATGCATCAGATGAAGAATAATTGGAAAGATTACCAATTCATGTGTAACTTCTAAAAACAAAGGAATTATCCGCCGTAAGCTATTCCTCTGCACTGCATTTTTTTTTTTTTACAGTTGATTGTTACCGGTAGTCAGATTTCTTGAAGGGTTGGTTCAGTCTAACCCTTCTCTCTACTACAGATCCTCAGGGTGTGATGCCTTTGAGATAGTATGTCCAGGAGACATTAGCAGCACCTCCGGCTGACCTAGCACAGGTCACCACCAGCTTGCCCATCTTGGGGGCCTTGGTGCCGTCATTGTTGCCCTCGTAGCCGATGATAATGTTGTGGGTCTTCTTGCCCCGGATCTGGTCTCCAGGCTTGCAGCTGAAGGAGGGGTTGTCCACCTGGTAGATGAACGCTGTGGTGTGGGAGAAGATGTTCCTGAAGGGGATGGAGGTGGTGGAGCCGGCCTTGATGGTGTACGGTCCCTGGGGCTTGGGGGCGATGCAAGTGCCGAAGAGGGGGAAGGTGTACTCCCCGCCAAGAGGTGAGTGGAGGGTGAGGGTGCCGCGGGTCTCGCCCAAACGAGACGGTTCAAAGGTGATGTCAAAGCCGACCTCGCTACCACCACTGGAGCCAGGAGCAGCAGTGATGGTCTTATCACAGTGGAAGTCATTGTTGTCAATCTGTAGTGAGGAAAAGGAAATGGAAATTCTCTGTAGCAATTTCATCTATTTTAATATAAACGACACAAAAAATAAAGTGTCCATCGATAATGTTTGCAAATACATGTAAGAAAAAGATTAGAGCCTACAGAGAAATCATTACAATAGATAAATTACTCTCATTTTAATCTTTGAAGAATCCATGAACCAATGAAATGGGAAAATCTATTACATATCCTTTAAAATAGATGCTTATTCCTTCATATGTGTTACTTTTGATGAAACATATGCTCCAGGCTTTCTTTCATCAAAGATAAAGACTTGGGTTAGAATTACGGGTACGTTTTACATTGGGGTTGGGTAAAGTGTCTAGTCTTGGGTGAAATTCAGCAAGTGTTAGCAATTACTTATGGTGAAAGATTTGCTGGAGCATATAGGTTGTACAAATTTGTTATTAGGGTAACACAACCTGTTGCTTTAAGGTGCTATATACAGGTAAATAAATGTAATCTACATGGGTTTAATGAGAAAATTAAACTAAAAATCACTCACCTTGCAAGAATATTCTGTCTTCACTTTGGCAAAGTTGGTGAACTTGGTGGTCTGGGTGTGGTTTCCACCAAGCGACGCCCTGAAGAAGACAGCCTTCTCCGGTCCTGCTGCAGTGGCAGTCAGCTGGAGGTCATAGGCGTACTGACCGAGCTCATTGCTGGCCAGGGTCATCTTGCCGGAGACCTCTCCAGTTTTGAGAGGAAGGTACTCGAAGTTCAGGACACCCTGGGATGATAATAATATTAATGATGAATTTATATGGTGCATTTTCCATTATATACACATCTTAAAATGCACTTTACAATCATGTTATTAAAAGAAGAGGTGAATTTTTAGATATTTGTTTAAAGGTATAGAGAGATTCCTTTTTGCAAAGAAATTTGGTTAGGTTTAATCCAGTTTGGGTGCAGCAGCTGTGAATGCTCTGTCACCCAGTGTGGGTAGCATCTTCGAAAACAGATGGTTCTGTTAAGTTTTTATTTTTGATGTATAAATAGAACTGTATATAACTTGGAGAATGTACAAACTGAAACATACGTAGTAAACCTAGTCAAAGAACAGTCAACCGTGGATGCATTTCTATTCCCCTTCAGAATGTACATCCATTGTCCTTGCATCTACACGTGCCCTTTTGCCATACATACAAAAGGCCTGTCTCCATCAGCTTGAGATTGCCAAATAACCTCCTATTTTAACTATCCCGATTGCAAATTATCCAGCTAATTTGCGTCTTCATCAGCCAGCAGTTGCAATTAGCGGGATATTTGGTCAAGATAATCATCTCAAGATATCTTGGGCTAGTTTGCAAAATATCCCGCTATTTGTCTGGTGCGTTTTCACCAGCCCGATGACTCGAACTAGACATGAACGCTGAGCAAAATATCTCAAGCTAATTTCTCGAGCTTGAGTTTCGAGTTTCCAGGTCGAGTCTCGAGCTGATGAAGACGCAAGGCTTATTTCTCAAATCAGAAATAGCGGGCTATTTGGCAATCTACAGCTGATGAAGACATACCTAATGGTACTTTCACAAGGACCCTTACCTCTGACTGGGGAGGGACCATAAGCTGCGGTGGGACCATGATATCATTGATGGCACAGATAGTCTGGAAGGTGACGGGTAAGGACAGAGGGTTCTCCAGGGTGATGGTATGAGAGGTACTGAGACGGACCGGTGTACTCATCTCCACCAGGTCAATGATGCCCGGTGGGGTACTCTTGAAGGTGATGTAGTAGAACTGGAACTCGTTGGTCTGCTCATTGCGGAAGAGAATCTGTCATGGCAGCGGAAAAAAAAGAAAATGTAAATCTCATTGACTGGAAGTATTTACATTGTTCACCAAAATTGACTTTGGATGTATTGTGATTTTGGTGCACACTGTGTATTTATATATACAAAACATGTTAAAGCATGGGAACATTTATCTGTTTGATCTCATTTGCAGCATAAAATATGTATTTCCAAACACCTTTCACTAAATATGTTCACGGCATGATATGTTATTCCAAGAGAGCTATCTTTGAATTTTTGAACCATGATACCATTTTCAAAAGGAGGAAGGGTAACAAATGCCGATCCCTAGAAAATTATAAATGCAGAATTTCCCATGACTCGTACAGTGACTGGTCAAGATTTGATTCAATGTGGATTATGATTGGTTGACTATAATTTTACCTTAGCAGCATATGAAGCTTCCTTGTGGCAGAAGAAGTTGAGTTTGTAGTCCCTCTTACTAAGACCTGGAACATCAATGTAGTCCAAGCCTTTCAGAGTGGTAGCTGGGTCCAGTTTGTCAGGTTTAATCATCTCGATAATGGCCTTGAATCTACAACATTAGAATATGCAAAAAAGTATTTAAATAAAGTTTAATTTTTTCCATTTCCAAATGCTGACATCACAATCTAATGCATCACAGTAAAATGGTTTAATAATAAATTTCTTATAAACTTTCATCCTACTACAAAGACAATTCAAGTAAATCTGAAATGGCTGTCTTTTCAAATGATAATTGACTTTCTGATTTTTTAGGTGTGTCAAAGGTCAAAATTGTCACAAGCATAACGTTTTATCCTGTTACTAAGTTTGGCTTTCTCAGCTGGTAACTGAAAAGAAAGTGGACGACTTGTTCGAATCCAGACTAAGTGAAATAACATTTTATTAAAGCAGCAAAAACTAGTCCACATGAAAGAAGGCTAGAGTAGTGCTTCAGAGCTCCTGCTCCACACATGTCACTCCATTGAACAAATAGGACAGGGGCAACAGAATTAATAAAGAAAAATTAAAAAACAGCAGAGAGTTATGAGGGAAATTTGCTGCTTGCTACCAGTTTGCCAGACGACATGTCTACATACCTCTGGGGCCGCTTGAGCCAGTTGGATACAGAGAGACTCTCTGTGTAGTGTGTCTTGCTGGGGATATCTCTGGTGATGTTCCCTGCTGCCTTAGGTGCTTCAGAGACACCTACCATGTTGTACATGAGTCCTGAGCCATCGGGTAGAGCAAAGAATACACTGCCCTGTAGGTGGAAAACAAACAAATAAAGTATAGTGTTTTAGAGTTAACAAGATTTGGCTTAGGCATGTGGGGAAAAAATTCATGCTCAAGTACTGATAAAACAGTGAAAGAAAAACAAAGAGAGGACAAGGGAGTAAATTGGGAACAGATATTTAAAATAAGAAAATTAGGTCAGATAAAAAGACAACGAACTAATGAGTCTTGTGAAGAAATTAAAAGATATCATTCCAACAAACATGTCTCCTGAGAAGCAGGAGAGAGCAAGGCAGAGAAAGAGAGAGAAAAAAAAGAGAACAACAGAGGGTTGTATGTTGTTTTAAACTTCAATTTTGTTTCAGCCTTGAAGATTTGAGACCGAAAAAAATTAATAAATAAGAAAAATTATGCTCTGTATTTGTACCTTTGGCCTTTATGCTTACTCTTCAGACTAATACATTCCATAAGTAACCCACCGTATGTTTCTTGCCCTCAGCCGTCATTATCAGTGGCCTGTAGATGAGCTCATAGGCCTTGCTATGCTGGGGCTCCACGGTGATGGCCTCCGCACCGGTCCAGTGTTCACCCTCGATCACCGGTCTGAGCTGCTCCCAGCGTTGGTTGGTGCGGTTGTGGAGGGTCAGACTGCGGGTGTCTTTGACCCGGACATGGGTGCTGAAGTGGAGTATCTCCTTCTGAGGCTGGCAGCCCACGCACATGCCGGTCAGGACCAACTTGAGAGGGCGTCCTCCCTCAATGCTGCAGTTCAGTTTCTGTGTAGAAGATCACAGAGGGATGGAAAAGTGTTTGTTATACTGGCATCATCTAATTTGGACTCTCAAATATGAACTTTGTTAGAGAAAAGGGATGCCCTAAACATGTTAAGTAGTTCACTACTTCTACTGTACTTCTAACACTCCATAATATTCAATGCAAGAAAAGTAGACCATTTAAAAAAAAACTGTAATGTTCTTGTCAATAAATTTGCCAGTTTGGGGGACTGCCAGTGGCAGATTTTGTTTCATCATTTAATGTCCACATCCAAAAAGAAATTGTTCGTACATATGTAATTTGATGGTCTAGATGATACAGATGAGTGTAAACAAACTGCTCTGAAACAGAAATTACCATTTTCAAAATTAAAGGATCATGGACAGGTGTCTGCTCTTGCATAGAAGACTAACCTATTGACTGCTAAGAGTCAGGAGGGTGGTTAACTCTTTGGTTTACATAAAGCTAACATCCTTCTGGCTGTCAGCAGACAAGACATTCAGAGTGACAAAATAAAACAATGTCAAAGGTGATTGAGGGTGACTAAACTTACATCATATCTGATGTCTTGGCAGACCTTGGTGGGTTGGAACTTGACCTCAAAGGTCACAGTCATACCCTGGGAGATGTAACCCTCCGATGGGCTGATGGCAAAATCGGGTGCAAACTTCTCTGCATTCCACTTGAATCTAATTATATAAATCAAGACATTAAGTAGTGTAAACAAAAATATCTTGATCTTTACTGTGCAAAGTACCAATCATGATGACAGCAATACTGATAATAAAGATTTAGATTTTGTGATATATTAATGGAAGATGTGAAATGGTTCAGAAGTAAGCCCTTAGTCTACAAATCAACTCTCATTGACCTGGTTTGAAAGTCAGGTGTTTATTTTGACCAACATAAATGATCATTTCCAAGATGTAAACAATTATATCAACTTGTCATGTCTGAAAAAAAACTTTCTTGAACAAATACTCTTGTAGTAGAAGGTTGTTTCCCTATCTATGTCAAATGAAATTTGTGGTTTTGCTACAGAATGTGAAGTAAATTGTTTCTGCCTGTTTTATACATCATTCCGCCAAACAAAAACAAAAATATCAATATGAAGAGCATTGACTCTGCAGTCACTTACGCAGCACCAACGTCTCCGGTGTTGTACATGAGGAGCTTGCGTGTGGTACTGCTCTTCAGGACCACAGCTCCAAATGGAATAGATTCCTGGTCCAGGTTGATCTCTATTCCTTGGCATGATCCAGTCACCACCAGGAGAGGCTGAGAGAGACCTGCACACTCTAACATCACCTGGCAAGAGGTAAAAGAAAGAAGCAATATATTAAAGCCTGGCTGTACTAGTTCAGCCAGAAGGGATTAGACAACCCATCGAGGTCACTGACAGGTGGCTATCTCATTTACTCAGCTCTCAATTAACATAAGAAAAAGAGGATCATGGGGGACCAACAGGCACCGAGGGGGAAGTTTTCTGTATAGAGGGAGCAAGTAGCTACAAGTAGGACAGTGTGGCTTTCGACAATGTAATATTCCACAGGATATGTAGAGATTGCGATTTTGTTTTTCGTTTTGTCTTTCCTTTTGTTTTTTGTCTCATCTTGTCTATTCAATTTCCTTATCTTGGAGAATATTTATTGGGTAAATTTTGCAGGAGCAAATTTTTTTCTTCCGAATGGCATATCAGACTAGGAGAGGCAAAAGTTCCAATCAAACATATCACATACAAATAGAAACTTACATCTTTTTTGCTTTTCCCTTATTTTAACAACCAAATCCTTGCATTAAGATTTATGTATATATATATATATAAACTATAATTACAACATCTCCTAAAGAAGCTAACCAACTAAAACTATCATACATTTTAACTATAAATTGAGAAATAAATAACTAATCATAAAGATTAAGAATGATGACAAAGATAATAAACATACTAATTTTACTGAAGATGTTGATGATGATGGAGATGGTGATAAAGATTATGATAAAGACAGTGATGGTGACAATGATAACGGCAAAGAATATTGAAAACAATACTAAAAAAAATACCCTACTCCACCAAATAGCTTGTGCATCATCTTACCTCTTCAGTAAACTGCGGGATGCGGCACTTGGGGCTGAAGACCAGCTCCAGCTGCGAGGCCCCTCCCTTGGCCTTGAGGCTAATCTCCTGAGTAGGGGCCAGCTTGAGCACGGTGGGGACCTGTTGCAGGATGGGGTTGAGAGGGGTGATGGCCACATTGAAGGAGAGAGGGGCGGGGCTGTTGTTGATGATAGGTACAGAGCGTTTAATGACTTGGCCAATGCGCATGGCTCCGAATTTGACGATGCGGTCCTTTGAGTTGGCCACCTCCACACGCATCTCAGTACCCAGTCCAAAGATCTCAACCTGGAGATAAAGGGGTTAAGTAGTATGAAATCAGTCGGCTATTCAAAATATTCTGCATTATGAACACAAGTTCCTATTTTCTTCCTTTCTTATTTCACTGAGGTCAGACACTCTACCAACACATTTTGATGGATCGTGATTGAGAATTCTAACTCTAGCAGCTAGCTGACAATGTTTGCATACTTGTCATCTTCGTACCACAAGAAAGCAATCAAAAGCATCGCAAATTTTCTCCTGCAATTTAAATGAGAAGCAAAAACTTTGCCAAAGTGAAAATTTTGTTGTTGTTTTTTAAATATTGATTCATTGAGGGGTATATATCGTCATGTGTGTGGTTCATTGAGATAGATATCCAGGTAGGGATTTGCAGGCCATGTAAGGCTCCACCCATCACAGACTAATACAGTGAAATTCAAGATTCATATAGTACATAATGCATGCATCTGCAGTCTCTTTAGATTTATAACCCATCCACTACCGACTTACAGCATTTTAAAATAATGAACAATCTCTGAAGCATCTCTGAAGTTGGTCCAGCTTACTACTAACTCTATATCATGCCAACCTTTTCACAGCAAACATTAGGAATCTCTCAAGGCAAAAATAGGAAGAGTCTATTTTATATACTTTTCATACAGAATATTTTAGAAACAGAGAGGAATCCAGGGTTCAAAACAATAACCTGAAGTCCTCAAAATAGAAATCATTCATCCACAATAGGAGTGGTTGGCAGCTATGCATTACTACAAGCTCAAATGCCCTTTCCTACATACCTGAGCACGAGAGAGTCCGTTGAGCTCAAAGTGTATGACCTCCTGATATCTGATAGCCTCCCTGGGGTAGAATGTGAAGGTGATGTCTTTGCTCTCTCCGGGTGACAGCACGGTTGCTTCAAACTGAAGATGAAGGTGTGATGTACTTGTATACAGGCAATCAACGCTGGATGCGAAAGAAAGGTACATTGGAAACGTGTTCATTGAGAAGGGGGAGATATATAAATACAAAATAATCAACATTTCTTTGAAGTGTATGTATCCAAATGACACTCATTCATAATATTTCTTCCTAATTGAATATTTGGTCACTAGCAGGACCCGCGGAAATCCGCGGGATTCTAGAGGGGGGGGGGGGGGGGTGTAAATAGATATATAGAGACTGTCTAAATTAAAACCACCAAGAACTTTATTTGCCATTCAGGCCATTAAAAAAATATACATGTTTAACGTCCCCGCCCGTTTCCTTTTTGGGAGCCGCCTCCAATTTTTTTTTTTTTAATTTGTTTAATTTTTTTTTTTTTTTTTTTTTTTTTTGGAAGGTAAAAAAACAGCGTCCCCGCCCGCTTCCTTTTTGGGGGCCGCTTTTTTTTTTTTTTTTTTTTTTTTTGAATTTTTAAAAAAAAATTTGAAAGAAAACAAACATGAAAAGCACTGCTAAAATTTATTTCTGATTTAAAAAAAAAAAAAAAAAAATGTCGGCCGCTATCTTGAAAAATAGCCCGAATGTCAGGGAAAATGTACGGAGCGGCCATTTTGAAAGAAAAAAAAAAAAAAAAAGGGTCTCCTCCTTCCCATTTTTCGAAAAAACAGGACGCTAAACATGTTTTTTTTTTTTAATTTGGCCTTATATAAAAAAAAAAAACGATCCAACTGTACCGGTAGTTATTCTTTAAGCCACTGGAACTGCGTAGAGTTTCGTAGTGTGGCGTACCGACTACGCAGAAATTAGGCTGCGTATTAATGGGAAAATAGTCCCTGCGTAGGTTATGCGTAGGCTGGTGTACAGGTTTGCTTATGGTTGCTTACTGTGGGGAAAGCTTTTACTGCTTTGTCGATCTGGCGTAGGGTACCGTACTGTTGCGTAGGCATGTAGCGTAGTGTTGCGTAAAAAGGCGTACTTTCTGCGTCAAATTTCTACGCTGAAAGTACGCGAAAAAAATTTAACATGTTGAATTGTTTTCGTTCATCTTGCGTACCCCTTTCTTTCCCTCAGCATATAGTAACGTAGGCCAGCGTAGTTGGTACGCAACACTACGCAACTCTACGTATTGACCCCACGCCAATTAGTAACCTGCAAGTGTCACAAATAAAGTATTAAAAATATGCTCATCTGACCCTAATTAAACGCCTAAAACCCCCGAGCTTTCGGGGGTTTATGGCCCCTTGAAACCCGTGGACCCCACCTATATACACTCAACCCGCTGCGATCTCACTGACCCCCCCCCCCCCCCCCCCCCCCCCCCCCCCCCACTTTGAAAAATGTTTCTTGGAGCCTTCATGTAACATGCAAGAATGGTGCATGGTGATGCCGATTTTTTTTCTGCACCCCCCCCCCCCCCCAAACAATTTTACTCATTACGCAACTGATTGTTTTGCAATGCATGAAGTCACATGCTTCTGTCTGCATGGTTGATATTGAACTATTAATAGACTCTATGCAAATGTACAATTCATAACCTTATTCAATGCTTTCTTGTAATTTACTGTAAAGATAAGAAACAAATTTTTGCCACTTCGGCCCGCACGCTGTTGTGTTGACGGGTTCTTCGATGGATGGATAGACTTATGTGTAGTTATATAGTTGTACGAATATTGGCCTGCTTGGCCCCCCAAACTCTTCGACTCTAGCGCAGCTCAGTCTTGGTCAAAGCGCCCCAGCCGCAGCACCGTGTATACTGTATGTGTTGACTGAAGTTAGCTTGCGACTGAACTGTCAGTCCAATGGTTTTCTTGTGAAAACTTTCCTTTAGAAAATGATAATCAAAACTAGATGGAATTTTGACTGCGCGCAGTCAAAAATGATGCCTCCGCCATAGAGCAACTTTACAAACCAAAACGGAAGCAATTTTTAAAATTCAAGTTTGATTGTAATCCATCTGTCGGTTTTAATAATAATGCATTCACAAGCTATTTATAGTCATACATAATGAGCCCCATGACCTTTGACCTGATGACCCTAAAATCTAATCAGTTAATTGGCTCTGCAAGATACATATATACATGTCTTGAGTTTGATAGTAATCTGTCTATTGGTTCTCATTATAATGCGATCACAAGCTATTTGTGCATACATAATGAGCCCTGTGACCTTTGACCTCATGACCCCAAAATATAATCAGTTCATTGGCTCTGTTAGATACATACATGACCCAAGTTTGGCAGGAATCCATTGACCGGTTCTTGAGATAACGCGATCACGAGCTATTTTTGTAGACATAATGAGCCCTGTGACCTTCGACCTCGTGACCCCAAAATCTAATCAGTCCATTGGCTCTGTTAGATACATACATGACCCAAGTTTGGCACGAATCCATCGATCGGTTCTTGAGATAACGCGATCACAAGCTATTTTTGTATACATAATGAGCCCTGTGACCTTTGACCTCCGACCTCGTGACCCCAAAATCTAATCAGTTCATTGGCTCTGTTAGATACATATATGACCCAAGTTTGGCAGGAATCCATTGATCGGTTCTTGAGATATTGCGATCACAAGCTATTTTTGAATACATAATGAGCCCTGTGACCTTTGACCTTCGACCTCGTGACCGCAAAATCTAATCAGTTCATTGGCTCTGCAAGATACATACATGATCCAAGTTTAGAAGGAATCCATTGATCGGTTCTTGAGATATTGCGATCACAAGCTATTTTTGAATACATAATGAGCCCTGTGACCTTTGACCTTCGACCTCGTGACCCCAAAATCTAATCAGTTAATTGGCTCTGCAAGATACATATATACATGTCTTGAGTTTGATAGTAATCTGTCTATTGGTTCTCATTATAATGCGATCACAAGCTATTTGTGCATACATAATGAGCCCTGTGACCTTTGACCTCATGACCCCAAAATATAATCAGTTCATTGGCTCTGTTAGATACATACATGACCCAAGTTTGGCAGGAATCCATTGACCGGTTCTTGAGATAACGCGATCACGAGCTATTTTTGTAGACATAATGAGCCCTGTGACCTTCGACCTCGTGACCCCAAAATCTAATCAGTCCATTGGCTCTGTTAGATACATACATGACCCAAGTTTGGCACGAATCCATCGATCGGTTCTTGAGATAACGCGATCACAAGCTATTTTTGTATACATAATGAGCCCTGTGACCTTTGACCTCCGACCTCGTGACCCCAAAATCTAATCAGTTCATTGGCTCTGTTAGATACATATATGACCCAAGTTTGGCAGGAATCCATTGATCGGTTCTTGAGATATTGCGATCACAAGCTATTTTTGAATACATAATGAGCCCTGTGACCTTTGACCTTCGACCTCGTGACCCCAAAATCTAATCAGTTCATTGGCTCTGCAAGATACATACATGATCCAAGTTTAGAGAGAATCCATCAATTGGTTCTTGAGATAACGCGATCACGAGAACGGGACGTACGGACGTACGGACGGACGTACGGACGGACGGACAACCAGAAAACATAATGCCTCCGGCTACTTTGTAGCGGAGGCATAATTAAGTATAAATGGCCGTAATAATCACAAAATAAGCTTTGATTTCATACCTCCATTCACGAAAACTATATAAAAATCGCGGCAATCATGATGGAAATAGGTCTCTAAGTTTGGACGTCGACGGGAATTAGCCCCGTGTATCTCTCTGGCTTGTGCAGCGAGTACAAAGCACACCCTATAGTAAGATGGCTTACTCGGGGTTATCCCGCCCTTTGCATAGAGCATTTAATACGTAACATAATGTGAGTTGATGGTCATCTGTTGTGTGTCTGTTTGATACAGCTACTACAAAGCACATCATATAGCAAGACGCTTTACTATGGGTAATCCCGACCCTGTGCATAGTGCATTTAATACGCAACTTAATGTGAGTGGATAGTCATCGGTCGTGTGTCTACGGATGTAATGTTGAATATCCATGAGGTATCTCTGTCGTCACGCATATCCTGCATTATGCATATCGCGTCTGTTTTCGCCCTGGACGTCGACACGGAGGAGGACCTCGGGCGGAGTATAGCCAATTCCACAGAGTAGACTCTCCCGCGGACGATGGCACCGGGCACGGGTACCCCGAGGGGAGGCTTCAGGAGGAGATAGCTGCACCAACTTCGGTCGGCGATCTCATTAAAAAACAATAGAATACAAAGGCTCGCGGAGACGTCGCGCCCCCCGCGGAGCCTTAGCGTATTACTTATATACTGTTATTTATCAAAACATTCTTAACTCGTCATACACTCTGTTGAAAGAGATCTAGTGCTTTTCAGAGTAATGCATTGCCTGTATGACAGTATTAGTGGATATTTGCAGAGATCTAATTTGATCTTAAGTGAATTAGAGTTTATGGTTATCCAATATCAAGTGATATTTTAAATATAAAGTGAAGAGGCAGCTCAAATCTACATTTTTGTGGGCAGTCTAAGAGGATATTTAGGACAGGGTGACAGCTAAAACATGTATTACATATGGTCGAATAAAGATTTAATGGGGCCCACGAGGTAAATGTATTTTTAATAATAATAATATTCCGTTGTTGTATATTGTTACTCTAGATTTAGTTCTGGCCGCTGTTATATCAGTCCACAGTGCATTTCAAGGAATAATCCTTCAAGGTACCTAACCTGGGTGGAGGGTGGCAATTGTAGATTAACGTCTTGCCAATGGTTTTTAGTGCTGCGGCAGGGATTCAAACCCTGTAACTCGTGGTTCAAAGTCCAGAGACTTATCGACTGTACCACAATAACTGTACCGCTCTGGCCCCTGTCAATTTCTCTATGTGTAGACCCACCTGATGTCTTTGCTGTCTCTGTTTGTGAGTGTCAGGATCTTAGAGTGGGTGGGCATCCCGGCTCGGTGGATGAAACATGGCCCAAAGTCATACTGAGGGAAGGAGAAGTGAAGCCCAGGCGCTACCCCATGGCCGATGACCTTCACCTCATAGGTCGGACCGTTGGCAATCTAGAAGAATCAAGAATGCAAATGGTATAGTTAAACCTCAGAGCAGATAAACATAAACATCTCAGGTGGTAACTTTCTAGTTGATACGATACTAAGATGGTATGACTCAGTAGATGGTGCAATGGTCTTGGAAGTGAAAGGCCTAGAATTGAGACTTCATCAGAGTCACAAGGCATAAGGACAATGCACCCATCCTCAAGTAATTGACACCTAAAATAAGACATAGAGCTGCATGTCATCTGGAGCTGACACATGTGTATAGAAAAACACATACTTTCTTATCACTTGTATAAAATAATTACTTCATCAATCCAATAACTACAGGACTGCAATATGATAATCATGTTTTCATTTGCAGTGGTACATACAGAGCTAAACAAGCTGAGTGTCCAATAGAATCAAACACACAGTGTCACTGAAATGAAAAGGTTTCAACTGAGTTCCTTTAAGTTCATACACATATCAAAACTAGTCACTTACACAAATACAAATTTAAACTAGATGGAATTTTGACTGCGCGCAGTCGAAAATTATGCCTCCGCCATAGAGCAATTTAAACAAGTTTGGAGTTTAAATCTCCAGTGGTTCTTGAGATATCATGATAACAATCTCAATGTATGGAATTTCATAAGTTGACCTCTGTGACCCTTGACCTTTGACCTACGTGCTCCAAAATCTAATCAGATTGTCTTCCTATGGTGATACACACTATCATTAAGTTTGAAGTTTAAATCTCCAGTGGTTCTTGAGATATTATGATATGGTGATACATACTATCATTAAGTTTGAAGTGAAAATTCTCCAGTGGTTCTTGAGATATCGCGATAACGATCTCAATGTATGGAATTTCATAAGTTGACCTCTGTGACCCTTGACCTTTGACCTACGTGCTCCAAAATCTAATCAGATTGTCTTCCTATGGTGATACACACTATCATTAAGTTTGAAGTTTAAATCTCCAGTGGTTCTTGAGATATCATGATAACAATCTCAATGTATGGAATTTCATAAGTTGACCTCTGTGACCCTTGACCTTTGACATACGTGCTCCAAAATCTAATCAGATCGTCTTCCTATGGTGATACATACTATCCTTAAGTTTGAAGTTTAAATCTCAAATGGTTCTTGAGATATCGCGCTAACAAACTCAATACATTAAGTAGGGCCTAGTATGCTTCTGCCTTGTTGTACATTCATAATTTTATCTGTAAATAATGATTGACTTTGACACGATGACGAACATTTCCAGTGATTCTGATAATGTCACACAGGATATATTATGTGCTAATAATGATGAATTGAAATGTGGATTGGATCCAAATGATAATGCTTCGGGTCTCATTTCCTCAAACTATTATACTGAGTCCTCGGCCAAAAATATTTTCAAAAGTATAACTGATTCTTGCTTGTCTATATTACATCTTAATGTTAGAAGTCTCAACAAGAATTATGAACAGTTTCGTTCGTTTATAGATAACACAGGAGTTCCCAAAAATACAGTATTAGGCGTAACTGAGACGTGGCTTTCAGATCAAAATAATACACTGTTTTCTCTCCCTGGATATGATATACTTACAAATAATCGTACAAACAAAATAGGTGGTGGTGTTGCATTCTTTGTGCCAAGTCAATTTGAATATGTTGTAATCGAAGACATGAAAGTGATGAATGAAATTGCAGAAACTTTGTTTATTGAAATTACTGATCGCAATAGAAGAAAAACTATCTTGGGAGTTGTTTATAAGCCACCTCAGAGCAACCATGCTGATTTTCTGGACACTTTGAATAATTTATTACACTATCACTCCGTTCAAAACAAAAAGTGTATCATAATGGGAGATTTCAACTATGATCTCTTAACGAGTGATGCTAATATTCATGCACATGATTTTTTAGAGACATTCCTCTCTGCCTCTTTCTTGCCACTTATTTCTAGACCCACTAGAATAACCAATACTTCGGCAACTCTTATTGACAACTTTTTTTCAAATGTACGCTCTGAATTTAAAGCTGGCATAGTTCTGTCAGATATTTCTGATCATTTCCCGATTTTCATGTATTATTCAGAACGATTTCAGGCAAATAACTCTCCTAGTGATGCACCTAAAAGACGTGTATATAATGACGAAAACCTATGTGGATTGAAACTAAGCCTAGAAGAAGAATCTTGGGATGACGTATTTAATACAGATGATGTTAACCAGTCGTATGAAATCTTTATTGGAATTTTTATGTCTCATGTAAATCGAAATATTCCTTTTTCTAAACCCAAGTCTAAAAATTATAAGAAGTCACCCAGACTACCTTGGATAACGAATTCGATTCTACGTTCAATAAATCGAAAAAATAAATTATACTATAAATATATATCTAAATTAACTGATCAAACACGGATCCAGTATACTAATTATAAGAATAAACTTACAGGAGTGATACGTACTGCTAAAAAAGATTATTATCATGATCAATTCAATCGTTGCAAAAATGATCTTAAAAGAACATGGAAGATCATCAATTCTACCATCAACAATGGATCAAAGCATTCTAAGATTACTAAGCTTAGACATAATGATGCAATAGTTGAAGATGAAGTTCAGTTGGCAGATATTTTCAACAATTATTTTTCTCAAGTTGGTTTTAATCTTGCTAGGCACATACCATCCACGTACCGTTCATTTCACCACTATTTGGGGGAGAGAAATGAAAGTTCTATATTTTTCTCTCCTACGTACCCACAAGAGATAATTAAGATTATATCTGGCCTAAAAATAAATAAGAGTGCAGGATTTGATGAAATTGATAACAACCTTTTACAGAAAACTATGAATTATATTGTTGATCCTCTCGTTTATATATTTAATTTGTCATTATTATCTGGACATATTCCAGAATCAATGAAAATTTCGAAAATAATCCCAATTTTCAAAAAGGGTGACAGTACATTAACAAGTAATTATAGACCAATCTCATTGCTTACAACCTTGTCTAAAATCCTTGAAAAGTTGGTCCACATACGGACCATGAGTTTCTTTAAAAAGCACAACATCCTCTCTGATACTCAATTTGGCTTCCGAGAAAAGAGTAGCACTACCCATGCCATACTTTCTTTAGTTCAAACGGTTGCCAAAGCTATCGATCAGTCTTCTAATACGGTTGGTTTGTTCATAGATTTTTCTAAAGCATTTGATACTGTTGATCATGATGTACTTCTTTACAAACTTTCTCACTATGGAATTAGGGGAAAACCGTTGACGTGGTTCAAGAATTATCTTAAAGGGCGCTCCCAGTTTGTTTCGCTGAATGGTAATTTCTCTGAAAGTAAACCTGTCCTTTGCGGAGTTCCGCAAGGAAGTATTCTTGGCCCACTTTTGTTTATTATTTATATAAACGACATCGAGAGGTCATCTTGTCTGCTTCAATTTATACTTTTTGCTGACGACTCAAATATTTTTTTGTCACATCGCGATCCAGAGCAATTGACGCAAATACTAAATAACGAACTTAAAAATGTGGCAAATTGGATAAAAGCAAACAAACTGTCACTTAACTTAGACAAAACTAGTTACATGCTATTTAGTAATAAGGTTGCAACTTTGCCTAATTGTATAATTTTTGATGGTACTGTCATTCAAAGGGCCCGAACAACTAAATTTTTGGGGCTAGTTATTGATGAAAAACTATCTTGGAAAGCGCACACTGACAATATCTGCAAAATCATTGCTCGCAACACTGGTATCCTTAGTAAATTAAGACACTTCCTACCCCATTATATTATGTTATCCTTGTATTCTACGCTTATTCTTCCTTACTTGAATTACGGACTTATTGCCTGGGGCAGTGCAGCAACTTCCCAAATTAATAGACTCTTTATATTACAAAAAAGAGCGATTCGTATTATTAATAATGCAGATTTCCGGGCACACACGAATAATCTTTTTCTGAATAATAACATTTTGAAAATTAAAGACTTGTATATTTTTCAGCTTGGACAGTTAATGTACAAGCTCAACACTAAACAATTACCTTTGCCTTTTAATGATATGTTCGTAAGAAATGATTCGATTCATAGTTAACTCACTCGCCAGGCGAGCTCTTTTCATTTACCATTAAATAGAACATCTTTTGCACAAAAGACATTTGTTTTTACAGGTCCAAAACTGTGGAATTCTCTTTCAAATGATATTATACAGTGTAATTCGATACAAATTTTCAAAAGGAGACTTAAAAGCTTTCTTCTGAATAGTTACTAGGCTATTGCATTCCCCAATCAAATATAATTTGTAGTGTGACTTTATGCAACTTTGATTATTTCTCTTTATAAACATGTATGTATTTATCAATGTTTTGCGTTTAAAAGTTTTTTGTTTTTTTTTGTATTACTGAATCAGTTACTGTTATTATTGTTGTTTTTGTTTTGTTTTCTCATAAAATGATAATTCATGATAATTACTTTTACAGGGGGGCTTACACCCTACAAGCTCTGCTTTTTAGTCGGCCCTCCTTCCCTTTCAATTTCATGTTTATTTTTTAATGTATTGTATTGTGCAAATTGATCTATATGTATATAAATATGTGAATATGTTAAAATATACCATCATTGTAAATATGAACGATTGAAAGAGGAAAAAATAAATGAATTGAATTGAATTGAATTGAATTGAATACAAGGAATTTCATAAGTTGACCTCTGTGACCTGTGACCTTTGACCTACGTACTCCAAAATCTAATCAGATCGTCTTCCTATGGTGATAAATACTATTCCCGAGTCTTAAGTTTAAATCTTAAATGGTTCTTGAGATATTGTGATAACGGTCAAACGGGACGGACGTACGGACGTACATGTACGGACGTACGGACGGACAACCCGAAAACATGATGCCTCCGGCACCACCTTCGGTGGCGGAGGCATAAAATATAACCCAAGGAACTTGGAATGAAACAAGTTAAACAAAGAAAGAACATAGAAAAGATGTTTCACCTTGCAGATAAGCTCACACCCTCTGAGGGTCGTCTTGTAGATGGGTTTGAACGACAGGACACTACGCTTGCGATCGTTGCAAGGTACACCACCAAAGTCTGGTGAGATACTCAAGAGCTTTGGGTTGCTTCCCCTGGTCTCCTCCTTCAAGAACCACTCAAAGTCAAAGTTGAACTTGCCGGTGTTGATGATGTAGAGGGAACGCACTGCCTTCTCGTTCACCTCAATCTAAAACAAGAGAGATTACACAAGGGATTAATAATGCAGCACTTCAATATTCAGTTTTTGTGATATATCCTTTTTTTGTTCTTCTTCTTCTTTTTCTTGTTTAATCTTTAGTTTTTTGCAGACCATCAAAATTAGATGTGGTACAGACAAACATGAACTTGAACTCGGTTTGATACAATGATACATCAAAAAGATTCATTTACTTGTCACACTGCACATAAACAATATAACATTTGTATTAAACACATCATGTCTCTGTGTACTTCAAAAGCTATTACTCTGACTAGTTGAACATATTGGCATGCAATGTATATAATGTAGCTTACATGGCATTCAAGAATAGAATTCAACTAATTACCCACTTACTAAACCTGGGTTGAGAGAGACAACACGCTATAAAATGCCTGGTCTTTGACTGGAAATCATTGTCTAAGGAATAAATATGTTTCAATCAAAATCTTATGATCATTCTCAATCGCAAGTCAAAAGCAACCCAACAACTGAAGTCTCTCCGCTTTTGTGAAACGGTCAAACACCAAATTGAGAGGTCAAACAACAAGTTGAGAGGTCAAACGACCAGTTGAGAAAAAATGATATGACTGACCTCTCCAAAGTCAATGCAGTTGACGCCTGTGCTGGACAGGTCTTTCTTCTGACCGGTCGAGTCTTCGCACTGGACAATGCAGTTCATGGAGTAGCCCTCGGCCTTGACGTTGAGGCAGATTGGTAGGGTCTTCTTCCGGACCTGGATCTGGACGTTGAAGTTGACCACCTTCTCCTCACGGGGGGTGAAGGAGACATCGATGGGAATCCTGCAAAATTAGAAGGAAATGGTGAAGATTATTATTTATCAGAAAACAGTGCATCTTAGTACGTGGATGGCTATTCAATAGCCATTAGATATTCAATTTCTTAAGATTTTGAAAAACGATACTCCCAATAACCTTGTAATAACTCACAACTTGTGAATGTATAAAAGGCAAATGTGTGTTTCAATGCAAGCAGGCTGGCAAAATGCTGGGATGATGCACTCTCCTTTCACAATGTTATCAGAGTGAAGATATGGCAGTGAAAACTGAAAGAATGATGGTAATCTTCACACAAATTATAAACATGAAAGGAGTTCATCTCAAGGAACACAAGGGTATCACACTCACAGTAAAATATTTCACTAGTGCTGACTCGTAGAATATTATCTCAGCTAGTGAAATACACTATTGTATTATGTTTCAGTCTATCATTCAAATATCTTTAAAGACACTTTGTAGAGGGCTCTCATGGGGAATTTGACACCGTTCAGGTGTTTACCCAATAACAAGTTTTGTCAATCACCAGGATTAGCAGGCTTCAGTTTAATGACCAACAGACCTTATGTAACGCACTACATTTTCCACTCATTCCCTCATACGGTAAAGTCATTATCTTACATTTCCCTCACCAAAAGACTCTCCAAGAGACTAGGGGGGTTATTTCTTGATAGGACTACGGGTTTGTTGTATGCCAACTTGTACACCCATTAATGGTATTCCAACCGAGTTGGTGTCAACGAATTGATATGACCTTCTGCACAAGGAAACTGACGACCCTCCCCCTTTAACTAGCTGACTCTACTCACCTGTCATTGGGTAGTATGGTGCCCTTCATTGGAGTCAAATGGAGCCTGGATGAGAATGCTTCTGAATGACAAGACGTCTCGTTGATCTCAAAGTCAAAGGCTCGTGCCTCGTTGTTGATCAGGAAAATTCTCTCATAGGCCTCGTTTCCTAAATTAAGAGGATGATAATATTGGAATTATAAGCATGTTAAATACAGGAGCCACCTTTGTAAACAGGAACTGCATGTCACAGAACATTGGGTTACAGCAAATGAAGGAATAATGGTTTGAAAATTCTTGTATCACATCAATTGTCTGCCAATTCACGTCTGAGGAAGATGTCAGAAGTCTAGAAATCAAAACTGTTACAGGTAACTGCTTCCTTTTGGATGTGATAAAAGAACTTTTAAATCATTATTACAACATAAATAAGCAAATAATTGAATAGTTAACCCATCCTGGCAACAAGCTGCATTCCATCTTTGTGAGTTAAATTTGCAACGTTATTTGTTTTTCCACTTCACCTTCAGGACATTAGTAATGTAGAAATAACATTGATGACTTTATATTAATAGCATTGTACATGCATGTATGCACAGTGAGGATAAATGAGCTCTGATGAGCTGAGGGCTCGTTCCAACAAATGCACCCAAAGTATAATGGAAGCCCATATACTAATGTATGAATGGCACGTTTTAAGTTGCAGGGTTCAAATTTGTTGTGGACATATAAAGTGGTGTGCATAAATGCATTATCCATTGAAAAAGGGAAATGACAAAACAAATTTCCCCACCTCTACATAGCAAATGATAATCATGTATGTCCATAACAGGTAATCTGTGGGAACTATAGCCCTTTGAAATCGAGGAATGAATCAATACTTACCAAGAAGCATGGACTTGAAGTTGATGTGGGATCTATCTGTGGAGACGGCAGGTTCATGGGCATCACCTACCAGGAGGAACGGGACGGAGATGTTCTGCTCAGGGATGGTGAACCTCCAGAAGGATTCCACAACACCCAGCTGGTTTGGCAAGAACTCAAAGCTCACCTGCATGGTAATGACGAACATGGGAGTGAGATATTGAGTAAGTGTTGATTGATTGATTGATTCAAATTTATTCCATTTCATATCAATTGTTTGCATAATAAAGAACATAGTTGACAAAGTAAGTTCAAAATTATGAAATGAAACAGGAACCTACTGGAAAACATAGGTTGTTTTATGTAGGTTCTCAAGAATAGATATAATATGAACATTATTTTCATAAATCATTTTAAAGTGTCTTAATAATCACAGTAAAATACATATAGATAGAGATATTGTAGCTGAATTGCAACACAAAGTCAATTACAGGAGGGCCTTTTAATTCTTGTTAACTAAGGGATTGATTTAGTATCAAAACTACAGAGTCACACTGCCCTAATCACTATTCATTGATTGGTTGTTTATTTTACAGGGAATATCATCCCGTTTCGTGCTTCTGCTGCGCATCCTGCCTGGCAATTTAAACTTGTACATAATACAATATATTTCATTCATTACAGGCTAACAGTTCAAATCCCTACAATACATACCTGTGTCTTCTTGCCAGATGCCACCTGGCCCTGTGTGGTCAGACACTTGAAGACGGTAGGTTTCTTGGGGTCTACCTCATCCTCACACATCCACATGAAGGTGTAGGGCGTGGCTGTCGGGTTCACAATGAAGAAGTGACGAGTGTTGCGCACCTGCAATGAGAACACAGCCGTATGGTCAATACTGGTAGTCAAATCGTAACTTCCTTAGAGACCTTTAAATCCAAGCTGAAATCTCATCTTTTTTTTAACAATACCGTACCTGTACTTGGCACTATGACACTCATCCAAACTCAGCTATTCTTTCTATTTTTCTTGTGTGCCTCGGAATAGAATTATCTAGATAGACGGCGCTGTATAAATGCCTATTATTTATGGTATATTCTTTCTTGTCTTCAGAGATTGATATTATGTTCAAATATACTATATAATAGTGAAACAATGTAAATGAAATAATGCTCGATCTCCACTTCCTTTTGAATTGCAAATGCTGTACTATTAGCAAATTTTTAAGTAATACGCACAATGTAAATGTATTTCATTTGTTTGAAATGCATATATTTTCTCATTTCTTGTAATTATTCTTCTGGAACAATGCTACATGTATTTCTGTCTTGTGTCACGAATCACAAGGTAAACTTGAAGACACAGATTACCTTGCTCATAAACATTAATAATTCCATATTGATAGCAAATTGCAAGGTATATACTCTCTTCATTTTTCTCTCACTCCTTCCCTCTCTTGTTATTCCTGAACACAAATCTGCATTTGATTTTCCAAGAGCCACTTTCACTAACTCCCTTACATTATTTTACTGTTTATACCCCTGGTATCTTCTCTTAAGTTTCTTCTTCCTCCTCTCCCCCCCCCCCCCCCCCTTCACCCTTCCATTCCTTCTCACCTGCACACCAATGGAGGCCATCTCCAGGACCCTGGTATTGGGATCCAGGGTGGAGCCGGGTGGAGCCCCTCCTGGTCCAGGCAGCTCTGGATTGCGCCTGGCTCCGTTGATGTAGTCCGAGTCCTCCAGATCAAAGTGGCAGTAAGGCATCACACTCTTACCCTTGACAGCCAGGACCGGTCCCTGCTTGCCCTCTTCTAGGTTGGGCACTCTGGTAATATTCAAATACAGATAAATTAACAAAGACTAATTACAAAATCTTTCCTTGATTGATTTCAAACATCCTCAACAAAATTTATTCTTAAGCTCTTTCTCCATACTAAAACAGTAGAAATGTTCTGTTTTGTGAATAGATATTCTTTTCTATTTATATGTATCCTTGATCATTGTAAACACATACATTTCAGCTTTTTAGCTTGCAGCATGTGCATCATTGTACTCTGTTTTTCCGAAATAAAACCTGAATTGAAAACGTGGAATTGTCATTGTTAATTGTGGTTTAAACAAAATAACATTTTCACAAATGGCAATTTACCAATTTAAATGGAAAATGTGATAAATGCAAATACTAGACTTGCCTTATCAGGCAGATGTAATACAGAGTGCAGGCAGTAGCTGTCTTTATATGTTTATAAAGTAATTTTGTTTGCTCTACAAAATGGGGATCACATATTTTTTCTCTCTCAAAAGGCATAACTTTTTCTAACCAATCAAGATTGTCATTTTCTTGCATGTATTCTCTTTTTTCATAAGTGAAATCAATATACTGGTATGATGATTGCAAGTAAAATATGATTCAACACTTTTCTCTGTGCAATGTTTTTTCTTTCCCGATTGCAAACATAGAATGTTAATTTTATTTAAATATAATATTCAAAGATCACTCAATTTGATTTGATAAGCAAGATCAATTTACCTGCAGATGAGCCTGCCCTCATAATCCTTGATATCCAAGGGAGCAAACTTGACCTTGAAGTTCTGCTTCTTGCCCGGCCCGATGGACCCCATGTCCGGCTCTACGGTGAAGGGGTACACGTCCACGGCGCCATCAGCGGCAGTGCTGCAGCGGGACGGGAGTCTCAGCTGTTCACCATCGGCAAAGCTGACACTCTTGTGGTGCGATGCATCATCCTCCATGACCACCTGCCAGCTGAATGGTAGCCCCACTGTTCCCTTGTTTGTCACCAAAAACCTGTAATAATAATAAGAATATTAATATTGGATATTTATATAGCCACATATCCATCATCCAAGGTGCTAAAGGCACTCCAATACTACCCCGGTTCTGTTAGGCTACCACATGAGTGCTCACAGCATTCAAGGAATTCCTTCCTGCCGATACCTATTTGACACCCTGGGTTGAGAAGGACATTAGTGCCACAGTGGGACTTGAACCGCAAAACCTGTGATCATAAGTCCGATGACGTATCCACTAGACCAAGACACCTCATATAAATAGAATTAAGCTATTCTCTTTTGTGTAATTCCATTGTCTTGCACAGATCTGTTTCTGGCACTCTTTTGCAAGAGTGCATTATTAGCCTGACTTTCACACATAAATTCAATGAAGTCAAACAAAATCTATGCAACAAGATCAAGATTTGAAGATCAAGATTGGTCACAAAATAATGGACAAGCAAAGCTAGCACTAATTTGTTTTAAACAGATACATACCCACTCTTAACCACACAGACATGGGCACACCTAAACATACAAGGCCTGTTTCACAGTCCTTGTCCTAATTTCATTTTGGTAGGACAAAATAACTTAATATTACAAATCATTTTGGAATATAGAATGGAAAAGGAACATCATAGGTATGTTTATGAAAGTACTTTTTTTTTTAAATGGTCAACTCGCCTCCAAGGGTAAAACAAGGATATATCTTTTATATGTATTTGCTTCATTTCTATATTTGAGTGTGCAGATATAAAGTTCGGGCAATGTTGACATGAAATTTTCTATGCACACAAGTTTTAACATATGCAATGACAGTTACTATGAGGTATAACGTTATAATAAAAAGTTCAAAATCAAAACAGGGCTACATACGAGAAGATCCTGGTCTGAAACATAAGTGTATCCTTGAAGTGGACAGCCTCGGTCTTGCACTTGAACTTGCAATAGTCTGCAATGGCACTGACATTGAGTTCTATCTCTCGGCTAGAGTCTTCCTTCACGGAGTGGGTCGGTTCAGGCTCGGTCTCAATCACCTACAGGTGATACAATGCATGGGATTGTTAGGAGAAGATGATGTGGTTTTGTAACATTTGTTGCTGTGAATTCAACGGCATAATGACATCTCAAGGTTCTACAATTCAAACAAGACACTTTGTGAAGCTGGCAAGACATTTTCTTAGGTTTATGTTTAGATGTTTTTAAATGAGAAATAATGGTGGCATCGATCTCTTTCTTTTTCTTGTATACCACTTCTCTGTCTTTCTCTCTAACTCTTATCATATTTCTTTCTCACACATTTCCTTCTCTATCTCTTCTTTATGGCCTGTATTAGATAGTCGGGTTTAACTTAAACTCCAGTAGAAGTTAAATCAGAGTTTAATTAAACATGAATTAGACTTCAAGTCCAGTGTAAGTCGGGTTTAACTCCATTTCTGTTTCTGAAAGTCTGGTGCAATATAAATTTTGTACAAAATTAAACCAGACTTAGGCCGGACTTTTTGATTTAGACTGGACTTAGAACAAATTTAAACTCTAGTTTAATATAAACCAGAACTCAGAATATGTCAGTCTTATGTGTCTCTATTGTTCATTCTTTCTCTAATCTTCAAAATCTCTCTCTCATAACCTCAACATATCTCTCTGTCTCTCTCTTTCTGTCTCTGTCTCTATATCCCTTCTTCTGTCTCGATTTATGGCAGTTTCTTCTTACCCTCACCATCTCTCTCTCTCTCTCTCTCTCTCTTTAAGCATATCTCTCTTTCTTTCTTCGTTTCTCTTACCTTCTTCTTGGTTGGGCGTGGCACCTCGTTGGTAGCGTTCATCTTCCTCCTCATTTCCTCTTCGTTCCTCTCCCTCTCTGCAGCCTCTGCAGCGGCAGCAGCAGCTTGGGCGGCTGCATTGCTTGCACCCTTCTTATTCGTCCTGCTCTCTCGATCCTCTCGCTTCTGGTCCTGGGTGGAGCGAGGCCGACCGCCAGTCTGCTCGCTAGAGGTGGCTGGTCGAGCATTGGCGACTGGTAGGTCAACCCAGTTGACCGTTCGCAAGCGGTCATCCCAGTCCATTACCTAGAAAATATAAAATGCATCGCTTTGTTATGAAAGAACGTTCCTTCAAAATCTACACAAAAGTCAAGAGTTATAGTGTGGACTTCAAAGTTTTTATGCTAATTAATGCAAAATAGTTCTATGGCCTTTCTATATTCTCCTCCATAGGTTGCAATAAATGAATGAATAAAATAATCATATATATATAAGCCTCTAAGAATTGTATATTCTGAACATCCCCTACCTTGTATATTTCAAGGATAAAATGGCAAAGGGATAATATAACATTAGATTCAGTCAATGCAAAATTTAGTAGCAAAGATGAGCTGAAAAATCTTGAGTACTCACCTGATCCACTGGCTTGTCAAAGTTGATCTTGCACATCTTGCATGCCACCAAAGCCTTGGTCAGCGTGACGGCGGTGGTCGTCTTGAATGTGATGACCACATCCTTGGCACAGCCGGCATGGAGATGACCAATGGCTGGAGAGAACTTGAGCTGGGGATGGTTCTCTGGCCAGTGGAAGCGGATGGTGTCCGTCTGGCTGTGGTTGGTCATGGTGAAACTCAGCTGGCGGGCATCGTTGATGTAACAGTCACTGAAGTGGATGTGGTTGGATGGAGCAGCTGCAAACAAAGGAAAATTGAGAAATGCTTTAGATAAAAACTCCCAAAGAAAGATAAATGGATATATGGAGGAGAGCGCCAAAATTTCCCCATCTTCTTTGGGAAATGAGAGGACTGCATTGGAGCATAATCTGGTTGGTTAAATGCTTCCTATGGTATACTCCTGTCTTCCATATGCGTTTAATCGAAACTTTGGGTTTCAACATCAAGCGATAACAAAATCGATTATCGATTCACCTAAATAATCACCTAATCTGCGAATACACAATTTTTATTCACCAGCCAAAACATGTCAAAGAATGTGTATCATCAAAATACTATCAACAACATGATTAGTGCAACCAATTCCATTGTCTTTGATTAACGTGTAACAGGGGTAATATCAGTGTACAAATATGAAATAGACAAATATATGGATTGGCATCAAACAGAGGCCAATTCATGTCAAGTGGTCATATACTGGGCCCCGTCTTACAGAGAGATGTGATTGATCTAAATCAATCCCAAGTCCTCCAATCAATTGCAATTTTGCAGTCTCCTATCTCTTATGTATATACATGTAGTTGCGATTGATATCAACTCTTTGTAAGACGGGTCCCAGGGCAAAATAGAGAAAACATCGATCACTCACCAGCTATCTGCTCCTCCTCCACCGTACCATCCAGGGTCTCCTCCGTCACCAGGCTATGGATGTTGTCCAGAGTCACATCGTCAAGGTAACTCTCTCCAACCAGCTGGATGAGCTGGTTCTCAAACTGGTTATCGGTGACGGCGATGCGGACCTGGGCAGCGCTGCGTCCTGTGCTGGAGGCGGTGTAGACCACGTTGAACTCTGCACTCTCGTTAGGCTGGATGATGAGGGATGCAGCATGGGGGTGCTGCTTGGTGGAGTCGGCTGAAAATTGGCAACATTGTAAAGTTTTATCCAATGTTTTACTTTTATATTTATATTTATAATTATTATAGAGTTTATAATGGTGATTAGAATTTTTTTATTGCTTTTCAAATAGTCATTAGATGAAGCATCTAATGGTTCAAGTATGCACTTTCTCATAATACCATCTCAAAACCATTCCTTAAAGCGAGACTGCACTACTTGTAGCTACTTGCGCCCTCTATATGGCCAACAATGCCTAAGCGGTACCCGTTGATCCCCCATGGTCCCCTTTTTCTTATGTTAATTGAGAGCTGATTTGATGAGAAAATCACCTGCCAGTGCACCACGCAGGAAGGTCTAATCCCTTCTGGTCAAACTAGTGCAGATGGGCTTTAATATGGTAGATCATATTTCATCGAGCAAGCTACTACCGGGTAACACTGTCTATGAAGGGAGGTTGTGAGGTGGTTTTACCTAATCACGAACATGACCTTGACTCAAATTAGTACAGACTATTGAGTTGCTAATAACTGTATCTGGTGGGAATCAATACGCAAACATGACAGCATAATTTGCGTTTTATATTGTGCTTGATACTAAATACAGTCTCTAAACGCTTTATAAAGATATTAATACCCCAATCATCGGATTCATTTTTACACAATGTGCACCATCTCCACTCCCTGGGGAGTATTCCTACCCCATGGTCACCGTGAGGGCATATGGCAATTACGAACACAAAGGCTTTCGTCATCCTACCATGTCCCCATATTTCTTGTGGGTATGGAGTGGCAAATGTAGATTAATGCCTTGCCAAAGGACATTAGTGCTATGTCAGGGAATTGGACCCATGACCTCTGCATTTCAAGTCAAGTGCTTAAACCACTGGACTATGACACCTCTACAGAATATCTCTTACCTTTTGATAGCAGAGTGTCACTATAGGTTGGGTATATGAGCTTGGTTCTGGCAGAACTCTGAAGCTTGAACGAACCTGATGTATCTTCAAGATCAATATCAACCTGTATAAAGACAATCAAAGCAAAGCGTAAAATCTTTCAATAGGAGAAATATATGTAACATGCATCGTTTTTTTAAACATCAAAATAAACATGTACACAAAGAAACGCCATGAACATAATTAGTAGAGACATATATATCCCTTGTAAAAATGATGTTTTTTGTGTTTTTCATAACTCAAGAATGAAAGATGGACTTGTTGAATTAGGGCCTATGTTGAATACTTTTATATGTAAGCTATAATAGCTTACATTCTCAAGAAATTGAGACAAATTTTTTTTTCACATACTTGAAAAATTACAAAACATGTTAAGGGTATGAATAATTTAGTTGTTAACTGTATACTTCCATATCATGTCAAAATACTAGCTAAGTAAAATATTTTAGCTTATGCAGGGACAGAGTAGGTGATTTTTTTTTCCAAAGATACATGACATATTGCAATATGAGTAGTTTTAGCTGTGGGATATAATAAGAACTAGAAGTCATTGAGCCTAGCAACTGCATAGAAGCTGGCATCTCTCAATCATCCCCATGTAAAGTTACACACCCCGTTTTATCCATCGACCATGCACTTACCTTGCTGGGCAGGGTGCCATCATTAGACAGACACAGGGGCAGGGTCTGGGATCTACCGCTGAGTAGACGAGAGAAGAGGAGCAGGGGCGTACCCTTCTTGTTCCTCAGAGAGGGTTTGAGGACCGTCACACGGGGCAGGTTACCCTCTCCCTGCACCTCAAAGGACAGGTTACGAAGCTTGGCCTGGGGTCCGCTTAGTCCTTCAATGGCCACCTCAAACTGACCAGTGTAGGTCTGTAACATGAAGAAAATGTGCAAAAATAAAGTTAGACTAAATGTCATGCACTATATAGTATAACATTTTCATAAAAGAGGGAAAAAAATAATGATCATTTATGTTACAGATCCACGATAAAAAGTGGGTTTACAAAAAACAAACATTTAAGGCATTCACTGTCAAGATTTCTCCTATTTATTGAATAAATTCTATTTATCTGTATTTTCTATTGCATAGAAGGAATGCTATATTCTCTTTTGGCTAGATTTTTCAGACTCTTTCTTTCTATTAGTGAAAATTCTTTGAAATAAAATTAAGGAAAAAAAAATGTTTTTGAAAAGAGGAACCATAACAAAAATGTTTTTGGATAAACAGAATCAGAGACTGCTATCATAGCAGGTGGCCACTATGACATGTTTTAACTGTTATTCAAATCAAAATCTTTACTTGCACAGAATTAGAACACACCTGCATGGATGGGGGTGAAAAGGTGACTGTGGCATAGACACTACCGTGAGCAGGGATGGCGGCTCTAGCTGGCTCCACATCAAAGATATCCTGGAGCTTAGATGAAGGCTTACTCGTCTGGAGCTTGCAAGAGAACAACACATCACATGATACCTGTATGGAAAATAAAAGAGATGAAGGATTAAGGTATTGGTTTAGTACGATTTCGAAGACGGCATAGTTGAGTTAAATGGTGGAAATTCATTCTAGAATTTGACTGAAGGGCTGTCAAATTAAAGCAACAATTGTTTTAACCAAATATAAGTATCACTTCTCAAATAATATAAATGGGTATTATCCTGATAAGCTGATTATCTTAAAACATAGTTTACTTTGTTTAACAAAATAGCATGAAGTCAATAAAATATTAAAATGATACAATTCCAGAATTATGTTATACCTGAAACTTCTTTTACATTCATTACTCCAATATGTAAGTTATATTTATATACATATCGATCCAATAAAAAAACATATCCCAGTATTCCAGTCTGTCTTCTAAATAGGTCAAGGAACCTAGCCTGTATTAAACAGGGACAGGAATGACAACATCCAATCTAATCCAAAAGATATTTGATATAGCGCCTTTTCCTTGCGGTTACAAAGCGCTGCACACACCCCTCCATAATGTTTGGGTCACTTATAAACAAAATTTAGTCACTTCTCAGAGATCAGTCAAGTAAATGTAGGCTGGTCATAAAGTAATTTCTAGCAGAATATCTGACATACCTTGTAGGGATTGGAGATCTTGAAGCGCGCCTTGGCCTTGCGTCCGACCAGCACGTGACCAAAGATGAACTTGTTCTCGTCCTCCCCGAAGACTCCTCCTCCGTCCAGCTCCAGCTGATGGGTGTTGAGGAAGACGCTGAGGTTCTTGACGATGCGGTGCTCCTCAAAGATGGAGCCCAAGTCCGTCAGGTTGATACCAGGAATGCAGGCTTCGGCCATCACCTTGTAAGGGATGCCCTGGGGGTGGTCGGTCGGGTCACGGTCGGAGATCTCTATTGCGAGGTCCTGATGGATCAAAGAAGAAAGAACAGAGGAGCTAGTACAACATTCAATATCATACAGCAATATCATTTGAAAAAAACAATATGAAATGTGCATAGAACCAGAGAGGATCAAATAAGACATTTCACCCCCAACATATGGTACAGAACATTAAATCTCAGTGGTTTTTTTACACCTTGAAATTGTCCAAAAGATACCAAAAGGTTTACAAGTCTTTGCTTCCTATTTATTTTCATTGGGTCATCACCCACAAAACTATCATTTGAGGAGCCTTTGAATGAGTATTTTCCTCATCTGTTTGAAAGACAGTCAACCTTGTTATTGGCATATCTCCATGCTTGTAATTGTTGACAGAAATATGCTTTGAATCACCATTTTCATATCTACAATATTTAAAAAATGTGTAGGTTTGAAGAATACATGAAATTTTAAGTGTCTCAATAGCTTTTATCACATATTTCATACTTGAAACTGGGGACACCAAATAAAGACTGAACAATTAGTCCTAACTTACCTCCAGTCCTGAGCCAACAGCCTCTGGAAGGCAGTCCACGCTGACCGTAGCCTGGTTGTTAGGAGATACCAAACCATAGGCTGGATAGACTGTGAACATCCCTAGCTGGAGACGGGTCTGACTACCACCGCCACCACCACCGCCTCCTCCGCCTCCACCACCGCCGCCTCCTCCTCCTCCTCCTGCAGCACCCACATCTTGTCTGAAGGTGGAAGGAAAATAGATGATACAGATAATCACGAAAATAACGATGTTGATTTTGAGGGTGTCATGGTGATGATGATGATGGCAGAGATGATAATTGACATGAGGATGAAGATAAAATGTTGAAGAATATTAGATTGATGATGAATATAATAATGATGATGATGATGATGATGATGATGATACTTGAGATGAGGATGACAATGAATGTTGATTATAATAAACAAGATGATGATGAGGAGGATGATAATAATAATCATGACGTTGATGATGAAGAATATGATATTGATGATGAATACGTTGATGATGATGATGATGACGATTATGATGATGATGATGATGATGATGATGGTGATGATGATGAAGATGAAGGAGATGGTGATACTTGAGATAAGGATGACAATGAATGTTGATTATAATAAACAAGATGATGATGAGGAGGATGATGATGATTATTATGATGGTGATGATGATGATGATGATGAAAGAGATGGTGATAATTGAGATGAGGATGACAATGAATGTTGATTATAATGAACAAGATGATGATAGTAATAATGATGAGGATTATGATGATAATAATAATGGTGATGTTGATGATGATGATGGTGGTGGAGTTGAAAATTGAGATGACGATGACATTGAATGATGATGATTAAGAAAAAGATAATGATAGTGATGATAAAAATTACTACAAAGATGATGATCATGAAGATAGCAATTTTATGATGGCAATACTGATAATGATAATATTTTGTATGGACTAATACGTCATATATATATTGATCAACAGAAACGAATTGGATGAAATATATAGTTTGGAATCTTAAATATGAAGTTTCTTTAACATTTTACTTCCCAGAGTTAAGATTACAATGTTTAATCATTGAATATTGTGATTTGAACACCCACCTGTATACTATTAAAGTAACTGATAAATAAAGAAATGCAACAAAAATTACACTTTGTACTTGAAATTAAAAAGAGATTAAATGCAGTAGATATACTGAAGTGATTTATGTGAAGTTACAGAATGTGTGTTGTGTAGTAAGATACAGAAGGGCAATAACTCTGTGTAAACAAGTCCTTCTAGGCCTCCACTCATGAAATCTTGAAGCATCAAAGCAAACAAATTTTACTGTAAACAAGGACAGCAAACAAGTTGCATGAAATAGATTATAGGCAATATGAAGATATCTCAGTCCAAGAAACTAAAAGCAGAGATACATCAAATGTAGATGTATAGAAGGTTGGGGTCAGTAAAAAGTATAATGTAAACAAGAGATAGACTCATTGTGTGCCTTTTAGAATACAGAGGGAAGGATTTGCCAAGCTTAATATTTGAAAGAGTATACTCATAAGACTGCAATATTAATTTTTCCAAAAGAAATCAAAAGAAAAAACACAGATATGAGATGCAACACACTTTGACAGCAATTACCCAAAACATGAAATCTACAAACACATTGTATTGACAACTTCAAAGTGCTACTTAAGTAACTACATTTTCATTTGAAGCAAAATTCACACTATGAGGTACTTTGGGGGAATAACATTTAACACTCCAAAAAAAATCAACTGCATTAGAAAAAGAAAAGAAAATAATCAAATTTTGAAGTTTTGCTTGATCATCAATATGAAAAATAAAACAATTTGCTAATCTTACCCCCCCCCCCCCAACAAAAAAAGGAAAGGGAGACTAATTTGATACTACATTATTTAGAAATGGTCTGTAATTTAATCCAAAATTTAAAAAAAAACGAAACAATCTACCAGTATTGACAATGAGTCTATTTTTCTTAGGTACAGAATATTCTTAGGTACAGAATATCTTGTATCAATGCCCGGGCTGAATGTACTTCATATTCATATTCATATATATTTCATGATGTCCATACGTTTAACATTAAGTGTCAGTATATGTATGTGTTGAATATTCATTGTGGAGTAAATAAGAAATGCCTATTAAATTGACTTTAAATGGATGAGTAGGTCCAAAATCTGCATACAAAAATGATTATTCTGAAATATGTGCATCACATAAAATTAACTTTAAAAATTTATTTCAAGTCACTGGTCCATTATCAGGCTACATCATCACATATGATTGTTTGTTTTTCTCTCCTTTGTTCTTTGACAGAAGGCCTTAAGAAGCATATTGTTTATTTACATAAAAAGTATGCTAAATCTGTCCATGAAATGCTAAAACTAATTCAATAAAAGACAAGTGAGGAATGCATGAAAGTGAGAAGACAAAAAAGAGAAGGAAGCATGGCATTTGTGGAGGGTACAACCTCAGCACTATAAAACTGCTAAATACTGCATACCAAAAGTGACAAAAATGCACAAAATGATACTGGGAAAACCAAATTGCGGAAAGAGAATACTATAGTGTGACATTGAAACACAGAAAGGAAATATATTGATGAAAGAAAAACACAAGCTTCCTTTTACCTGGTGGATAATCTTTAGACCAAAAGAGAAATACCAAGGGGGAAAAAGCATGACTTAAATATATGAGTGCATTGTTGAGATGATGAATCAGAACTATGGTGAATTTCTAAGAAGAGCATTTTGAGAAAGAAAACGCAGTGAATTTTGAAATATTACTTGTCCTCAGGATTCCTTTAGAAAAACAATATGCCAAAGATAGAGTATACTTTTTAAAACAAATCCAAATCAATGATAAGATGCAAGTTTACATTTTCATTTTTTATCACATGACCGACCAGCCAGAGTGTCTGACTGAAAGTTGGTTGCTCTATTTTCACTGAAATTTCACACATGCCATAGATTTGAGCTACAGTATCAATGTACTTTGAAATATCAAATATATGTACCAAACTTTTAAAATATCCTGATTTGTGGGAAATTTCCAAAGGAGATGGAAACCTTCTTTACAGACTAAGATAAAATACGGAAGACAAAGTATCAAAGTCTGTTTTCCCCACCTAATGATTAAATGTGAAATCATAAACAATGGAGCCTTTTGGAACTATTACTTGTTGACTATTAAAACTAAAAATATTTCCTTCATCATATACACGTATACAGAGGATGTGTGTGACCACACTTGTCATCAACTATATGCCTATATATATAATGGAGAATTGACAAGTTTACTAATATATTCAAATTTTATGCATACTGTTTAAAGAAACAACAAATAATGTATTCAGACTGGATTCCAAGTATTATTGTAGTTCATTCATTAATAACAGTATAATTAGTGGAATTCCTTGTCACTATAGGTCCCCAGGAAAGAAACATCCATAAAATTTGAATATTTTAGTAAACCAGTCCATTGCAGAAATTGAAATATCATGACATCTAATCTGACCAGAGAAGGCAATTACTCAAAACTCCATTGGAGAAATATCAAGGGGGCAAAATGTCAAAGGTCGAAGGTCAATGGCTTCCTTGACTTACCTGATGGACTCTGCTCTCTTGGGTTTGGCCACTGACCGGCCTGAGCTTGACCCATCTCTGGACTTGCTACGCTTGTTTGTACCTGGTGGTCTGTATGATTAACGCAAGATAGGAAAGAAATGCATGAAAATATTTGTAGGTACATGTAAAGGCAGAAGGATTATCAGGTATTTTCTAACTCAACTTTCAACCTAATTTCAAGCTCATAATCCAACTACAAACAAAACGTGTCTGTATAAATCAATTTTCCTTGTTTCACACAAAATCTTATTTTCGAACACTTGAAATGTTAAGGTTCAATTTCAATTTGTACTCTGAATATTAGTACCGGTATTCCAATTCTTTTTTTGGTGCTATAAAATTTATATATATATATATGTATTTAGATCTAATTTGTATATTTTTACTACCGTAATTAATGGTGTATTAACCGCACCTTTTTGCCACAGAAAAAATTCAAAGGGGTGCGGTTTATACACGGTACACAATTTTTTTTTAAAGTTTCGATTTATGCCCCTCTACCTGGCGCTATGCCTGGCAATGTCTCCCAGGTCAGTAATCGGTGTGTTGACTCACCACTCGGAAACTAGCACAACACTCAAATTTGTCTGTCATCTTGGTATGAAAGTAATCTTTCTGATAGATTTCAATATGTAGTTTATAATAATAATTCCTCCAATTTTTCTTCTATTACACGGCGTACCACAAGGTTCTATCCTAGGTTCTCTACTGTTTTTTAAGTCGGCAAAAAAAAAAAAAACACGAGGGCGGTTTATACAACGTTAATTACGGTACTGAATCTCATTAAGTGTACTGCACAGCAAACTACAAAGAAGTCAAACAAAACATGTGTGCATGTCAAGTCAAATAATGAAAATTGGTTCTAATTTTACATTAAAAAAGAGAAACGTCGATAAAGTGGCACAGTGCAAGTATTCCGACTTCTCCACGAACTAAGAAATGATTGTGTTTAAAAATAAACTAGTAGTATATTGAATATCGTTTGTGAATGCCTGCTATTTTATTGCATGTATCTCTCAATAGGTAAGTATGTGCACAAAGCTTTAGTTGGCTTTCCAGATTTTACATGGCATGGATTAAAATGGAGTTACTTTATAACAAGTGAGTTAGAGTAAACACTAAAATCACTTGGTACACAGGATGAAATACCAATGATACATTATGGAAATGTGGTGATTATTATATATCAGTCTAATAAAGAGGAATGGGGAATATGAGATGAGACATTATCAGTATCAATGAATAATCTTTGGATTCAAAATGTGTTATTTTAGGATTATTAGAGATGAATATGTTGTCTGTCATACAAAATGCATGATTATGAAATCTAGATTTAATTGGGGGGGGGGGGAGGTAATTGTGATTGAATTCATATAAGCACAATATCACATTTTCAATTACATTTACAGATACATGGAATGGTTGTGTTGAAATATACACATGCATAAGAGAAGTATTACATATCATATTTAATGGCTAAAGCAATTTTGCATAAATGACTTACTTCATAACTGTGAATACATATGATATTCATTCTATAAAGCTGAGAAAACGATGAACTTTATCAACTCTTCCTTCTCTCTCTCAATCTCTCTCTCCAATTGTTTTCAGAATTGAATACTGGTAGTATACATGATCTCTGCAACCACCATAATGCTAAAATCTATTAAAAACTATCAACAGCTTATACCCATTTTATAAAGAGATTAATTCCACACATTAATGGCACTATTATGCATTGATTTGAAGTTCATTGTAAATCAGTGGGATATAGACACGTCTTTGGCTGTAAAATCAGTGCAAACTTTAAGTGTAATGCCATCACAAGCACACACATGATAATTGGCGGAATGCTATATTCAATATGACATAATGTGACGGCACATCGTTCTTATCACTCAAGTCTGCAAAAATCAAAGCATAACGACACATGCAGGTACACAAAGGTCAAACACAAAAAAAACTCTAATATCACCACTAAATCCTGTTGCTGGGCATCTAGAGATATTAGTAGCATTACCACTGTGTCAATATTTGAAGGCTTCCATGGCGATAGATGCAAGCGAGAGTTTTGGTTACACCACATATTCTATCGAGAATGATTAGGTGGCCCAAATAATTAAGGGCCCAGTCATGCTTGAAGTTTTGATAGGTTAATTTTACCCATTGTCTTCCTTGTACATTAATTACCCTAAAGACGATAGGTACTACCTATCGAAATGTTGAGCATGAGTGAGCCCTTATCAGCGCCACCTATCACTCTTGAAAGAATACTGGTGTAACCGTAAACCTCACTCACATATTTTGTAATACTCAAAAGTTTTCATTTTTTTTACAAACAATCTTTGAGATGGTGATTAAAGACACAAGTTTGTTTTTTAAATCCAGTGTGCTAAGTTAGATTCATTGGGCCTGTATATTCAAAAGAATGGCTTGATTGATAAATAAAGCCATAGAGTAAATCTGTATGGCTGACCTGAATAAAAGAAAAATCTTTCAAATTTAGGATACATGGTGCTATGGATGTTAGAGTGTAAATTGGGTTACAAATCAAAACATCCACACTAGTACACACATGTCTCAAGCACGTAAAGAATCTATCAAACACTTGTGAGAGCACTGTGCATAGTTCTCACCCCACATTAAAAACCCTCAACAAGAAAAAAGATAAACAATGACAAAAAGAACTTAGTTTTAATCATTTGACTGTCATTCCCCTTACATACATGATATATCCCCATATATGCATGGAATCAGCTGGTCAAAATAAATGTGCATGGCATACACTCCACTCGAATATTGTTAGATGAAATGGTAGTAATTATATTACGGTATGACTGAAGATTAGGGATTGTGTCAGTGGTCAAGATGGCAGATTGGATGCAAACGGTCAAACTCTGAGAATAATTACCTCAACAGAGACATTGACATGGAAAGTTTGGAAGCTCTCGATCCACTTTATAGAAAAGAAAATGGTGACTTAACGGTTACTAATCAGAACATATGAACCAGAATGCATGCAGTAAATGAACTAAACTGATTGAAGAAAAAACAACAGAGGATAGAAATGCATGCAAAAGAGGGTTTACTACTAACAATGAACAAACCATGCAGTCATTTAAAAAAAAAAAATCTACAAAAATGTTAGACAGTATCAAATAAAAAGATAAAATGATAAAATGATGACTTGATATTCATATTTTTGAAAAAGCTGAAAAGGCTAACACCAAAGAATCTAGCTCTCAAGTAAACTAACTATGCTAAAAGAAGAAGATCTACTTGTGAAATGAATTTGGAAGCAAAGAAGAAAAAGTCTCTGGAAAACAAGAGTTCCAAAGAGAAATCCATTCAGGATTTGTAACTACAGAGGGGGCATAAACCAACCCTGGATGGAGCCTGGAAGAAAACATATGAAAAACAAGAATTGTAAAGCAAAAGGACAGAAAGTCTCTCTGAAATTTCAACTACAAATATGACTTGAGAATCATAGACCAAACCAGAAAAATACTTGACAAAACTCAAGTTGTAAAGGGATAAGAAAGGAAAATCTCTTACGCTCTTCCTCGCAGCATGGCCGGCTGAATGGGCATGTCGCGTACCATGCGGTTGACGGTGTACTTGAAGTCAAACTCTCCCTTGTTCTCGATCTGGAAGGTGCGTGGCTTACGCTGATTGACAAGGACAGCTCCAAAGTTGATGTCGTTGATGGGGTAGACGTTATACTTGCTGAAGATGGATCGGACGCTGAGCTTGACCGGGATGCTGGCGATAGTCTCTCCACCATCTTTCAGGTTGGGCTCAATCACCTATGGTAGAAATTTGAACAACATTAGTTTTAGTTTTTAATGTTAGTCTTCAAGAAGACAGATCAAACAACAACAACAAATAATTACTTCAACATAATCTAACAAACCCGATTCGATGACCTGTAGCAGACAGCAGTGCTCTTATCAAGGAAGTTACAGCTAAAAAAAATATATATCCTGTGCACATGCATACCACCATCTCAAGTATGAAATCCCCAATCCATAAAAACTGAAAAAACAGTCTTAGGTAAAGCATCTTATCATAATAATTAAGTCCACTTGCAGGATATATGAATTTCAACTTAATTTATAACTTTTTTCTAGTATCCAAAAGCATTTTTCAAGTTGATTTTAAGAAATTAGGAAGACCGCAGGACAGATTGGATATTTATTACAGTCAAACCTGTTTTAGCAACCACTTGTCTATGAAGATCACATTTTTTCCCCCTTGAAATTGGTTTATCATTGCACTTGACTGAACATTTATCATGTACTGAAGGAATCTGTAGATATCTTGTGTCCCTTGAGCAGTCTTCATATACAGGTTTCACTGTAACTAAAGAAAATCAGTAAAATTCAAGAATAATACAGTGGGAGTTTCAAAGCAAAGATAAATCATTTTTCAAGCCTTTGCAAAGTTGATTGGATAGCTGGAAGACATCATACCTGGCACTTCAGGATCGGCTGGTCCTTGATGGTGATCTCCTTCCTAGACTTGAAGATGACCTGGACCTGAGTCGGTCTATCGTTAGGGACCAGGACTCCCTTGGCTGGGATCACAGAGAATAGGTTGATGATCTCCTCACCGCTGGTAGCAGTTGCCTCCAAGATGAAGCTGATGAGAAGAAAGGGTGAAGAAAACATAAGCATAAGCATATAGGACCTCTGATGACTGCATGGCTCTAGCAAGTATGGAACTAGTCAGTATATATATAGTTTTATCATAAAGTTTTCTTTATTCTTTTCCTTTGTACTGTATTATGTATGTGCTTTGCTTGTTTCACATTTTGGAAAGGTCCTTAATTGTCTAGAGAATTAATCAGTGGGTAGCTTCTCCATTCTTCATATTTGTTCATGTAATTCTCTCTGCTTTTGTTATTTACTTTGCTGGTTAGAATCATGTACTTAATGCTTTCCTAGTTTCCTGCCACATTATCACATCAAACCCAAGATGCCTCTAGCTTCCTCTTCAGACCAAGTTGGCACAAATTAGCTTTGTTGTAGCGTGCTTCCTACAGAAAAGAAGTGTCCCTTTCTTCCCCCACCCTTCATGGTATTTTTTATCATGACTTCATGAAAATTACGTCAACAATATCTGTAGTACAAAGAATAACCCAGAGTATACTGGACAATCCTGTCTATCTTTCTCCTGTCGATACTCATTCCTCTTTAAAGGTTAGTCCATATACCATAAAAGTCAAATTATTTCCAATGAGAAGGGGACCGGGGGGGGGGGGGGGGGGGGGGGCGGACTCATCTACTTTGTGAACCCCAGCTATTGTGGCTACTCTACCTGAATGCAATCTCGTATCGGCCCTTGTTCTTGAGAGAGCATGTCTGCTTGGTCTCGTCCATGACTCTGATCACGCCAAAGTCCAGACCTCCATCGGCTCCCTTGGGGAAGCTCATGTCCAGGGCCACGTCATAAGCCTCAGCCAGGACCTGGATGTTCTCTGTCTGCAGGAGACCCATGATGTTCTCCACATCAGAGACCTTGAGAAGGAGAGAAGGAGCATACAGTGTCTTTACTAGTCAAAAGCCATCTGATCGTTATAGAAGTTGGCAACCATATACTCAAACAAGAATTAAAAAGTAACACCTTCTAATATCTTCTACAATTTCTACAGATCTGCACTTGATCATCATGAAGTGCAGACATGTATGACTTTCTCTTTTCATTTTTTTCTTTTTTTCTTTTTGAAGGAATCAACTAGTTGCCATAGGAAACCCTATCTTATCTGTGCTTATACCCTTCCATTTGCCAAAAGTTTGAGGCATACGTCATATCTATTCTGTATGTTAATGATTTTCTGAGAACAACGATTCCTGCAGAACATTGAAGAAAACTGCAACAAACAATGACTTGCAGGCTAATAGTGATATCAAATGTAATGCATTTTGGCAGACGCACACTATTTGAGATATAAAAAGGAAAAAAGAAAAAAGGCGTCTCGGCAGTATAGAGTCTCCTACAATAAACAGTGAATCTAACCATCTCTCTTCTTCTCATTCTTGGTTTTGCTTGAAACTTTTCCTTACTGAACACCCATCACCTTCAATAGCAGAACCTTAACTTGCACGTAATCTTAATAACAAATTTGCTCTAAGATCACAAATCGCTGTCCAAGTAGTAAAAGTTTCCAATGAAGAATGGATTTTAAATCAAATTAGATAGAATGTAATGGAAGTAGAGGTTGAAAATGGTTTCAAAATGATGAATACATCAAATGACCACTCAAGTTTCTTCATCTTCCCATCTCAGTTTATAATTTTGTTTGCTTACCTCAAGACGGATCATCTTCTTAGTGTTGACTGGTTTCATGGCCCTGAAGTGAGCATTGAGGGCAAACTCAGATTTGGGTTCGATGACGCCACTATCGGTGCTGACTGAGAAGTCATCACCAAGAGACTCCAGGCCACTGACCCTCCATGCCACGGGTAGCAGGGTGCTGTTACGAAGGTAGATGGTCTTGGTGTCTTTCCTATAGGGTTATAAACATGAGAAAGTTTATACAGTAGGCTTGCGGTTGTACCATGTGGGAGAGGGGGAAGATTGGGGAGTGCTGACAAGGACTGTCAGTAATCTTTCTTTCTTAAGCAGCATCTAATGACAAAGTTTGTTTTTAAATCTCTTTTATCCACGACTTAACTTGCTTGGATGCAGGTTAAAAGCAATGGAGGTCTACAAAAGTTCACAGGCAGAAAAAACAAAATTGGAATGTTACATTCACAATGATAAGAGCGAGCAACCTGCATATACAGCAAACCTATTAATAATGAAAGGAACCAGCAAATGGTATGAACACTATAACTAACTTGAGAGAAACTTTCAAATAAAAAATGAACTTATTATATCGCTTTCATGACATATAGTTTTGGATAATTTTTGTCTTTCTTTTCCAGAGTCAAGTTTAAACTTGTTCTTATTTCACAGGAGAAAGCAGATGTCTGGGGAAAGAATCGTTGTCAAAGACAATTTTTAATAATTAGCCCAAGAGAACATTCCAGATCACAGTGACAAAACATTTTCCTGTCACGCTTCGTAAATGTTCAAGATTTACCTGTGGAGCAGCACCTTCTCAAAGTGGAGTTGCTTCTTATCAAGTTCTACCTCTGGTCTGACTCCGTAGCAAGCGATCTTGAATTGGACAGGTTCTGGATTCTCCTTGATACAGCATACTATGGTATCCTCAAAGTAACCCTGGTTCTTGGGGTACGCCCACATTGTCAATTCCTATGGAAATGGATAAAAATGGAGTTTGGGTTAACAATGATCTATTAAAAGGGTGCGGGAGTTCATGCTGTTGTCAAAGACTTAATCGAAAAGAATGAGAGGGAAAAAAGGAAAAAAAACCTGTTTAGGATTTATTCACATTTAAAACTATATCACAGTATTTACATGACATGTTCTAGCAATAAATGCTCCACAGCCAATTTGTAGCACTGATTACTTACATCAACCTTGACATCTGACTATACCTAACCACAACCTAAACTTAACCTAAAATTTAATGGCAACCCAAGCCCTAGTCAACTACATCTTTGAAGACATACATGTATAAAAATCCAGAGCATATGTCGCTAAAGCAAATGTTGGGTCTCCGCCAGAATAAGGCAATGAAGCAAAAGCTCAGTGTGAAAGGTCTCTCATTTAACTTCACAACTGGACTCCATCGTCAGAAAGACATTGAAAGTGCAAATCCAATTTCTACACACATACGACAGGAAACAAGGACCAAGACCATTAGAAGCCATGGTCTATCACGACACACGTATGATGAAACATTCACAGAGGATACCTACCTGTGTCTGGCTGGGCTTGAGCACCATGTTGGGTGGATCTAGCAAGAAGGTCGCTCCGTTACCATCGTGCTGGAAGCAGAAGGTCATCTCGGCCTCCAGCGGGGACGTGTTGCTGATGGTCAGTTTCTCCATGTTCTCTGGGTACTTGCCCTCCTTGTAACGGTCCCTGGTCTTACCAGCCAGCAGAGGTCCCATCTGAAGGACCTCCGTACTCAGAATGTACTTCTTGTGGACTATCTCATCTGCCTTCTTGCTCTTCTTGCGGTGTGGAAACACAATCCTGGTGGGGGTAATATGGACAGGTTAAAAGCCACGTACACAGAAGTGATAGTAACAATTAACGAACTATAGTGTATTAACAAAATATAGCGTGTTCCTGTTCACCTTTTGGAGACGCAATGTAGATATGTATGTAGACAGCAACTTCAAAAATGAATGCATATTGTAAAGACATGAAAAGACTTGATAATGCAGACTTGGGAAGACTTCATAGTATCATGATGAATGTATTCATATTATTATTGAAATATTTCCCCACGTTTCCCTTCCCATCTTGCTTTTCGTTAGGCCAATTAAGGGCCTAACTCAAATGAAGAATAATGGATTTCCTATGGGACAGAAACGCAAGTATCACCAACAAAAATATTCCAGAGGTAAACATCTAAATAGCATTTTTTATCCAATCCAATCCAATCCAAAAGATATTTGATATATGGCCTTTTCCTTGCGGTTACAAAGCACTGCACACACACTTTACGGCATCTCTTAATTATTGTTTTCTCTATAATCAAAATACATGAATAATCTGCTGCAAGTTCAAGATATGCAAATGTTTCTGTTTTTTTTTTCTTCTCCAAACAGTGCCTTCAACCCTTCAAATCAGGGACCGGTTTCACAAAGCCTTTTTTCAATGACAAATTACAAAAATCAGTGACAAATCTGCTGATAACCAATCAGAAGCAGGGATTTCAGTAGCTTATAACAAAGACTGTCATTTGTCACTAATGACAAGTTTGTGAAATGGGGCCCTAGCTGTTCTTACCTTGGTTCTCTGCTGATGTTGGGGAAGGAACAGACACCCCTGCAGAAGAGTTGATAGCGCCTCCTGGTGCCAACGATCTCATAGTTGAGCGTCTGGTCAAACTGGCCAAGCTCATCGGACTGGAAGCGTAGCTTGAGGGTGACCTCTCCCTCGGCTGGTACGGTCCATCTGAAGATAGATAGTCTGGATCGGAAGAATATTTTGAAGGTGACATTATTTAATCTAACATCTTAATAGTTGTTGGCATATATCTTTACCAAGAAAGGTACATTCGGATCTGCTTTAACAAAAAATAACTTATATTATTGGTTATAATAGGTTATAACGATCATCACCTATCATATTATTGTCTCCAAAGACAGCTGTTCCGTTTCCCTAGGGTTGTCTTTACTCAATAAACTTTCCTTGATCTGTCTTCTCAAACATTATTATTCAAAATATCCCAAAGGACTTCCATTGACAAGTATGGCTTCTTTACATGAAATCAAGTTTATCAAGGAAATGTTTTTTTATGAAAATGACAAAATATTATAAAGAAATTGATACATATGATGGAGAAAGCCAGCATATACAATTGAGAGTATGGCATTATTGATTTAGTTAAAAACACATATGAAGCAAATCTCATTATTTCTGAGAATACTGTCCTCATAAAATTGGGAAGTGTTTCTGATCTACCAGGTGAAGATAATCTCAGACTAAAACATTGTTCAAATAAACCATATGGCCTCACCTGACATTCTTGGAGTCATGTAGGTTCATATCCCCTGTGGTGCTGCTCTGGCCATCAAAGTCTGACCCCGGTGTGGTGGTACCTGGGGGCGGAGAGGCGACGCTGACCGACCCTTTACGGTTACGAGAACCCTTGGCTGAGCGGCGGCGTGACCCAGTGCTCTCAGCTCCAGGCCTGAGCTTGTCCTTGCCTCCCTTTCTACCGGTAGGGGTAGAGAAGTCATCCTGGAGGATTAAAAAGGAAGGTAAATTTTATTTCAAAGAATAATCTATTTTTGTGGTACATTGTTAGGACAACTTGTGTACCTTTTCTCCTACTTCTACTATATTTTTTCAGGTACGGACCCCAAAACCTGGATTTCAGATAATCTATGGAAAAGTTACAAATAGATTAAGGCATTAATCTTCATTTGCCACACTCGATCCAGGTGAAGTACATGGGTACCAGGCAGGAATTAATTCCTTTAAATGCTGGGAGCACTGTAATGGCAGCTATAGGCTAAAGCTGGAGTAATAATACATGCGCCTTGGAATAGAATTTCTAGATAGACAGCGCTATAAAAATGCCTTTTATTATTATTATTATGTATCTCCTTACCCCTTGTTCTAAAGAATTTCCATACTCTTGCAGCTTTCAAGAGGTGTATAAAAATAAATATGTTTGTTTGTAATCAATGTAAGGTTTGTATGAAAATGTTCTTTTGCTTTGTATCTTAATTATGAAAAGGCGCTTTAAAAATGAAATGTTGTTATTATTGTTATTATTATTGTTACTCCTCTTACCTTGGTGTTTCCTTTGTCTGGTGTCCCAGCCTCTAGATCTCCATCAAGTTCTTTAGGTTTCTCTTCTTGTCCAATATTACTAAACAATTTACAGATGAAAGATATGAACAGGTGACATTGAACATTGAAAATAAATCTAATCTCAAAGAGTTTCTGCAATGAAAATGAAAATATACATCAATTGAGAGAAAGTGACAAAGCTACCGTTATTTGTTTATCATGCGCATTAGATGGATTATTTGGACTAGCATAATGATAACTAGTTAATGAAACATTATTGGGACTCAAATGCACTGAACAACCAAACTTACATTTACGCACATATGAGACTAGCATGATGTTAGAATCGTTAAGATTTGTAAAGGTAACAATGAGTGATTTCAAGTTGGGTGTTTAATGCTGGTGTTAGTGTTTAATAAACACTAACACCAGCCTAAACACTGAAATGGAAATCAGCTGGTGTTAAGGCTTTGACCTCTGAATATCGTCAACTTCCGGTAGCTAGTGTTATCGATTTTGCAAAATTGTCGTCTGCTGAACCGACCTTTGTGGCTGGTGTTTATATTTTACGTACAAATGTCCTATTCACTAACACTAGCCCCTAGGGATTAAGCAAATGTTGATTTCCAGTTCGGTGTTAGTGTTGTACCCGCACACAGTCAGCACAGGAACGACGCCAATTTATTGTCTGACGATCAAATAAAAATATGTGAATCAGGTAATTCATATATTCTTTTGTAAGACAAGAGGAATAGGTGTAAATTTATTCTGTACTTTTCATGATATCTTTAGTTTTGATGTACTATTTTTTAATCATCTTCGTGAAATCAAGTATGTGGTGACGTTTTGATATCGGTATCGGGCTCTTAATTTCATCAGCAAATTTTTCGCTCGATTTAAGAGCTCTTGAATGCTCTAAACACTAACACTAACACTAACACCCAACTTGAAATCCCTCAATGGATACTCACGGATCATCGGGTCCATTGGCAACAAAGTAGTAGTGCCCCATAGGGTCAAAGCCAAGGGGTGGCTTACGCTTAACAGGGTAGGGGATGACTGAAAATGATGCTGGAGGTGGGATGGGTGGACCACTAGGTCCTAGACCTAGACCATCCAAGACCTGGAACCAAAGAGATTTGTGAAATTCATTTACATTTCATTCTGAATACACATTGCAACTATCAATCAATTATTTCTTTGACTCTGTGTGGCACAAATAAACAGTAAATTACTGTAATTATTAAAGTATAGTCACATGCATACTGAATAACCTGAAAAGTCTGAGTTTTTTATAAGAAAATGAGCATGTTAGATTATTGTACATCATTTTCATCCATCAATGACAAGGATCGCTAACAGGTTTAATTAATCAGTGTTTAATCTTTGAATCTGCCAGTGATACTTTACTAGCATTTCAATGGAAACTTAATGCATGTATTTTTGCTTCCTTTTATTTTTCTCTTTTGATAATTCAATGATAAACTTTTAATAGTTGCTCCAGGCATCAAGGAAACTGCCAAAGTCAAACCATAACTTATCTCTAGCAATCCTGAACATATCAAGCATGTCTGTCTTACCTCCTGGCAGGATGGCAACTGTCCAATGTCCAGGACCTTCTGACCCATCATGTCATCAGGCTCGCTGGCATCGATGACGATGTTAGGTACTCCAAGCTGCTCCTTCTCCTCTCCTTCCTTGCCCTCTCCTTCACCCTCCTTGGTCTCTCCTTGTTCTCCAGACTCGGCTGCAGCCTAAGTAAGAGGATCGATGTCAAAGTAAACAATGGCAGGGATTATCAGGGATTATCTTATCAGCAGACAGTGCTTTAATATTAAAGGCCCCTGAAAGCTCTGGTTTAACAAGTTAATTGTCTAGTGCATTCTTCTTATTCTTTAGCAAATGCCCGTCAAATTAAGACAACTGGATAACATACATGCAAATAACTGCCATTTCCCTATGTCAAGTCTGTTATAAGTTCCATATAAATTTGGACCTACCCGTACTTGCACAGCAATATTTGTCTACACATACAACATTGTTTATTCATACACTAACCGTTCAACTCCTATGCATGAGAATATTTTTTAGATTTTTTTTTTCTGCTGCAACAGATTTTCGAAAATGTGGTGATGAGCACCCAAAAAGTTGTTTGTATAAAACAGATGAAAACCATATTAGCTGATTATTGTGACCCTTTATATCATAAAGTACTGTATGATACATTTCAATGTGTATTGACATTTGCCTTTGTCAAGATTTATTTCATGCTTAGTAATACCATAACAGAAACACATTTTAAAAGGGCAAACAAGAAACCCTTACCTTTTCGGCCTTCTCCCTCTCAAGCCTCTCCCTCTCCTGTCGTTCCCTCTCTCGCTCCTTCTCTTTCTCCTTCTCTGCTTTGGTTTTGCCCTTCCTGCCTGAGGGAGGATGGGCAGGGGTCTCTTCTGCTTCCAGGTCATCACCGGATGTGTCTGGGACAATCTGACCTGAGGGTGCATGAAGGAATGTGGAGAATGAGATAAGAGAGTTGTGACCAGGGTTCCGTTTTAAAACATGAAGCTAGTCTTAAATATTAAGCTTCATTATGTACATCCAATGTGTTGGTAGTAATTGTCATATGCTCTTTTTGTTTCTACCTCGAGTTCCGAATATAAAATCTCTTTTAGATGCAGCACTATATAGTACTCTCTCTAATATCAATTTCATTTCATTCCAACCAATGCCTTTCCATTTGAATTTAATCCATTTCCACCCATATACCTTTCATTCTTTTCCTAGAAATTCAAATTTTCCTTTCCATTTTCAAACTTTACTTCCATTTCATTCTATCTAACTTGATTCAAAATCATTTCTATTGATTTCAACCCCATTCCATTTTATTCCATTCCTATTCCTTCCTATTTCATATAATTTCCTGTAAAAAGGATTGTTATGCCATATTATTTCCTTACATTCCACTTAATGCCCACACCATTCTAAACAATTCTAACGTATTTCAGACAACTCCCTGTCTTCTTTGTACATGTTCATAAAACAATTTTTGAATTCTATTATCAGCAGGAATTTTCTCATTTCTTCAATAACTTAGATCTATGATAATTGTAAATAATTCCTTTCATTCAATTTTAATTCCATCGCTGTATTAAACAACTCACCTGTGGTCCTTTCCCATCGTGCCAGCATCTTGTCAATGTCCTTCATGCCATGCTCAAAGGCCTTGAAGCGACAAGTCAGATACATCTCAGCTTCCTTAGCAGGGTCTCTTTCAACCTCAGGCTCTACCGCCACCTCGTTGGAAATGGGACGGCCCTTCTCCTTCTTCTTTTTCCTAATAAAGGAGATAACCAGCATAGCAAATTAATGATAACTTTGACCCAATTATCAATACACGTTATCACCAACTCATCATCATCGTTATGCACATCATCTTTATTGTCACATATTATCATTAACCTCATATCATCATAATCATCATTTTCCTCCTCCTCCTCCTCCTCCTCCTCATCATCATCATCGTCGTGGTCAAGTGGATACGTAACCCGGACTGTCGATCACAAGGTCCGCACTAATGTCCATTGGCAAGACGTTGATCTACATTTGCCACACTCAACCCTGGTGATGTAAATGGGTACCTGGCAGGAATGAATTCCTTGAAATGCTAGAACGCTGTAATGGCCGCCTTGCTAAAGCCAGGGTAATAATAGGGGCAGCGCAAGGAGCGTCACGACGTGTCAGATATGTTCGCTATAAGAAGCCACCACTATTATTATCAGCACCATCCTCCTCCTCCTCCTCGATCATTTTCACTATCATCAACATCATCATCGCCACAGTAACCACCCCCATCACCACCGTCATCATCATTCACTTACTTTGTTCCCTCATCCTGGGGCTGATCACTGCCAGCTGTACCATGTGACTCCGGTCTGTCCGTGGCAACCGACTGCACCCCTTTCAGGGCGTGGTCCGATGGAGCCGTTGGGTCAGGGGGCCCCTTCCTGATGGTTGCCTGGCTGGAGGACATGGCTACCTTGCCATCCTGTCCCTTCTTAGCCTGGGCGGTTCCACTTGGTCCTCCCTTGGTGCTATCCTTATCCTTGTCTCCTGGTTTGGCACCCTTCTTCTTCTTGCCTCTGTGAGGAATACAGAATGAAGAAAAAATGAAGTTTGATCTCTGTGCAAAAATCGCAGCATGCATACAGCTCTGTCTAGTTGTATGAAACTTATTTGAAGATGTAAGCATTATATATGGGCTAGATTATGTATCAATGATACCACCAAATCTAACAGAACTACTATGATTACAGTATACTATCAATTAGTCATACTATTTCCTTTGCATTGGTAATATGAAATATTTGGCTAGAAATCAATCATTCAATTATTTCTAATTTCCCAGTAGAGAAGTGCAACAGAAATGATTCATGCATGAGTATTTTTTTATAATCATTTTTGAAGATTTCTTGGCCCCTTCTTACAAAGAGTTGATATCAATTGCAGCCATGTACATAAGAGATAGACTGCAAACTTATGATTGATTTGGATCAATCGTAAATCTTTGTATAAAGAAGGGACCCTGGACTTACTTATCATCTTCCAGTTTCTTCTCCTCCATCAAGGCATGAAGCTCCCTCTCCTTTCGTTCCCTCTCAAGACGCTCCACCATTTCTCTGAAATAATAATATTTTCCAAAATTATCAATATTAGATATCAAATCTGGAACACAAGCAAAATGAACAAAATGCTCCAATCCTCATACTAAAGCCCTGCTGACCAAATGCAGTATTAGCTCATAAAGTAGCTACAGTCAAACATGCTTTAGTGACCATCTGTCTACAAAGGCCACTTTTTGTGTTTCCCTTGGGACTTCAGTCACAGTGTACAAAGCACTGATTAAAATCTTATGTAGTTTGCTCAGCATTGTGAGCATCTGTAAAATGACGCCTGGCTGTAATGCTCCCTAGGGAGTGGAGAATGTGCATATATTGTGTGCGGGCAAGCCTGAATCTGATGACCGGGGTAATGATATATCTGTAAAGTGCTCAGAGACATTATTATTACTTTAGAAATGGAGAGAGATTAAGATCTATGTATAATAACTGTCTTCCAAAAACAGAAGTATTGTAGATTATAATTATTTTCATCAATCACCCTTCATCACTGCGGTTTCTTAATTGCTAATATTTCTGTAATTTTCATCAGAATGCAAATAAGTTTGGAGAAAGAAATGGACGAATAAGATGACAGGTTGCTCACTTCTTGTGGAGCCTCTCCTTCTTGGTCTTGAGTCTCTTCCTATCGATGGCAGCTCTCTCTTCCTCCGTCAGGGCATCATACTCATCCTCAGACATCTCCTCTAACCTCTGCCTCTCCTCCTCTTCCTCCTCCCTCTCACGTTCATCTGCAAGGTGGGGGAATCAACAGGGATTGATCATGAAAGGTAAGGTTGGATTCTGATAGTGAAACTCACGTTCAGAGAAACTGTCTACAACTCTTGTTCATGAAGCATACATGGGGATTGTCATGTAAGGTGAGGATATTTGGACAAGTTAATTTTACGCTGCAATTTTACTGCCTTACAGAAAAGTTAACAGAAAAGAAAGAAACCATAATGGAAAAATTTGTTGGTTGGATTATTTTTTCTTCTTCAAAGTAGTTGGGTTATAAATCTTTCACATAATGGTTTACCTTGAAATTAAATAAAATAACAATGGAGGAAATTGATATATCAATAATAATAATAATAATAGGCATTTCTATAGCGCTGTCTATCTAGATAATTCTATTCCGAGGCGCATTTATTATTACCCCGACTTTAGCCTAGCTGCTGTTTATACAGCGCTCTAGCATTTCAAGGAATTAATTCCTGTCAGGTACCCATTTACATCACCTGGGTTGAGTGTGGCAAATGTAGATCAATGCTTGCCAAAGGACATTAGTGCCGCGGCGGGACCTTGTGATCGACAGTCCGGCGACATATCCACTCAACCACGACACCTCTACATCATGATTCTGTCGACTTCTTCTATCAATACATTTTCAGGAGAATGTGATAGAAGCAATCAAAACCATCCTCTACGAACTCTTTTTTTTATTAGAAGATATATACCCATTCCAAAATATTGATATATATATATATGAAACTACAGTTGAGTTTACCTTTCTCCTCTTGTAGTCTCTTCTCCCTGGCCTGTAGGACCACCTGGTCAAGCTTCAGGGTGACAAAGTAGATGTATTTCCTGTTGTTGAAAGCCCCAAGGAGAGCCTTTGCTGTAGCAGTCTGGTTAGGACTGAAGAGTGTCTCCAAGCCATCAAAGACCACACCCTTGTGACAGTCGTTCAACTGAATGAAATTGAAATAATGAAAATACGAAATGATTGAAAAAGCCAGTTTCTCAAAGGTTTCACAAACTAGCACATTTTATTAAGCAATGACATAAGCCACTTCATAAGACCAGCAGCATGCACTACTGTTTTATAGTTTTTTTTAAGATATGCCAGTTTGACACTATCTAAAATAAAAATGCTTTCTTCAGCTGTTGTTTTTAACATTGTTGGACATCTTGGTCTGCCAGTCAAGAGAGCACACAACACTGTAACCATGATAGATAAGAACAAGATAACTTGGGCCAGAGTCTATGGAGATCAATGTAATACCAAAGTAAAATCCTATCCAGCTGGTTAAAACAATTTGGTTTGTTGTATCATGGTAACAACTTCCATGTCAGTTTGTTATATAAATGCTATGAAATTATTCTAATGATACATACGTGTATTATTACACAACTTCAACAACACAAACATGTAAATCAAATGTTTGTGTAAATTAGATTGCTTCGTGGACAATGGCATCCAGCTAGGTCCTCACCTGCATACGTTCAGCCAGGATCTCAGCCAGCAGCTCCTCAGGTAAGATACAGCTCATCAACCCCTCCTCCCCAGCCACGCTAGCACTCACACTCAACCTTCTAGCGATGGGCGCGGCCGGAGGGGGGCTGCTGGACAGCTGGGTGGTGGTATCACCCTCCTGCTTAGCCCCCTTCTTGTCCTTTTTGTCCGCTTTCTCGGCTTTGGGCGGGGGCGGGGCTGGGGCTCCATCTTCGCCCGCTACCATGCTGTGCGCAGGCTTGTGGCCGGAGATGGTGCTGGTCTTGCGGTTACTGATGACAGAATGGGCGCCGCCCATCACAGAAGCTATTAAAAACAAATGAAACTGAGGCTTTAGCACAATAGTTTCAGTGCATTCAACAGAGATATTAAGAAAAGTTTGGGTGGAGAAAACGCTTTCATAAACTATCGGTCGTCCAGGAATTACTCCAAGAAACTGTTTTCTATAGCTAACCGTCTGCTGAACCCTAAACAGAGCTCACATGTCAACAGTAAGGTGTTGGCCTAAAGTTTTATTCAGTTCTTCCACTCACAGATTCATAATACTCAAGACAGTCTGACTCCAGACGATCCTCTCACTTCATCGTCCCTTGAGATGATCCAACCTACCACACTAGATGAGATCCAAGCACTGCTGGGTAGACAGGGTCCAGCGAAGTCAGGTCAACTAGACCCTGTCTACACTATTCTCATCAAGGGCTGCTCTTTATCGATTTTTTCTTTTATTTTACAGACTGTTAATTTGAGTATTGATCAGGCCCATGTACCCTCTGAGCTCAAAATTGCCTACATTCTACCTTTCTCAAAGAAGCCTAACCTAGATTCAGAAATGCTCAATAACTATCAACTTCATTACAGATTTGCACATAGCAATGAGTTTTCTTTTTCCACAGTTCCAAAACCATTTACTTTCTTCACAATCCAGGAATTGATCTGTGACAGTCGTACCTGAGGCAGCACCAAGTCCCTGCGTGTGCTGATAGACTGCCTCCATGCTGAGAGCCCCGCCCGTACCCTGGGCCTGGGCCTCACTGCCATCCCCTTCCCTGGCCAGCTGGGCTCGGGCCATTATGGCACACATCTCCCTGGCCTTCAAGCCTGCTGGGGTGTTGCCGTTAGAGATGGCATCCAGTACCACGCTGTCCACAGTCAGGAGGGCAGCCTCGTAGTGTTTGGCCAAGGCAATAGATGTGGTGGTCTTGCCTGTTGATGGAAAATTAAAATGATGGCATAGTCATTTTATATGATTAGTTATAAATCTGATTTAAGGACAAATAGACAGTTCTACTAATAAATCAGTTTCAATCTTTAATATGAGCTGTTGTGATTTTAAAAAGTTATATAAGTTCTGAAATAAGTTTAACTTAATTCTTAGTAATACATCATAAGAAAGATTTGATTAACATACAAATTGTTTATGACTGTTATTTTGATGTATCACTCATAGGCCTTTCTAGGCCTGCCGTCTAATCACGGGTGTGATTTTTTTATTAAAAAATAAACTAAACTAAGCTATAACTTATATATTTCACCTATGAGTTCCAATCAGAAAGTTCCAAATTTAAAGGAAATCAAAGTGATGGTTATGTCATGTAATATGTGAAAATGTACTTTTCTCTGAGCATCTATACAATTTGAAGACATAGCAGTGATCCATTTTTGCAAACAGGTGCCTGTTTAGCTCCACCCGGGTCAAGAAAGGCAATTAGTGAAAAAGAATTCTTATTACAGCAACTGCACTTGAGATAATGCCTTAGAAAGTCATGGAAACGTCTAGCGATCCTTACCAGCGAGAGGTGCTCCATGGACCACCAAGGCCAGCCCTCTACGCCTCATGGCAGCCTTGCCCTCTGGGGACAGGTCAATGCCAAGGTGCCTTGCGATGGATGCAGAGACAGGGGTGATCTCTATCAGCTCACCAACTCCAACGGTGCTGGCAGAGTCTTTCTTGTCTGTTCGTAGGAGAAATGGTAAAGAAAGTAAAAGCAAGATAAAAAGATGTTAGACAAAGTTTGAGAGAAAGAAAGCAAAAATAATTAAACTTTATTTTATAAAAAGAAGAGAGGAGACAAAAGGATGGAAACGATAAGAGAAATCTTGTTGGGTAGGTTGAATTGTCATGGCCATTAAAAAGTTACCTATGTCTAAAAAATGAACAGAACATTTCATTGAGAATTTTAAATCAGGTAGATGCTGTATAAGACTAGACTAAGGGATAATAGGATGGTATAGTACCTTACCTATTTCTATGAGGGGGAGGGTGCCTACACCAGTGCAAAAATATCAAACATTTACCTAAAGTAAAATAAACATTGTCTCTAAACTCATTATCTTCTACTGGGATAAAACTTTGGAATCAATCAGATGAACAAATTAGATTTTGTGGCTACCTAGGATAGTTACATTTGTGTGTGGAGGGTGAGTATGAATGTTTATTTGTGCAATTTAGTTTCTATAATTGATTAATTTGAATCTGTATCTACTTGGTATTTGTTTTGTTGTTTTTTACTCTCAATTTTAGGGCCATTTTCTTTTCTTTTGGCCCTTTCCATAATCCATACTGTATTTTCTATTATTGTTTGTATGGTTTTTAAGGTTTGGTTAAATAAAATATCTTGAATATCTTAAATATCTATCTTGAAATTATTTGTAATAACAAGGACATCATCGTACCTTGTGTGTCATCCTCGTCCTGTTTCTCCCCCTCTGTCTTGTCCTTCTCTCCATCCTGTCCCATGCCATCCTCTGCAGCACCAGTCGTAGATGGCTGGGTGAATGCAACGCCTCCTGCTGCTGCTGGTGTGGCTTGAGCTTGGGATGCAGTCTGGCCCTCCTCACCTCCTAGTAATAAAGGAAATCAGACTCCTGGTTAGTGATTAATCAATTGATGTCTATTTAACAAGACTACGTGCACAAAAAGACAGAACGGGAGTGCAAATGTACAGTATGTCATTGATCATGCAATCAGCCTACTCGTTAAAGCATGTCTGTATTAGTTTGGCCAGGAGAGCTTAGACCACCCACCTTGGTCACCGACAGGTGGTTATCTCATCAACTCAGCTCTCAATTAACATAAGAAAAAGAGGATCATGGGGGACCAACGGGCACCACTTAGGCATTGTTTTCTACATAGAGGGAGCAATTAGCTACAAGTAGTACAGTGGGGCTTTAAAGTCTCTTACAAATGACGAAGCTATAGATATTTTTTTTTTAATCATAAAAGAAGATTATAATTATTGGTATGTATAAATATAGTCTTAATTTAACTCTTGCTCTCAAAACCTAGAGTTATTAGAAACTGTGCAATGATACTTCTACGGCTGGTGATCATTCTTAACAGGTGACCACCAAAAACAAGTACATTGTGGCAATACAACAACCAAGAACCTTACCTTCTCCTTTCATTCCCTCTATAGCAGCAGCAGCCGTAGCTCTGGCTGCCAGCTCTGCCTCCACCTTGGCTTTCTCCTTCTCCTCCTCCTCCTCCAGACGTCTCTTTTGCTCCTCGTAGAACTCCAGGATCTCTGAAGGGAGCCTCTCGCCTTGAATACGGGGAGGCAGGAGCAGGGTGCCGTGTTCGTCATAGTCCTTCATAAGGCGGAGCATCTTGGAAAGGTTATTGGAATAAAGAGAGCCATGTATTAGTTTCTTTGTGTTCATTATTGTCAGATATTATGCATCTTTGAGAAGAAAGCTTGGTTGCTGTGATACCTTCCTATCCCTTCCCACACTTTACCACAATGGAACATTCTGCATAACTCTTTCTGTAGTCTCTGCCTTTCTCTTTTCCTCTATCTTTACAAAATGTATAACACACCTTCAAATATATACAAATATAAGACTAGTTGCTTTTAATGACATAATTTTCAGCATGTTTGTCTCAGTTTAATTACCTTTGACTGGTCCCAACAACCCATTTACAGTTTAATGGATAAGAAAACAAATCAGAATGACATCACCAGAATTTAAGAGAAGCTGTAATACCCAACTGGCATCAAGTTTTCTCTCAATGTAATATGACAGAATCATGATGCATGAAACATTACAGTGCAACATAGCGCAATTAAGATGTAGAGGTGTTGTGGTCGAGTGGATACGTCGCCGGACTGTCGATCACAAGGTCCGCGGTTCGAGTCCCGCCGCTGCTCCAATGTCCTTTGGCAAGACATTGATCATTGATTTGCCACACCCAACCCAGGTGAAGTAAATGGGTACCTGGGAGGAATGTATTCCTTGAAACGCAGCATGCGTAACACCTGCACTGCTAAAGCCAGGGTAATTATGCTGCATTATTGTAGAGCGCTTAGAGACTTCTGATAAAGTAAGTGTTAGGCGCTATATAAGCACTGTAATTATTAATCATAGATCTCTTGGCTGGCTCTCACCTTCTCCTCAGTCAGATACTGCTTATCAAACTCTAAGGAGTAGAACTCAATGGGGAAGGTGCAGGGATTCTTGACGATCACTTCCTTCTCATCTCCTGCGCTGTGTGGTAGGATAGGTCCAAACTCCAGCAGCGATTGACTGAGCTCCAGCCGTGGCTCCAGGCCGATGCCGGTGGCCATCATGGTCAGGCGCTGGCTGCTCTGGTTGATGCGCAGGGAGATACGCTCAGAGTAGAGTTTCTAGGGTCAAGAGGTGAGATGTGGATGATTGTAAGCATTTGCATAGCATCGTCTACCTAGAGAATCTATATCAAAATCTACAGATAATACTTGCTTTAGCTCTAGTCCTTCCTTTAGCTGTATTCACCTTTTATCAAAATTTGCTATGAATTATAATACAGTCAAACCTGCTTTACAAAGACAACATTTTTTGTTTCCCTTGAAAAAGGTTTTTCATTGAAACATGTAGTTAAGGAACCTGTCTACAAAGACCACTTTTCGTGTTTCCCTTCGGCGGTCGCTATAGACAGGTTTGACTGTATCAATGTTATCTTTCGTAACATATCATTGCTTCCTATAAATACAAAAACAGCAAATCTTTTTTTGGTAAAGATAAATGTAATAATCAAACAATAAGGCTACAAATTTGACTGACCTCTTCTGTAGGCATGAACTTGACCTGTACATTGACCCTTTGACCTGGCAGCAGCATACCAGTAGGGGGCATCATCTCAAAGTTACGAGGTATGGACCTCGCAGGCTTCAGCTTCCGTCTCAGATGAAGAGGCATATGCTTGTCGACCTGCAGAGAGAAGATAAAGAAGGAGTCCTATCACTAGAAATCTTTTCAATTTTCTTATGAACCTTCATGTATACGGTTTGAAACAATATTGTAACAATACTCGCTTGTGAAGGGGAAATTTTCATTAAAAACCCACGACCGCGATTGTTGCATGTATTTTATTATTTGTTTTTGTTTCAATACTGTTGCTACTGTTGTGTTGTGAAGTACAGGAAGATTTGACTATATTATCTAAAATCACCTTGTTGTGACAATATGGCCAAAATAAAGATTTTTTTTTTTAAATGCTGGGGATTGAGGCGGAAGGGAGGTATATGTACCCAACAAAATTGTTGTGTACAAATACCCTTGTGCATATAATACTCACTGATCTGTGTTTTAGGATATATACATTGTAGATCAGGGATGCATATACAGCTCAACATATCTTTTCTTCTTCTTTTTGCGGTTTTGAAAATGGTCATGTAAAAGCAGCCCATACAGCTTGGCTAATAAATCTAATCTGTTTATCAAAAAAATTAAATCTCATGAAATAAGAGTGTACAAACAGCAATGTCTAGCAATTTTGCATTACAAAAACTATTAAATGAAATTTAATGTGATAAAATATTTGGTTTGTAGCTCAGTTCACTATAGAAGCTTGTTTCAAACAAATACACACAGTGACACAGCATATCTTTAAAAGAGAACATTATACTGCAAGCACATAGCAGGGAGCATACTGCAAAAAATTAAAATGAAGAGGGCAACTCGTTTCACACAAGATTTACATATAGATATTATGTAGGATTATCTTTCATACACTAATCAAAATGCATATTGTGTTTGACAACAACAACAAAATCCAAATAAACTTTGTTAATGGAGTTGTCTTGTGAGTGAGATCCTAACTTCAAAATGTCTAAAAATATATATATATATTTTTTTAATCGTCACATAATTCCACTGCACACAAATAAATCATGGGCAGACTCCACACATATACAGTGATAAATTACCACACAGACACCCACAAAAAGGATATTTGGGGGAAACCCTTTTGAATTTTCATAAACTTTCTGGGTACTAAAGTGCAATCTCAAAAGGTAGTAGCATTGATCACAGCTAGAGGCCTAATATCAAGTTACAAGAACCATTGTAAACAAATTCAATTCCAAATATATTCCAACATCAAATTGAATTCAATAACTGGTGCTGAATTATAAATAATTTACTTATTAAGCTACTTTTGAAGTTTGAAGTATGATGTTCAATATTCACTGGAATATCAGCAATACATCAATTTGGAAACCAAAAGGCAGATTTTGGTTTATACAAAAGTTTGGTTGGAAGGCAGGTTTGACAAATTTTTATGATCAATGTTACACTTTTGATTCAGTTATGGCACACTAAAAAAAAGCAATAATGAATAAAATGACAAAAGGGGCAAGGGTGAAATTTGCAATGTTGTGACAAGGGTGCGTGCTTTAAAATTGGCAAATTGTACCTTCATTTGTTTCTCCAGAAGCTAGTGAAAACAGAAAGGTACAAATAATAGTATAACATAATACACTTTAAATGTTATTTGTATGAATGATGAGAGCAGTGAGATTGTACTTTGAAAATACAAACTCGATGTAGGCGAAAATAAGATGTCTGAATTTTCGGCTGAGACATATAAATTATATAGGAGATCAAGATATATGTATGAACTGATAAATGCCAATGTTACCATGTAGAGTTTGCCATTTACACCATTGAAATTTACACTTGCACATATTTAACACCTTGATATTTACAGTTTTTGTATTAAAAGAGTATAGTTGCACAATGAATTAACAGAATTGTCATGATCATTAAATGAAGAGAAAAGAAAAAGATAACTAAACATATCTTAATTCCTTTTGTAAAGCAACACATTTTGTAAGGTTTTAAAAGGGAATTTACAGAACATGGCTCTTTGGTATACAGAATAAAAAAAATAAATATACATCCATGTTGTGCTAGAGTATTACTGCAGTTTTTGAAGAGCTGATGGACAGAGAAACATGTACATGAATAAATGACACTTCTAGTACTATGCTGTGGGCTGAAATCTTGTGTTTCAAAATGTTTTGGAAGGACAAAGCAAGCAATATGCCATAAACATGAAATCTCTTATGATGTTCTATCACATCTTGACCAAGATACATACTGCAATAAAAAATGAGAGAGAGAGACAGAGAGACAGAGAGACAGGTAGACAAAGAGACACAAAAAGAAGAGACGGGGAGAGAGACAGAGACAGAGTGACACAAAAAGAGAGGAGGAAGAGACAGAGAGACACAACAAGAGGGGAGGGAGAGAGAGAGAGAGAGATGGACAGACAGACAGAGACAGATAAACAGAGACAGATAAACAGAAACGGATAAACTGAGAGAGAGAAAGAGAGAGAGTGAGAGAAAATTATCACTACAAATACATTTTTTTTAATAATTAGACTTTCCGATTTCAGAAGCATTCAATAAATGAATTATAGGAAGAGGACATATAATGGTCAAGAACTCACCAACTTCTTCTCCTTTTCAGTGGGTAGTGATGACCATTCACACTTGACCTCCTTGTGATTGTGAAGCTGGATGGTCACCACCTTGCACTGACCGCACTGGACGTCTCCAAACTCCAGGCAGTCCGTTGAGATCTCCATGTCGGGCATAGTGACACAGGCACGCAGCCGCAGGAATACACAAGGTCCATTGATGATCTGGGAATGAAACAGAATGAAAGCTCGGATGATATGCAGCAATGCCTGGAATGAGGGAGGTCATGGCTGGGCCCCCATCTCATAAAGAATTGATATCAACTTATCTGCAATTGACATCAATCACAACTATATGTACATAAGAGATAGGAGACTGCAAACCGATTGATTGGAGGACTTGCAATTGATTTGGATCAATCACAATTCTTTATAAGACAGGAGCTGGTGTGCTAATGCCCTTGGGTAAGACATTAATCTTTGATGATAAGAGTTTTCATCTTTAAGCTCCCTGAGAACTCAACATCTAAAGGAATATTATGTTATCATATTTAAAAGACAACAAATTAATGAAACATTACTCAGCTTATTTTACTACGTACATGCAAAGTTTGTCATCAGATCACAAATGGAGCACTATGCAATCTTACATATCTTACAGAGATAATTCTTCAAAACTTCAACGTCTGAACATGAATCAATGCTACAACACAATTTCAATATGAAATATTGTAAAATGTGATATTCAAACATTACAGATTAAACATCACGATGGCCATTCCATTCAATGCAATGACACATTAATTATCACAAATGGCCAAAATGTGGCTGAATACTTACATTGACCGGTATCAACGCTTCCACATCTCCGAGTCCCAGGTTAGACCCAAGGGGGTCAAAGCTGACCCTGAAGTCCACAGTCTCGTGGTCTGGGAACCCCGGTAGGTGACGCACCCGGTCAAGTTCCACGTTGAACCCGGTTCCGGCCAGAGAGATCCGGTCAGCGGAGAAGGAGACGGGGAAGAAGCCGGTGTTGGTGGCTCGGATGATGTGTGTTCGGACAGTGCCGAGGACTACGTAGCCAAAATCAAGCATGTAATCTGGCAGGCGAGCCCTGCAACAGAGAAAAAAGGAAGACGGGTCCCAAAATAAAATGTAACGACCTGGAAAGGCTTATGACTTGATTTCCACTGCATTTAGTATTATCAAACACACATTCACTACTAACAAGAAAAGGAGAAAGTGTCAGATAAAAGAGAGAGAAATCAACAATCAAGAAGAAGAAATTGACAAATAGAAAGTGAGTTGGATGAAAGAAGTTACAAAACTGAATGGATAGAAATGTTTATACAAGCCCTCACTTTTATAATGTAGTAGAATGAAGTAGAGTATATGTCATCACATTGTGATTAATTTATGTCTCAAATATCCCAAACTAGAGTTGATCCTTCTCAACACGTTGAATACCCTACTTTATCTTTCTGAATGAAGGAACCAAAGTTCTTGCTTCTGAATAGGCCATTTTTGTAATGTAACCAAATTTATGCACATGCCTTTGTGAAAGGCCCCAAAATGAATTATTTCATTAAACTCTTCCTATAAATGTGTCTCAATAGTCAGAATTCAAATTCCATACATCATAGTTGTTGCTAGGTAGGACAAACATTATGACTTACCCTACCTAACAACAAATAATATATGCAATTTACATTTTGACTATTGAAATACAATTATTTTTTAACTAGTTTTTATTGAGGCACTTGAGTATTAATTTGCTAACATTACAAAATGAATGTGAACTTACTTAGCCTTGACGTTTTTCTTGCTTCTGGACGTCATGACGCTGGCCATCAAGACTCCTGGAGTGGCCAGAGCTTGAGCTGACCGGTCAGTGTCCAGCATGACGTTCTGCTGCTGATACTCGATGGCAAACTCCTTGACCAGCAATCGTTCAACCTCCAACTGGAATTCCAACTCAGATGGGAACTCGTTCTACAGAGGGGATGCATATGAAGTATCATAAATTAATAATTTGTGTATATACACTTTTATACTGAAACAACATGTATAATTGGTACATGGAAATTTTGAATTTCATTAATAGCTTATGTCATCAGCATTATAAGGAAATTGGTTGGTCTTTGAAACACAGGAATAAGTCTAAAACCTGCAAATTATTCAAATTTCCTACAGCCACCTAACTTTTATTTAACTGAAAGCAACTTTGGTCACTTAGTTCAAATACACAAGCACGGACAGCTAGTGTACTAAATTTAGGCACAAAGATCAAAAGTTCAGAAAGAAGAAAGCTCATAAATACATGTGTGAAGAAGACAAAGGGTACTTAGAAAAGAGTCATTCGTTTCATAATATACTGACCAGCATTGAGCATTGCAAAGTCAAAAGTCAAGTATGCCTTTTAAATTATTTTCAAAGATGCTAACGGCTTGCCATAATTGTTAAGTCAACTTAGAGATAAGTTAAACTTAGGATCTTTGTGAAACACCCCCCAGATAGATCTGAATGTCGCTTGCTCAACCCACCTGCAGTGACATGATGGACTTTGCATCCTCCTGGGACGGATCCCTTGGAGTAGGTGAAGGAACGGGGGATCCAGACTGGATCAAGGGTTTCTTCTTGATGTCCCGCCCTAGGTTCTCCTTGGCCTCCTTCATGAGGGAGCAGTAGAGCCCCTCTTCATCGGGGAAGCGAGGCAGGTCCAGGGAGACCCGTGGGAACACACCCTCTCCGCACAGGTTGATGGAGTCAGGCTCAAAGTGGGCAACTTGGATCTGAGGAACACATGGAGAAAACAAACAAATATACAATAAATTTGAGATGACAGGATATTAAAGTGGGTATATAGAGGGCAGCACACGAACGTACTCACAGGAGCGTAATACCCATTGGCTCAGTGTTATGTAATGATCGCCAAGTTGCGTACTTCACGAACGACTATCCACGCATAAACATCTTTAAGAGATAATTTGGCTGAAGTGACTATACGTCTACGGTATTTTATCATATCATGTCCCATACACCAAGCATTGTAGAATAATGAATATAATTTTAAAAGTATAATCTTCAACAGTATTTGTTCCATTTAAACCTATATTCTGAATACAATCACCATGTATACAAACATCTCTGATGAAGACAGGAGAAAATAACTTGGCCTTGGCAAGTGGCACTCTATTTTGTATCATTTACATATCAAATGTTTTTTATAAAATCTTATTGACGTTTTTACAAATTCAAAAGATAAATGTAATTTCTGTTTCCAATTCATGTGGCCTCTGTTACAAGCTGAATGTGTTATAACTCAGTAGGAATTTCATGGGGACGATTCTAGAAGAAAAAAATCCCTTTGGTAATCAAGAATCAAGAATCATCTAGCCCTCACCTCAAAGCTCTTGTGGAACTTCTCCGGGTAGCCTGGCAGGAACTTGACCAGTAGCTTATGCTCGCTGTAGGCCTCCACATGGCCGGTGTGAGGTACCATGACAGGGACCCCTGGCAGAGGTCGGCTGCTGGTGGATGGGTCCATGTTCAGGGCGCGGAAGTCAAACTCAACCTTGCCGGTGTTCCTCAGGGTGATCTCTGCCATGCATACATGGTCGTACATCTAGTGGGGAACACATGAATGGTGGTCACTTTGAGATTTAACCTTCAAAAAATATCTAGTACATATTGATATCTGCTGAACCAATCATATTTTGACTATACTTCTCATGCAGAGGTATCTCTATATTAATTATCTGTGGCTTGCATGACAAAGCAGCATGCAACCCTGTATTCATTATTTTCAATATTCCCTTAATACTGGGAAATGGCATCCATTAATTTGCTCCCTATGTTTGAAGACAAAAACCTATTGGCAATGGCTGATTGTCTGATGGCTGATTGTCAATGAAACAGAGTGAAGTCTTTTGTCAATTCTGCTTGTTGCTACGGCAGGCAGCCAGTGAAAAAGAACTTTTTAAATCAAATTATAGAAATGCAAGCATCACTTTAAACAAACAGAACTTTGTTATTCCTTGCTCATTTTTCCTGATTGAGGTGTTATATGAAAGGGCAGAAACTGAACTTTCTAGAAATGTGAATTTTTCTTTGAAATTCAGATACCGCCCGCCAAATGACTTTTTGGTTTTCTTCCTTCAAATTGCTTTTAATCACTCATGCCTGAAATATGCATCATATCAGTTGTATCAAATGAAAGAGGATCTAAGCTTTACAAATATGTGTCATTTCTTAATCATAATTGTGATTAAGTTATGATAAAACATTGATAATTCTCGGTTTTGTTTTTTCTGGGTCGCACTGTATATAGTTATACTTATAATCTTATATATATAGTTATACTTCAATATATATAGTTATACTTCTATATATAGTTATACTTCTATATATATAGTTATACTTATATATATATATCTAATTGTCCGCCTACCTGTCTGCCATAATCAATGTTCTTGAGGTCAAACTCATACTGGACGATGGATGCCTCCCCCTGCAGGTCAAGCTCGTAGCAGGGTCCACCCTCTACATTGCAAAGGGCTTTAGCCTCTGACCCTATCTCTGCATGACCATAGAAGGTAAAGGTCACAGTATCCGACTCGCCAGGGAGCAGGGTGCCGTACAGGGGTAGGATGTCAAACACCTGAACAAGAAAATGGCACAAAAAGTTTTATCAGGATTACACCACTGAGATGATAGTTAAAGGCATAGTTTAACAATTTTAAATCTGAGATGCATGGCCCTACATGTAATCATTGTCTGTGATATGGTATAATATTGAAGTCCTAAAACAAATTGCACTTCAAAATGATCATGAAGTGCTTCAGAATAGGAAAAATCTTTGAATGACCGGTTTTACTATACTCATTTTCCCCAACAGACTGCAGTGTTATAAAAATCGTTGAGAAAATGAAAAATGAAATTTCCATTTCGAATCATAAATATCTTGATAATTAGACAGGCGATGGGCTTGTAAAAGTCATGGGATTCCTTGCTGACCTAAAGGTTTCTAATTATGATTGCAGCATGAGCTAAATCCAGGATTTTGTTCTAGAATCTGAGGCAATGTTACCGAGTCACTCTAATGCATCCTGGTAGAACAAGGGGATCTCGGATCATACAGATATCAGCTGCCAATCTATTGGAAAAGTGACTTGTGATTTTTATGTGTGAATAACTCTCCAATATGCATAGGTATTAAAGTGTTGTAATCTTCTATCATACTTGTCAGTGGTTGGGGACTTTTTCTATTACCGAATGCAAATATTATGACAAATACTGCATTTACTTTTCATCTGCACCCACATAATGAGCTATTTGGGAAGCTCTAAAAGCTTCAAAAAAATGCTTTTGGCACTCAATCCTTTTGTTTAGGTGTCATTGTTTTAATAGGGAGGTCAAAATGTACACTTGTCTTGTCTCATGGGACTTTAGAGCATTTATAACTGCATTTTTACTGCAATTCTTTTTTAAATTCTTTTTAAAATTCTTTGACAAGCAACATTTTCAGTTCAGTGTAGATCAGAAGTCTTGTTCCAGGTTTTAACCTAGTAATTGTGCCAATGGCTTTTGCTCTTGGTGCAGTATTACACTTTAATTACCTAGTCACTTCGAAAGGAATTAAAGCTTCAACGTTTCCTTATCTCGCTTTACATAGCAGTCTGGTAAATTAGTAAATCGATCAGAAATTTGGGCAAGCACCGAGTACGCAAGTTTAATAGTAAGTGTACACAATTCTAATTGCCTTACGTACCTCTTCAATGCCGACAGCAGTTGGCTCTGTGATGGCCTGGATGTACTGGAGCTTGTTGAGCCTCTGTCTGGCTGCTGTACCAGGCCTCAGAGCTGTGAGTGGGCTAGGAGCTCGGGCAGTCGGTACCTCATCCTCTACGACTGGAGGGTCACGGTCACTCAGGGGCTGCATGGTTGGGAGAAAGTGAGAAAGTGAGAAAGTTTTATAATGATGGAGGCTGTGTGCTTGTTTCTTGTATTTACCATTTGCCAAAGGTGCAGATAAAAAATACTTGAGCCTAGATGACAGTTTGGTCCAGCATTTCTACCCAAGGGCATCATGTTTGTTAGAGGTTGATTAGAGGGAATTTAGGTATAAGTTAGTGATGCAATCTCTCCTACTGATGTTGCATCTACTTGATATTTCTTGATGAAGTTTAATTTTCACTATTCTCATTCTCTATGAGCCCTCGTAATTCAATAAAGATCTACTTAGTGGGTCAAATGAGCCCCCAAATTTGCAGAGAAGATATATAGAGAGCAACCCCTGTATTTACCCATATCCTCCCTCTTAAAAGCCTATCTGCACTAGTTTGGACAGGAGGGATTAGACCTCCCTGCATGGTCACTGACAGGTGGTTATCTCATCAAATCAGCTCTCAATTAAAATAAGAAAAAGAGGACCATGGGGGATCAATGGTCACCGCTTAGGCATTGTTTGCTATATGGAGGGCGCAAGTAGCTATAAGAAGTGCAGTGGGGCTTCAAAGGAAAAACATGGTTGGCACAAACCTGGTCCACTGTAGCAACCTCATCATCCTGCTTGGCCTTGTCCTCGCTCTTGATACTGGTCTTACTCATTGCCTTGCTGCCTCCGCTCCTTGCCGTCGACTTGCGTGGGCTCTTCTTACTGGCTGTCAACTTCTTGTCCTTCTTGCTCTCCTTCTCGGAGGTCACGTCGGCAAGGCTGATGGACTTCAGGGTCGCCTTGTCGGTCTCATCGACGGGCGGCTTTGGAGAGAGGATCTGAATGTCCAGCTTCTCTATGACGTTGTCTGGAGGTGCTTGGTCATCAGCATTCTGCCCAATATAATCAAAAAGAGATTTGAAATGGTTGTCATGATATTAGAAAAATGTTGGAAAGGATATAGAATCTGGGACCCCTCCCTTGTTTACTACATTCAAAACTTTCATGACCCAAAGACTTAAAAGGTTCTACTGGTAATCTATTTCAATATTTATGGCAACCTTTTCTTTATTGTCTGCATACATGTCAGATATAGATATCGTGTCTTCGTTCTCTAATTATACTCCCGGTATTAGATAAATCCAAACTCACTTTTTCTTGTGTTTTGTTGTTATTGCCATTTCCACTTCACATTGTTTTTGTTAACAATATTCTCCATTTTCTTCAAGTTCTTACGCCAATGAACTAAATTCATAGCAAGAGCTACAGGTTATACATTCACACTAACTACTGGCTAACTTGTTCCTGGCCATCCTCAGTAGCAAGAAGTATCATACCTTCATCTCATCCATCTTCTCTTCTCCACTCTCTGCTCCTCCTCCTTCACCCTTCTCTTGGCCTGTCTGTTCACCTTCCTCCATCTGTTGATCATCATCACCAAGGAGAGGTTCCTCAAAGGCTACATGTGTCTCTGCTGCTTGGGAAACATAAATATTTCATGAATACCGGTAGCTGAGTACAAGTAGACCGTAGAATGAATGAATATATTTGAATATATTTGAATATATTCAACCATTACAGGTATAAGTTTACCTTGGTAGATATATTACAACTATTGTTATAAATACTAATATTCATAACATCTCTAAACCTACATACTACAAGTACAATTTTAGGACTACAAAATTTACACTACTACTGAATCTGTGTATAAATTTAAAGAATGTAATTAACAACTCACCTGCCAACAGTATAGCATGATATATACTGTATCACTAATATTTTTGTTACCATCACTTCTACCATATTAACCATTCTTTGGAATACATGTACCAGTATTTCAACAACATGTCAAGTTTATATACAGCATGAATAGATTTAAAAACATAACAATACCAATACTACTTCTACTATTTAGTTCTTAATTACTCATATTCATAGCACTTAGGTTTCTTATCCTCCAATCCCTTTTATTCTTTTCATCTTTATCATTCTCTTGTTAAATAAAGTAAGCACAATAATTGACAACCCAATATTCTTCATAAAGTCTATTCTCTCTTATGGTGTTGATTAGTTTAGTTTCAAACTGAAGCAAAACAATATACAGGGTCACAAAAATTCATACCTTGATCGCACACCAAATTTGAATAATAGGTGCAACTCTATTTTATCTCGTGCACATAAAAAACAGGGTATTATTTTGTTATTCACCGGGTACTCAAAAATTGGATATTATACATGGGGACTTGAATGTCATTGGTAATTTCAAACAAAAGGAAGCATTGTTAAATTTTTACAGACATAAATACAATATAAATATAAATTATAAAGCATATTGTAATCTTTGAAAGTCCACTCATGCTCTATCTCGATGGTTCAATAGGTTGTACCTATTGTCTTTAGGATGCATATCGTGACTACTTTTGAGTAAAAAATAATTTCTTTGAAAATTTACTACACTTTAGACTAAAGAATAATAGAATCCATGGAATTCAGATGTACATATACTCAAGATGTTTGATATCTTTCAAACCTTCTATATGGATGATAAAATAATTTTTCTTATATTGTATATAATCAAACTTTAAGTTTGGAAATATATAAATGGGATGAACTGGTAAATGAATACACACTTTCTTGTATGTCATTTTCTACATGAATACAGACATGACATTTTATGAAATCTACTTTTAAAAATGTCAAATGAACTACTGAATTAAAATGGACAATACCAACTATTTTTTTTTGGGGGGGGGGGATTGAAATAGGCATAAATCACTTTGATAATATAAATGCTTTCTAATGTAAAATGGGAAAGCATTACAAAGCTTGGCTTTAAACAGGTTGATAAATTGCTGATGAATATAGATTTTTAAAAGCAAGGAAAGAAGAGGTATCAAGTGGATTTTATACTAATATGGGTTAGTCTAAATTAACACAACAGTATATCCAAACACACTTACTTCCTCAAGTGCTGAATATGCTTAAATTTGATGTTAAAAAAATAAATTAGAACTCTTTGTTTATTTTCCAGCTTTCTTTGAATAGAATTTGTGACTCAAGAATATTACTTCCTTGTCATGGCATGGTATTTTGCATCCTCGTTCTTCGTTTTAGTAGGGTTTTTTTTCCTCGATTTGGTAGTGTACACTTAAATGAAATATGAATATTCTCATTTGCTGATGAATATATAACATTTGATAACTGTACCAAAATATATTTTGAAATATAGTATACTGATATGCACTTTATCATACCATACAAAGATTTTTATAAAATCAGCACTCCTAAAAAGCACTTGATCATCTTGCATTTACATCGCCTACAAATAACTCATCTTGTTCTCAATGGCATTTCTAAACTAGCTTTGATATGATTATACCAAGTCGTGGATATGACTTTTAGTACATGTTAGATTAGTGGTGGTAAAAACAAAACGATAATGATTAAACAGTGGAGAAAACTAAATCAGGGTGAATTACAATATGGTTATAAGGATGGGATCTAAAATCTAGTAGTTTCAAGCATGGGCATCAATCCATTTTCATTTGCAGGTGGGACACAGTGAAAACTTTAACCAGCGAAAAAGAAAAGGAGGGTGTCGGCTCTCAACTTTTCATCAGTATCCAAAAGGTTTTAGAGACAAATCACACACAAAATGCTGAAATTGGGCACTATCTGACAGGGGGAAAAATAGAGGAATGTTTAGTGTTTAAATAATGTGATGGTGGGTGAGATGGGAATGGTGGTGGTGGTGGTGGGGAGGGGGAGGGGTGAGGGATATGTCCACTGCCTTAAAACAAGGGGAGTATGTATCTCCCTAAGGATTGATGCCCATAGTTATCTCTTAAAACCTCACCTTCGCTTTCCTCATCCGACTCGGATTCTTGCATAGAGAATAAAGTTGGGAAAGTACAAGTGCGTGCAAAACGGTTTATCTAATACTAGCTTCTACAATCAGAATACTTCTGTTATAACTGTGTGTACTAACCAAGAGGCTAAGGGCAAGCAGTTCTATAATAACAACTTTTCAGATCTCAGAATGGTTAGATATCAAAATCATATAAACTTTCAACTGAATATAAATTTTTATCAAATAATGAGAAAATGGTCTCCTCTCTATCTTGGCAAGGGCATTATACCATAACTGCTTGACTAAAAATCTACATACTACCAAAATGGTTATGTCACACCCTACTGAAATGCTAACTATAAACAAAACTATAACTTAAAACTAACACCAGTTTATGCCTACATTATTTGCACTGAATTTCAATCTACATATTTTTTTTCTTCTGAATATGTGATGTGATGGTGCACAAATCTCTAAAAGCACAAGTACAAAAAGTGCACATTGCTGCAAAAGTTGGCAGAACTTGGAACTCAGTGAAGTATACTATCAGTAAAATCAATTGTGAAAAGGTGATATCTGTGTATATTTGTTCACTAAAAGTGTTCAATGCATGAAATATTAAATAGGCTACACAAAACCATTTACCATATTCTGGGAAAAGTGGAACAGAGGAAATAAAATGAGGAATTTTAGTCTAAATTTGTTACGCATGATTTACCATGCACAAGAGAAGAATGAATTAGCAGCATGCAAATGTAATCATTCATCTCCTTAACGGACCAACCCTTCAAAAGATTCAAAATATTTTGTTTAAATCTATTTGATTTATGTTAAATAATATATATCACTGTCAATTTGTTTTTTTTGCTGATGAATTGAAAACTGTTCTTGGCTATTATACATTCATCAAATAAAATCATGTAAAACACAAAAGCTAAAGAACTTAACTAGCAGGAATGACATGGATAATCAACAGAAGCAAATGAACTATTCAATGAAGGTTCAATTAGTCTGGCCATTTGAGAATATTATACCTCCACAATATAAAAATACTGACATGATTGTACAACAATAACCTAAGAATTTGTTTTATTTACTTTTTAATCTCAACGCATTTAAAAATACCTAACTGAATTAATTGATAAACATAACAGAATCAACATAATGTCCAGATTTATCTTTCTTTTTTTTTACTTTTAAATCTCAATGCAGATGAAAACAGTTAACTGAATTAATTGATAAACATAACAGAATCAACATAATTTCCAGATTTTTCTTTCTTTTTTTACAGGGGGGGGGGGGCATTACCAATACCATGTATAAAGAGCACTACACATATTTTGACAATATAATGTGGTGCAGATTAGAGCAAGAGTTGCGTTTGATAAAATCAACACAATATCAATGATTTTCCTTGGACTAACCACTTCAATTTGAGATCAATAGCTAAAAATTTGCAAGTCTTGCATCTTCTAAAGCGCGGAAAGAAAATCATTTCCTTTGCATCATCGAATTCTTCAATACGCCCAAGATAACTTGAGAATTACCACATTAGCAATGTGTATCAAGTAAATACTAGAAATGGACAGAACCAGGACAGAAGGAGGATAGTATCTTACCTTCCACAGGCTCAACTCGCGGTGCAGGGACTGGTAGGGGGTAGAGCATGATGGGTGTCTCAGGTTCCAGGAAAGACCAGCGGTAGTTGACGGCCATGGGGCTGTTGTTGGTGATGTTGACGTAGCGAGTGACCTCGGTGTCGTTGAGGATGCAACCAAAGCTGACCTGCATCTTCTCAAAGGTCAGGTTGGGGAAGAAGACCTCGCCACGCAGGCTGACGTAGTCCTGAACATGATTAAAACCAATGATGATTGAAATGTGGCCAGTTACTTTACTGGTGGCAGAAACGGTCATTGATTTGTATCCTACTTAGATGATTCAGATAGATTGAAATTCTTTCCATAGCAAGACACTGTTTTGAATACAGTATCAAACTGTGAAATCCCAATAAAAATACATGTAATATTATTATCAAGTACAAGTTCAAGGTATTATTGTGTTGACCCTTGTGACATATGCTGCTACAGCATATAAATGTACAAAACCGTTTCAAAGGGATGATTCAAGGAATATTATGAAGAGTGGTTGGGGTAACTAAAAAACTATGTGCTAGGTTTAATAAAAAATTATTGATAGTTATGCTGAATGATTATGAGAGCAGGAACTACCATTTAAATGTTAAGTTAACCTTATTTATGAGTACCTAAAAAGCAGATGGTTCTAGAAGTCATATCAATAAAAAAAAAGTTGAGAAAAAAATTACTAGGAAACTCTACTTACAGTGTGCGGATGCTCTAGGTATGTGAGAGTCAGCAGTTTCTCAGCGATACGGCTGTGTGAATCATTCTGATAGGCAGGATCAAACTGAATGGTCATCAGCTTACTCTCACCAACCTCCAGAGGCACCTCCTGTAAATAAGAAAATGTGGTGGGGGGGGGGAGGAAATACGTTATCAGATGAAAAAGACTGAAAATTGGAAATAGTCCCTTTAGAAGCATTCATTTGTTGATTTTATTTAGACTATTTAGTGGCTAACTTTCAAACTTCATAAAGTGGAACAATTCTCCTCCTATCCTTCCCATCAAAACCATCATTGCCAAATATTAGTTGGCAACTTTGAATACTTTATCTCCTTTTATATTTTCATATAATTATCAAATCTTAGATATGGTTCTAAAATAATCTGTTAATCAACATTATGATCTATAAAAACTGGATAACTTTGTCATATTGTATATCAAAATCTAAATCAGTACCTTTCCATTCCCTCAGATATTTCACCTGTTTTTTAAAATTATAATCATCCCATCAGCACTGCTTACCACGGCAACAAGATTTCTTTACAAATGCTAAGCCGGACCAGCAAAACAATCCATAGGCATAATGCCTCGAGCACCGCTTTTAGTAGTGGCATGAACAGAAGAGAATAGAAAGCCTATCAGAGACTTACCAGACAGGAGAGGGCTTCAATTCCATCTTCAATGAGTTGGAAGGGCTTCTCCAGCTGGACAGTGGTATGCAGGGGCAGTGACGACACATTGGTCATGGTCAGTTCATTGTACTGCATGGTCAAGACATCATCAGGATGCTATACAAATAAATGTCAAACATAAAGTCAAAGGGATTTATCTAAGTTGGTATGGCAGTCCTGAGGCTGACATAAATTCACTTTACAAATACATTAAAAACAAAGAGCACAGAACACTTCAGCGTTTTCATTTTACGCAATTTACATAACTCTTTGATGCATACTTTGAAGTTTGAAGGCATGCGGGATGCTTTGAAATAAACGTAAGACAAAAAGTCAAAAGGATTTCCTAAGTTGGTATGGCAGTCCTGAGGCTAACATAAAATTTAATTCAATTTACAAATACCTTAAAAACATTGAACACAGAAAACTTCAGCAACTTCATTTTATGGAGTTTATAGAGTTCTTTGATGAATGCTTTGAAGTTCAAAGACATGTGCAAGTCCTTTGCAAAGTTATACCATAAAGGTACTTGGAGTATGGATCCATCAAATGGACTGAACTGGACAATTTGATTCAATCTATTTGATTTATTCAATTTTCTTTCAAGCAATGGTGACTTAATATTTGAAAATAAGACAAACCATTAATTTGGATCTAAAATTACAAGTACAGAGCAAAAATTATAATATAAAATGACCTAAAGGGTACAATCTTGCACCTCGATTGACATGCTTAATTTCTGATAATCACGCTGGCTGTAAGAATAAAGAATTCAGTTGAATTGAATAAGATGAGCGACCTTTAGACAAACTGAAATTGACTCAAGTAAACTGCTTTAAAGCAGATTGAACTGGACTGAACAGGAAATTACCTTATCCACTCTGAAGGCCACCTGCTTGGAGGAGAACTCTAGTACAGGGCTGATGAAGGTGATACTGATGTCTGTCTTCATGATCTTCTCTTTGCCACTGGTCCTGCCGATGATGGCATGACATAACATCCTCTCCTTCACTGTCTTGGGTCTAAAAAACATTGAAATGAAACATTCAAGTAGTTACGTACAGCCACTTAATTCATCCAATTTGTTTAATTAGGTAGTGTTGTAGTGCAAATAAAGATAAAATTTTCAATTCGAGAAATTCAGAGGAATATTTCAGGAGCCATGTTATAGAATGTGATGCTTGTTCTTCAACTTGGTAAAACAATCGAGTTCAGAACGCCATGTTAAATACATTTGTCTTAGATCTTTCCCAGATATTCCTTAGCTTCAGTTTCCTAGGCCATGGGTCAGACATGTTTTAATGGCAAGAAACATCTTTAGTGGAGAAATATTAATACAAAGTTGCACAGATTGCGATAAAAATATTAAAAAAATCATTGCTTGTTCAAAAGAAACATTTGTTGTCAATCATAAAGTTTAATCACACTGTTTAGATGGCTCGATCTAGGCCTTTGAAAAGGCCCTAGATATTATAACTACACAAAAGGGATTCTTGCAGAACATTTAATAATCCATCTTGACTTCAATATTAACAAATTCAGAACAATATCTAGTAACTGGAACTGTTGAGATGACTTACTCTGAGCTTGCTCCTTCAAGATGGACCTCGATACTCTCTCCTGCCTCAAGTTCAAACCTAGAGGGCGTCAGGCTGAACACAGGTCTTGGAGGTGGAGCAGGAGGCGGCATTTTCTAAAAAGCAAGACAAAAAAAGAGGCCAAATTAATGTCTGAGCAATTTACCCTTTCAAGTGCCACATGATTAGCAAAAATGATTAACAATCTAGGATGAAGACCTTGTGCAGGTTCGACAGTTTGGAGCGATAATGTTTCTCTTTAACACAAGTTTTAACAATTTAACAGTTTGTTTACCCATGGAAGCCTCATCTGCTTCAATGCTGTTCTACGTGAAGGCCCTGCAATTATTATTACCCCAGCAATAGCCAGGTACCCATTTACACCTGGGTGGAGAGTGGCAAAATTTGGATTAAGGTCTTACCAAAGGACTTTAGTGCCGGGCTGGGATTCGAACCCTCAACCTTATGATTGAGTGTTAAGTGAATGAACCACTATACCACGACAACTCCACAGTGCACATCCCACTTAGATTTACATGGAGTAGATCGATGCTCAAAGGTCACATTGACCAAGTTAAGTCTTCCCCATCCAACTATAAATCAGTAAGAGTACTGAACGCTATACATACCTGATACTTGACATCCAGTGGGTTATATTCTGGTTCTCTGCTCTTAATCTTGATAGGAGCAAAGCCCTCTGTGGTCCAGAATAGCTGCTGATGACGACGTCCCTTGTTGGTCAGCGTGAAGGTCCTTGTGCTAGGCTTACTACTGCTCAAAAAAAGATTCAAGGAAGAGAGGAAGTTATGACACAAGTTAATTCACTTTAGGCATGTTTTCATCAGCTCGAGTTTGACAAATAACCCACTATTTTCAGACTCTGGATATTATCCCGAAGCTCAAAATTGCGTCTTCACCAGACCAATACGCTCATCACAAACTAGCTCGGACGTGCGCAAATTAGCCTGCTATTTCGGAGACAAGACCAAGAATTCTCTGGATATTTTCTCGAACAAATATCCCGCTCATTGCTACTGCGAGCTGATGAAGACGTAAATTAGCTGGATAATCTGCGATCGGATAATTAAAATAGTGCGTTATTTGGCAAACTCGAGCTGATGAGGACAGGCCTTTTGAAGTCGTTTTTTTTTTTCTTTTTAGCAGCTTCCAATGTTTTGACTATATACAAAATAATGAGCACTGAAAAATAAATCCTTTATTACAGTGTATGTGTAGTTTTGAGGATGGAGTAAGGCAGAGGGAGAGAGAGGGGAGAAGAGAGAGAGAGAGGAAGAGGGGGAGGGGGACATATGGTGGAGAAATCAATATTAGAAAATAAGAGTACAAAAGAAAAGGGGATGACATGTTTGGAATCACAGATTTTTTTTTTTTTTAAGGAATTAAATGAAAGTGAAGATGCTACACAGTAGTCTGGAAACAGATATTTTTGTGTCAATAGGTGATGTATTTCTGATTTATAGTCATTCACATCTAGGTTGTGTAATTGCTTTTTTCTTATTTATAAAATTGATGGAAATCCTACTCGTACTTCCAATGACTTTTTGCAAAAGCTGGGATAGGGCTTATAAACTAACCAGGTCTTACCTGAAATGATGGCCTAGCTCAATGGTGGGGGTCATAGGTGGGTCCGAGACTATGGTGGACCCATGACCATAGGCCTGGACCTTGATGATCCTCGTCTGGCTATCCTTAAAATCAATGGCCAGCTTATCCTGGAACCTGTTCAAAATAAGCAGTGAGATGGTGGATTGCTGTTTGGTCTACAACCAGTTTATCTACTACCCAATTGGTCTATTCCCATATGGTCTACATCCAGTCTGTGTACTATCCACATGGTCTAATAATCATTTTGTCTTCTTATCATTTGGTCTAATGACAAGTTCGGCTAATAGCCATTTGGTCTAATCTCAAATTAGTCTACTCCCCATTTGGTCTATCGTTCATTTGGTCTAATAACCAGTTAGTTTAATTCCCAGTTTCATCTAATGCCCATTTCGTCTTCTATTCATAAAGTCTAATAATCATTTGATGATTATCATTATTTATGATTAAATGATTATTAGACCATATGGGAAGAGACCAATTGGGAAGTAGAGAAACTGGTTTTAGGCCAAACAGCAATAAACCAGTGAGATTGTTCATATGAAACATATCTGGAGACAGGACATCCTTGTACTTTTGCCACTCCTGATCCAAGTGAAATAAATTGAAATACAGTGAAATAAATTGCCAAAGAAATCCAAGCATGCTAAAAGCATAAACAAATTGGTTTGGTAGACAACTGTTTAATAAAGAGAAAGGTTTTTAATGACACCACATGTTCTTTCATTTACAATAAGACCACTGATCATGAGGTCATATTTTTCAACATTTCCAGCAGTACGATTAAATTTTTCACAAAGACATTGCTTATATATGAACGACAATATGACATTATTTTTGGCCTCATACAATTCCCTTTGCAATGTGAATCCTTCACTACAAGTGCATCAAATTGGCAAGACTACTCCTTACCTGATGCAATCATCAAGGTTGACAGTGAGTGTGACTTCCACAGTATCCTCTGGTGGTATCACACCCTCGCTTGGTTCAACCTTCCACGAGGTGTTAGGACGAACCTGAACGGACAGACAGACAAGAAGGCACAAATATTGAGACTGATGCTGTGTAATTTTGCATGTTTTCTTAGTTTCAGGGTCACATTGCATTAGAGTCTGAGTAGCAAACAAGTTTAACATTATGATGTATTTGTATATAATTTAGTCATTGTTTTGCTACTCTAACCATAGACAATGGATACACATGTTATGTGAGATCTGTGTCAAAATAAAATGCATTGATTAATGGTTTTCCCAGCTGGGTGAATATTCATGCATAGCTTTCCATTTGCCCTCTGAACTCTCTAATTCTTATTCAGATGCGAAGTCTGGATGCGCCCATTCCTTTTCCTTTGTTCCTTCGTCCTAGGAATTTAGATATGCAAATTTAACACTAGCGCGCATGTGACTGGGTTACGTTTGGGAGAGTGTGAATGTGTACGTGTTATACGTTAGCGAGAGTGGTGGGCAGAAGCCATTTTGTTGCGAGTAGAGAAGGACCTGCTGTGTCACCCTTGGGGAGGGAGTACGTTTGACAGTGAAGGGAGGATTTTTGGGCTTGCTGTTCAGAGCGAGTGTGGTCCCCTTTTTTATTGCTGCTTTCTCATTCTGCTGTTGGGAGCGGAAAGAGCAGACAACCGTCCTTCGGACACGATCCCTCCGGGAGGCAGGCAACGGGGTCTTCAATCTACAGAATAACTGTAAGTCTTACCTTTAAGCTCAACTCTCATTTTATTCACATTTATGACCCTGTTTTATGCCCTATAGTGTAAACGGATGCCTGGAGAAATGTTTCTAGATGTTGCATATGAATATTTGTTTTTAAGTAATTTAATTGGGATTTGTGTCATGTGAAACGACACAATACATGTTTGAAATATTTATTGTTTTTGTAAATGCCTTTTTTTCCGGCAGACACGGAAAGTCAGCCATGCTGGAAGTCAGCCATTTTGAATGTCAGCCATTTTTAATATATTAAATGGCAGGTAGCCATCTTGAATTTTGATGCAAACAGAATGCATTAACTGTTTCTGTTTATAAACATTTCTAAAGTCAGAAATAATTTGAAGTGTTATTAGCATTGTTTACAAAGGCTGGTATGAGATACATGGAACGGAAGTTTCCGTCTTTAGATATGTTAAAGCTAACTGATTTTGTGTATTTCTATTAATGATGTTTAAGTCAACATTGTATGTTTATATTGTGAAAAAGTCCTTACATGTTAAGAACATTTGTTGATGTATTTTTGTATCAAAAATATGATGGGATACCATGTTTATTATTGTTTATTGATTGTATTACAGCCGTTTAGGGTGGTGTTCAACCACATTCCATTGATCGACTCTCCGAAGTACAAGAGACCGATTTAGACTGTTTTCTACCCTGCGATATGGTGAACTCATCACGAGCCATCGAGCCATTCGACCCAGTTCTCGTTCTACATGATTCCACGGTCATGTAACGCGGTGGTCATTTTCGCGCACACAATCGTCTGACGCGGTGGACTTTGTCACGCACTCCAACGTTTGTAACGCGTTATCCTTTGAACGAATAGTATAATGGCAGCCTTAATTTAATTGACCCTCTTAGGAAATTATAAGCTGATATATTTTGGATTTGTCAACGCTCAATATCTTGAATTTATGTTGCATCTCGTTGTATTGTGTAATTAAAATCCACACTATCATCTTATTCTTCTTTCATTGATTGTTTTTATATGTGTATATCGCCAATTAGACAACCACAATCCTTGTGACAATCTGTTTGTTGCAAACTGAAGATGGGGCTTCAGCTAACAGAGTGCATACGCCTGAGGGGAATATATGCAAAATTTTCAAAATATCTCTGAAAATACATACACCGTTGTGTATTACAACCACTCTTATGTCAATCTTTAGGTGAATATGGTCCCTACTATGTAAATGTGTCGTAGACAGGTGGTTTAAGCAATTGACTTGAAATGCGAAGGTCGTGGGTTTGATCCCAGACATGGCACTAATGTCCTATGGCAAGACATCAATCTACATTTGCAACTCCATATCCAGGAGAGAAATGGGGTCCTGGTAGGATGACGAAAGTCTTTGTCTTAGAAATTTCCATATGCCCTCACGGTGTAGATAGGAATACCACAGGTAGTAGAGATGGTGCACATTGTGCGTGAATGAAACCCGAGGTACAAATATATGTAAAGTGCTTAGAGACGGTAATTTCTATTAAACGCTACCTAAATCCAGATTATAATTATCATTATTATCATTATGATTATGTAAACCCATTTCTTACCATGTGACATGTAAATGGGGCTGGTATGAGAGATTCGTTGGACAAGGTCACAATCCTGGAGATGTCTTTCAGAACCTGGGTCTGACCCCAGTCCATCTCAGTAGGGGTCACATGGACCACTGGCCCCTCCCCTATGCACTTCAACACCACTTGCTGGATGGGGAAGAACAAAGGTTTAATGTATTTGATTTTCATTAGATACTGCATTCTTTGCATTTGTAATGAAAAATAAACAATGACAATAAACTTATGAGTCATGTAAACACATGAGCTATTTCTGCTGTATTTCAGAAATTAATAAGGATTCGTTCACACAGAAAGAATAACAATTTCTTACAAACTTTTTCCAAATAGGATTTACAAAATAAGCTCTTTATTAATTCAATAATTCATTTGACTTCATGATCATCTTTCTCTAAAGTGGTTTTTAAACGTGTATCCATGTGCAATTCTACTTACTTCTGCAAACCATGCTGTTTAATTAATAAGCCAATTTTGAATTGAATTGAACAAGAACAAAGGACTCACCAGAGGAGGTTCCATGCTACCAAAGATACTGAACTCTGCATAGGTTTCCAGCTCCTCCAGACCTTGAGGGGTGATGACCAGGGGTACCCGACGGGTAGTGTGAGGGGGTAGGATCCCTGTCGGCTCTGGACTGCTGAACAGCATAGGGCTCATCTCATCTACCTCCTGTAGCAAAGAAAGTCATATACAATCAAATGGGTTTCAGTGGCCTGCACCTGCCATTGGTAATGAAAGCCCATCTGCACTAGTTTGGCCAGGAGGGATTAGACCACCCTGGGTGGTCACTGGCAGGTGGTTATCTCATCAAATCAGCTCTCAGTTAACATAAGAAGAAGGGGACCATGGGGAACCAATGGTCACTGATTAGGCACTGTTTGCTATATATAGAGGGTGCAAGTAGCTATAAGTATAGTGCAGCGGGGCTTTAAAGCTAGGAAATACATTTTGAAGGAATCTAGGTTAAATAAACTTTGCATCAATTATTATACAATGAATGAATTGTCTAAACTAGAAAATACAAACTAATCAAAACTTGCTGGAGAAAAAAAAAATCATTAACTCAAACCACATGGTCTAGTCCTTTACACAAAACTCCTATCTCATTAGTACAGAGCTACGATTGATATCAATTTATGACTGATTTCAATCAATCACAAGGCTTAAGAAGAAAGGAACCACAATCTCTGTAAGTTAAATCCTTACCAATACCTGATTTAAAACAATTGTTCGTAGACTGAGGTTGCTACTTACTTGTGGAACGAGGTCATATTTAGCAGGGAGGTCAGTGTCATTACAGAGTCTGGCACTGAGCTCATACGGATGGTTCAGGAAGCAGCGAGTGTAGTCAAGGATTGGTGTCACCACAGAGATGGAAGGCACTACACATCTGCAGAAAGAACATAAATATAGATGTGAAATTTGTTCTGCATTTAGCTTACCCTGATATACAAATGCATTTTCCCTGATTATCAATTTCCAAGTTCTCTCAAAGCATCATCTGTATTTTTTATAAATTCTATGACAGTTTTCTTTAGAGAAAATCTATTGTAAAACCAGAAACTTCAAAGTAAAGGACGCTTTTGTGAATTAAACGAGTGGTTGAGATACACAATACCATGAATCACACATCACAATACAAAATATTGGCATCTTGGAAAGTTTTTTGTGGCAAAAGGAGCAATTATTAACAATTTACAAAAGTTCATATCAAGAAAGTTTCTGGGAATACATTAGGAAACAATGAAGAATTTCCCTTGGAAAACTTGAGACTTACTTTGCTGATATGGGCAGTGAGAGCAGCTCTTGTCCAACTCCGTCTACATCGACCACAAGGGCTAGATCATACTTCTTGAGGGAGTTGGAAGTCAACTCAACCTGGAAGAAATATATATCAAAATATGTTCAATAAAATAAATATATATGATTCCACATAAGTAAACATCACATTTGCAAACAAAAATGGTTGAATTATCTTAGACACAATTCGGACCAGAGAGTTTCACATTATAAGTAAAGGTCAAGTAAGCCTGTCAGGCATGCATTTTTTCGTAATACAGGCATAAGCAGCAAAACCTCCTTGAACTATATGTATTTTCCTTGTAGGGGCTCTTGAATAGCAACATGTTGGAAAAAAAATGAAACTCATAGTATCATGGCTCCCCTGTGCAGACTAGACGAAAGATTAAATCCCCAGTAGATTTTCACCAATTACTGCAAAACAGGTAATCTACAGCTTTGTAAAATTGAAAACATATGAAAATATGTCTTTACTTTTCTTCTGACTTACAAATGCAATGAATAACCCACCAATGAGCACAAAATCATCATGATTTGAAAAGGAATCATGCCAATATTTAACTTGTATATTTTATTGCGCACTGACCTCAATCTTGACCTCACTCTGCGGGTCCACCGTGCCTGAGGATGGGACGATCTGGAACTCCCTTGCCGGGGTGCTGAGGTTGGACCTGCCCAGGGTCACCTCACCACTGGTAGCAGACACCACATCACCCTCCCCGTCCCCAGGCACTCTCAGGCTGAAGCCCATGGGTACCAGGGCCGTGTTCACCAAGGTGGCTACCTCGGTGCTCTTGAAGCCTTCATGAAGAAGATATGAAAGTATCGTAAGAATGATGAGTTGGGGGCATTTCATTGGAAGTATTAATTTCTTTGCTACAAATTTGTAATATATTGATTTTATATGTATACTTTGTTTCCAAGACATATTGTAAAACAGCCTCTGAGCAAATAATACTTCAACAAGCTCTGCTTCTAGTTAGTTCCTCTTTTCTCGTGCTATTACTATTACATTTGTAATATACTTATTTGTTGTATTATGTTTTGCATGAGAAATAAAGTCATTTGAATTTGAATTTGTATTGAATGGAATACACAGAAAAATCTGATAGGGTACATTTACTACTTTATAAACTTGTTTCTCTTTTAAAATCTTGAATGATTCTTCAGCTCACAGACAAGCCATTTTTTTGTGAAGATGCTAAATTGATTAGTAAGATATTGTTGTGTTTAATGTGGAATATTACAATGTGGAAAGACTTCACAGTGCTATCACATAACATGACTAAAATACATCTGAAACTTTAATACTTTACAAACCAAAAGCTTGTACTTTAACAAATCACATAAAAAAAACATGATTTTCATCAATTCCCCTTAAGTACCCTTAACAAATGTATTAAATATGTATACATTTTCTACTACAATAACTAGTGCCACCCATAAAATTACTTGAGGCTTGTCAAACATAGTAACAAACTTATGCATTCTGACTTCTGAGGTACAAAAATATGGAGCAAGTGAATTCACTAATTTGTCACTAGGCACATTTCAAAATATTTGTGTGCAATCACCTACTATGGGTCTGCCATAAGACAAAATTCACCATTCCCTTCCTAATTTATTTTATTTCATGCATACCATAAGAAATGGTGCCAAACTTGAGGCGGGGGACATCGAAATGGAAGGTGGGTCCTATGACACAGCCCCTGAAGTTGAGCTTGTGCTGGTAGGGTAGCCCTTCCACCTCCCAGAAGAAGTCTTCACTGAAGTCCCCCAGGTGAGGGGAGGAGAAGGTCACATCGATGGCCTGGAAGGCTCCCGGCTCCAGCACGCCAGAGCTGGGGGAGAAGCTGAAGTAAGGCCCAAAGGTGGAGTCGGAGGGCACCAGGCGGAAGGCAGCATCGATGTCCCCACGGTTACCAAGCACCACCTACAACGGTAAATAGATATCAGTATAAAAATTTTGAAGCTACCATGATGACTTGAAAGGAAAAATGAATATGACCGAGATTAAATACTGCCATAGCCATAAACAGGTTACATACTACAACTAAACAAAATTGGAAGTGCAGATATGTCATAACATGAATGTCTATGCCCATCAAACAATTCTTTTTTTCAGAATTATGCTGATCGAGAGTTCTTCCTCGTGAAAATAGCCACGTAAAAGAAGGGAATGGGTCCATCCTGCACAGAATATGCGAAGTAAATTTCAACGCTATCCAACTCATATTTTATCATTTACCATCCTGCTATTTATTTCATGTTGCTTCAGAGTAGGATTTTAAAAAGAATTCCTACTTAACACTTGATTAGAACCGTCAATCAACTGCTAGAAATATTCACGGTAAGACCCCATCACTCACCTCGTATGAATGCTTGGAGTTGATAAAGATGTGTCCCATGTTCATGGTGTCGTAGGAGAAGAAGACCTGCGGTCCGATCCCGTCTCCCTTCAGTCTGAGCGGGAGCCTGGTCTCACGACCGACGATGTCACAGTAGGCAATCTGGTTATAGGCCTTGGCCACGGTAGGTTTGAAGACTACGTTGATCTCGCAGGTTGAATTGGGCCAAATGTCTCCCTCTTGGGGCATGATGTTGAAGGCATCGTCCGTGAATAACAATTCGTCACCTCGAACAAGCTGAAGCAGAACAAAAATGCAAGGACAAAGACAAATTATTTCTAGAACTCTACTCTTTAAGTTGTTTAGAACCCTGGTTTCCATCACCTCATATTTACCAAAGGAACCTTTATCTCTAACGCAAATAATTCTTTAGAGGACATAAAAAAGAAATATACCTCTTCAACTATTCTATAATGTTTTCTTGATCCTTTATGTACTGTCTGGTAGAAAATTCTCTCCACAAATTTGGATATTATACATCATGTTCTGGCTACGTACGCTTGTTTTTCTTTCTTTTTTCTTCTTTGTATAAAGCAGATGTGTATTAAAGTACATGCATCATTCATTCATTCAGCCCCAAGATAAATTCGGCCAAATTGAAAAGTATAACAGTAAAATATTGAACGGAAATTGAAAATGCAAAGAAGGGACTAAAAACTCTTTACAAAGACTGGTTGCAGTTTATAGCTTGCACTGTGTAGTAAGGGAATATATCCTCTCTATGTACTCACCGTGCGTCTGTTCTGGAACGTGCGTGTGAGGATAGCCATACGATCCCTCAGGGTAGGGTCCATGATGCATTCTTGAAGGAAGGCATCATGCTCTGTTGACTCCTCGGACTCTATGTGACCAAAAAATCTGCACAAGAAAAAAATGTCAAGAAGAATATATATTAAGATGATGTCAGAGCAAATGTTACACACAAATTTGGCAAATATAACACAGAACCTGTTACACTACAGTTTTGAACTTTTCTTCCCATTTAGTGACAAAACTATTTGCTTCAGCTGTTATGTGTGATAGCACTTCTGTAGTAAAGGTGTCTAAGATGTGTTCCACCTTGCATACATTAGTAATCAAGGCAAGCAATTAGAAAGATTGCAGACCTTCAAACGCAATTTTCAATGGGATGCCAACCATCTCAATACATTAGTAAGATACCAAACTTATTCCTGTTGAATGTCTGTCCATTCTGAACAGCAGGGCGATGCTTTAGTGGTGACACTTAATGATTTATCAGAAAATTACTGTAAATTAGGACAATAAATACATCAGGGCCCATCTTAGCGCTGATGTTAATCGCAGCTTATTTGGGATTGATATCAATCACAACTATGTAAATAAGAGATAATAGACTGCAAACTTGCGATTGATTTGGATCGATCGCAACTCTTTGTAAGACAGGGCCTAGGGAACTAATTGAGATTCCTCACCCTTGTTTTTGTTGCTCCTCCTCCTCTGCCGTAGCACACTGTTTCCACTTGTAGTGTACGATGACATCACTGCGATTGGCGACAATCACTGTCCTCTGATTGGCCATGGAGATGTAGGTGTTCTCGATGCGCAGAGAATTCTTGTCAAGTCGCACGTTGGCGTCGTAAGCACCTCCGTAGAGATTCACACCGACATCTTCACCTGGTAGGATAGATGGAAAAGAAATTGATTGAGTCTGGGATGTTTCAAATGCTCCAATTTTACAGAAAGACAAACTGACATTCTTTAAACTTAAGCTTAAGAAGTCTGGACAAGCAGTGCAAATTGAAACATTTGTATTTAATCAGTTTACCATTCTAAGTGCTTTTGACAGGTATTAGTTCATATATGAATGACTTAATCAATGAGAGGACTGATCAGTTATTTGTTGACATTCAAAAAAACTACATCTGATTTTTAGTACAACTAATTTTGAAACTATCCCACTGTAAATGCTGAACTACTGAGAATTTCATTGTCATGGTTAATGTATAAAAATTCTTTACATTTTTGTTAAATTCTGTTCACAAAATATAAATTAATAACAAATTATTAAAAAAATAAAATAAAGACCTGTTCATTATGAAAGAATGAGTATAAAATCAAATCAATAGTTTGCTATTTACAAGATACCCTTTGGTAAATTCAATGAGGAATGACATTACGTTAGAATACCTGAGTCGAAGTTGATAACCAGGTTATCGTTGTGATCTCCGACGGTCATAGGTTGAAAGGTCAGTTCCACTTGGAGGCTGTCGTTAACTGCCAGGGACCCATTTTCTGGGGAGACTGAGAATGGTCTACAGCGAGAAATGTGTAAGAGAAATAATGTATCAACATTGACAAAGTACTCTTCCTGCATTCATTTTACAAAATTTAAAAAGTAGTAAGATCTCTGACAGCTATAATCAAGTAATGACCATTTTATTACTACTTTTAATGGACAATTTTTACATCTGTATTGAACAAATACATCTGCAATGAGTATAGCTTTTAACAAATTTGTTGCAGACTTTTTACATAACTTATAAGAGAATATATAATGCACTGTCAAATCCATATTTTTTTTAATAAATTGAATAAATAATTTTTTCATAATATGTGTAATCCAGAGCTTCTATTGTCCTAGACATTCGCCATTTTGAGAGTAAAAATTTTCCTTGAAAATAATAGAAATAATGGTAAACAATAAAAATCATGGTATATTCGATTCTCAATCTCTTCAGTCATTCATACCAGCTATTTCCAGACATGTTATCATTCATTCCAAAAACAAACAAATGAATAAACAAAAGGAAAATGGCACATATCCTGCATCTGTCACTATGAACATGACGGACAAAGAAAGAGGACAAAATATACAGTTCTTCATTCTACCCTCAACAATTGCTGTGGTAGACAAAAGAACATCCCTTCACTGCTATTATCATGTAAAAATATGTAGAACAGGTGAATATGCATGTGACATCTGTTCTACACATTTTTACATGATAGCAGGGAAGGGATATCCTTTGTCTACCTGAGGAATTGTATATTTTGTCCTCTTTCTTTGTCCGTCATGTTCATAGTGGTATAAATTTGGTGTTCCGTGCTTTCTAGCTCTAGATCACTCACCCTGAAGTATAGAGAGCAAAGTGAGCTTCCTTGTTGCCAATGTTCCTGACCAGTAAGGTCTTGGTGCTAGGGTACTTGACCGGGCACATGGAGAAGTTGACCTCATCTGGGAAGTCCAGCATGGCCCTGGCTCCGATGGCCTTCACTGGGACTACAAACTTCTCCCTCTCCGTCATGCAGATTAGCTCGTGGATGTAGTCCTATTGATAAGTCACAGAACAATGCAGAATTGCATAAGTGCTTGATTTTTTTTTTCTCCAAGAAGAACAAAGGCAGTAAGGAACATGTGTGTATGAGCAGAATATATTATTTTTATTTAGCTTTAAAAAGAGAATGATATCCAAACTGTCAGAGAAATTGAATTTTCCCTCTCTTTTCCTTGTTAATGTCTATCTTTGTCATTTTTGTATTATAGACAGACACTTACCTACAATCAACAAGTCTTTGAAATACAACATAATTAACTTCATCATTTTGACATTTTTAACCATCCTATACTTAATTTGGAAGCAATTATTAAAATACTTGCATTTCATTCATTTATTTTTTTTGGGGGGAGGAGGTCACTTTTAAAATGATCACATGAAACTTTCTGTAAATATGAATGATAAATTATCTATTTCTGGTCCAGGAATAAAAGACCATGACAATCTATTCTTAGACCAACATACAGTGCATTGTACATTTTTGTAGTGCTGGATCTGCTGCCCATAACACAGAATGGGTTAAAATCATGTTCATTTGCCTACCCTTTTCTCTGATGGTGTGAACTGTATCCTGAAGATGGTAGCCATACCAGGAGCAACCTTGGTAGTCACATCTGGAGGACTGATGATCTTGAAGTACGGTGAGTCTGCTTGGTATACCTTGACCAGTCTGGAAACCTGCAAATATTTCAAGATGAGATTAATGATTTTTGTGTTACTCTATTTCAAGGAGGGAAATATGAGGGAGAGACATAAGATTTTGTAGCAACTCTTTGATATTTTTTTTTGTTTTTAATGTTACAGTCTAGTAGTGAGTTAAACTTGAAAATAAATACAGGAACAAAAACATGAAGGTTTATAATTGTGAGTTGCAATTTACAATCACATACAGGAATAAAATTATACAGACAAATTATAATGTTACCAGTTTGTCTTCAACTCTGTAGATTCAAATTTAACAGATTATGTTTCAAACATATCCCTTTTCAAGTCCTTATCATTTCAAATGTAAATGTACCTAACAAGAAAAACCAATATGTAGTGACATTTTGGAATTTTTGGCAGTCATGAAATATCACTGCATCCAAACACTACACCATAGATCACTTTTTCTCTCTTTTGGGGTCTCTTTAGTTGACTCTCACATTAAAGAATGTATATACATATATTTTTTTTTTGAATACCTTGTCATTATTTCTGAGTAGAAGAGGGACTTCATAGATGATGTGAGGCTCAAACTGCTGGAATGTGACCTCTGATGGGAATGGCTGGAACAGAGGCTCATCTATATCAACATTGGAGAACTGTATGTACACAAGTAGGTAAAAATACATGAATCATATTAATGATAATAATAATAATAATAATAATAAAACTTTTTTGTATAGCGCATAACACATAGGCATAATTGCATGTCCCTATGCGCGTTACAGAACAGAGTTCATAATTGTGAGATTCTTACAAAACGCCAAATAAGTATGTTTTCAAACTACTTCTGAACTTTTAGTTTGTGTCTATTATTTCGAGGGTTTTCTGGAAATTTATTCTATAAAATAGTGGCTGCATATGAAAATGACACTTCCCAGTAATATTTTGTCATAGTTCTTGGAACATAACATGATATTTTTTTTTTTACTGGAACGCAGCATTCTTTCTGGTTTGTACTGTATTGACACAATACTGACATACTGACGCAATAATGTTTTTTTTTTAATATTTTTGTAAATACTGTATTTATGCAACAATATTTTTTTTCTCTCTGAGGTCATTTTTGTTACTTAATTCTGTTTGCTATATCATTGATTTTTCAGTTACATTTATTAGCAGAGCCCTTTTGCATAAAAAGTTGCATTTAAATGCAAATAAACAATCAAACACAACTTGATTATCAACCAATCAGGTATGCGTATTTGGGACTGGAGTTACGTTAACAACAACTTTTGTATGCAAGAGGGGCGGTACATTTGTGAAAATTATCTTATGCTTACCTTTTGGTGAGTATTATCACCCATATCCATAAGCTCAATGATTTTGGGTATGTGCATCAAGTGTGTGTTTGCCAGCTTTTCCTCTGTTGTTTGTGATATTTCTTTCATAAATGAAGAAGGGGTCATCTGTAACAAGACAAGAACATCATATTGAGAAAGATTTTCAAAGTAGTTAACTTGTAAAAAAAAAAAAATGACACTTCAGCATTGGACAAGAATGAAAATAGAACAATATCCAATTACTGATAAATCCACATTTCATCAATGTACAGGCTGCAACCAATTTAAAAGATTTAAAACAAATGAACAGTCCTAATTGAATTCAAAGAATGATCATCAAAATATTTTCCAAATATTAAAAATATGAAAATTAGTGCATGAAGAGTAAACCCCTCATAAAACATTTGTATAATTTGATAAGGTCCATACATGTAGGTGTTATATATAATATTTCATGGTAAAAAAAAGTTCTTGTTTATGTTACGATTTTCCTCAAAGTCATGAATGACATTATTAACATACCTTTATTTCTTCTTTAGGCCCTCGTATAAGTTTTGGATTCCTGGGAGCTGTGACTTTGCTGTCATAGGCAGGTGTTTCCCCGCAGTCTGTTGCCCGCTGGGCGGTCTGCTTCTCCAATCCAGTAGGCATGGTACCGGTATGTGTCTAAGCACATTCAAGAATTCTGCACAGGAGATAAGGTTGTATGCAAATTTTTAAAAATATTAGGGGAGCTTTGGGATTTGAAGAATAGAATAAAATTTATAGTACCGGTAATTCAGGTGGCTAAATGACATGTCTGCATATAAAATTTAATATTTTACATAATTTCATTGAGCTTGGATTACTATGGAATTTCAGAATATCTTTCTCATGGTCATTCAAGGTAAGAGTTGAAATTCGGGAAACTAATATGAGATGAAGTGTGTTTATGAACTATTAGAATTTTATTTATTCCTTTTATAAATGAGATGATTTAATGTTCCATCAAATGCATTTCAGAAAGTAAAAGATCATAACATGGGGCCTCTTAATTTGCAGGCATGTTAACGCTGACATTGTCTGCTGTATCATGAACCAATGCAGTTGAATTGAGGCAATTTGATATATTTTTCTTTTGTTTTCAATTATCATCCAAATCAAATTTATACTGCTGTAATATAAACTTAACCAACCTCAGTAAAAAAGAAATGTAAAAAACAAAAAACAATACCGGTATGCACTTTCTGAAACAACCACAGATAGTTTGATCAAACCAATTGTTTGTAGAATCATCAGCACAAAATTCATACGCAAGGTGGCATATAATTTTCATAAAGGGTAAAATCAAGGGCACTTTACTGATTAGTTACAGTATAGCCACACAAAGAATCAAAAGTGTTTTACATTGATGCAAAACTCATATCATTGCGAAGGGGAAGCCTTGCTGATCAAATACAACAACTCTTTTCTTCAAAATATGTTTGGGGCCCGCAGTAATCAACTCTCAAAAATGTTAGTTTTGAGATCCAGATTTTCAGCCTTAATCAGCGGTCCTTTATAGAGCATCAATATTTGTGACGTCACATACGGAACACGGCTGGCTAGCTGCAGACTGCTACACGGCACTGAGCCGTTTGTCCAGTGTGTGACGTCACTATTCAGAGCTCGCTACGCTCGTGTGTTTGGCTTACGTTCGGGGGCGCTTGGGGGGTCTAAGAAGGGTCTTGAAAAATTGCATTTTACGCCTTTCCACGATATCTATATGATTTCTCAGCAAATTATTCATGTTTTTCAAGAGAAAATCTTTCCATCCATTTGTAATTTGTTCTAATTATCAGTTGTTAGTGAATTTTCTTTGTGTAGCTCCTTTAAGTATTCTTAGGTGCACACACAGAGTTCGGTGAATTTACCCCAGCGCCATTATCATAGAGTATCAAATTGGCAACGAGAAAACAGGGTTTTTGTTCATGTACACAGCATGTATCTGCATTTCAGGCGGGTCCATGCAGCATCAACTCTCTTAAGAGGTCAGTGTTTTTGTAATGTAAATCGCAAGGTAACTCATTATCATCAGGAACACGTCAGGTAAGCAATTTGTTATCACTCCGGTATCAAAATCTCATATTTTTTGTTTAAGGAGAATACTAACCCCTAAGAATAAGTGTGCAATAGATCTTACAAACGTGTACAAGAGATATATACCGGTAAATGAAGATTTCTTGGCATATGATGTAATGCCTTTTAGCATGACATGGGAGCAAACATTTTCTTGAAAATGTGACATACTAGGCAGAGTTGTACATGTATCATGCACCAAGCTTTAATTGGAAAGACTTTTTAATTCAATAACAAAACCTTTACCTGACTCGGGGCCAATCAGGTATAATATGACTACAGACGACGCGACCGCAGCAATCACGTGCGTGCAACATACGCAGAAACCGAAGCGTGAGGATCGAGAACTTCGGTCTGTTTCGTGAACGCTAGCACGCGCTGACCATGTAGAGATTAAGTCACTGACTACCGTTAATCAAGTCCATTCATTTACGTGCAGTTGTCCAAAAGAAGATGTAGATGGCGCTAACCAGTATTTGCCAAGCTACACTCCCTTTAAAGGGATCTGGTAACTTTGTCTTAGATCCTTTAGAAATAATCCTTGATTTAGCTTAGGCTGTAATGATAAATATAAAATTTTAGGTCAGTCAGGAACTCCATGACTTTTACAAGCCGATCGCCTGTCTGATTATCAAGATATTAATGATTGGAATTACAAATTTTGAAAACCGTTCGCCGAACCACATTTGCAAAGGAAAATGTATCCTTAAATACATTGTATCACATTTTAGCGATGTAATCGGTTACCCCGCTACCCGAATCTGAAAAATTGAATATCTTACGCGTATCTGTAAGGAATATGGGTACCATAAAATGAGCTGTATTTCAAGTATTTTTCAGATTTAAAGCCAGATTTTTTTAGTACCGCAAACTCAAAAGTATCTCACCGCACGTATCCTATCACTGCAGTCCGATACTATAGCGCCATATCTCTGTTGAGTTTAGATTCCTATTTCTGATCACCGCACTCGCAGGTGTAGTTTTTGGCTGTGCGGGGGATTACGTCAGACCTGCCAACCTCTGGAGTTCAAAAACTGTATTCTTTAGTCCCAAAAGTTGTATTTTACTGACAAAAGTTGTATTCTTGAAAATAAACACGGATTTTTACGCGGATCAATGCCTCTTACAGTTTCTACCTACAGGAAGAATTTTTTTTATTGATCATTGGTTGAATATGCATGATTTCGTCATGACTGGTGTGTTCGATAAACCAATGAACATCCCCAAATTGCCGATGTGAGATGCTTGTAAGATACTTTACAGGACAGAATGGACATTTTGCCATTGAAAATGGCGGACGCACCCACAAAATATCAATTTACAACAACAAAAAAACAACAAAAACAAAAAAAAAAAAAAAAAATCGCTTTTTTTTTTTTTTTTTTTTTTTTGAAAATCGTATTTTATTAAAGAAAATCGTACTGTCGTATTTGCTTCTAAAAATCGTACTAAATACGACTAAATCGTACTGGTTGGCAGGTCTGTTACGTGCTCTGGCCGCACATGCTATAGATCAGCAGGCGAAAACACGGCGCGCTCCCTACTATCGTCCGAAAACTGCTTCCGAAAAAGTGAACAAGGAAATGAATTGCCATGGCAATATTCATTTTCATGTTCACTGTTTCGGAGGTAAAATATTGCCATGGCAATCATGATTTTTTTCTCGGGGATTCTTCTCACGTTTAAATAATAATAGTATTGGCTTCATGATTTTAACAAATAATGATAATAAGTAGGAAGTAAAGAGTAAAAAATAGGATTTTGCTGTTTAGTGGCCGAAAACTGCCTCCTTTACTTGTGTTAAAGTAAGTGATAGGCACTATAGTGTAGTATAAGCAAAAATAATTATTATTGCAAGTTGCAAAATTTGCAACTGATAATGTTATTTGCAATCGATTGCAACTCAACTTTCTTGCAATACCCCACTACTGGCACTAGAACTAGATCAATCATCTATGATCTAGTCTCCTAAATTTCCTAGGATTTTTTTTGTAGGGTGTCTGAACGATTTTCAATTTGGGATTGTTTTTCACCATTTTTCTTTGATATTTGAATTAAAAATGTAATCAGAATAATACATTTCAAATTTCAAGTCTCACCGATGTTTCTATCAAAAGATCGACCAAATCAATTGATTCATAATACATGTATATGCAATATTTTTTCCCGTAACATGAGAGTAATTTTAATAGTTTCATACTATTAATTAAATGTATTGTTAACTGTAACTGTATAATTGTTTTAAATGGGGGCACGCTACAAGAGTCCTATCTCGCACCCCGGGGCAACGTGTCTGACACGGCCGGTTGTAGCAACTACTCCGAAGATCAAGATTACAGTAATCTTGATCTAAGGAGACACGAACGAACGATCAAAAGATACAGCCCCTCCGAAACGCTGCAATATTCATAGGATTTTGCTCAGAATCGACGAAAAAGACGTACACGCAGAGTTATGTTGTTTTGCTAAATTTAGCCAAACAGCTGTATCGCGCGATATGCAATCGTATGCATAGCGTACGCATGTCATGCGCAACTTGCAGCTTGAGCCATGCTGTCTCCACAATATGTGCCATTGACTAGTATGGCTAGCCGTTCGCACCATAAAACCCGCAAGTGAATACACGTTATCGTCAATGGCAATATCGCGGAGACAACGTGCATGTTGTCTCCGCGATATTGCCATCGACTATAACGTGTATTCACTTCCGGGTTTATTGCGCGAACGGCCACCCATACTTTCATTCACTATAATGTGTAATTGAATTTGGGTTTCGTTCGTACGCGGAAATGTTACGCGATGTAACCATGGTTTGGACTGAGCGGAGCGCACGCCTCCTAATTAGCTGATCCACCAAATAGCGAGAAGGGTATTTTTAAACTGTTATCAGTTGTGATCCCTGGGGGCTAGCGAAAATATAAGCACATAGAATTGTTCCTTAGGACTGGGACTACTTATCGATCGGGGCGTCATATCTCAAAAGTGACAGACCTCAGAGTTAGCCAGGACACAATGTTTAAATTGCTGTTTTGACCAAGATATTTTTAGAATTTCGGGGCTACGCCCCTTTGGAAATATTGGAATTCACCTGCTCTTTCATATGACACCTCATTTATTGAGTATCACCTTCAGGATCACAACAGATAAAGGTTTGAATCTCGAATTGAAAAAAAAAATTGACTTTTTTTGCATGGTCGCGCAATGCATGTACACTGCATAGGGATGCGTGTAATCTCTATGGGAAGAATTTTAGCACACAACATCGGGTGCGCGATCAGACACCTATCATGAGATCTAAGTTAACTAACTGTTAGATCTAGCTTTTAGCAACCTAGTAAGTCAAAAATTGTAATTACCCCCTTTGCATGTTTTGAGATAATGGTTCCCAACCCGCTGTTAGAATGTTTTTCGATGCATCACCCGAAGTAGACCGAAAGCTTCAGTCTCTATAATCGTCGGTTGTTCCACTGAGACTACGTCTGGCTCCACTAGACCTCCGGTTATAGAGACAGAACGATCGCCTATGCCAGCCTGTGTTGAACTTATTCCGCTAGATTTTAGCCGCTAGGCCCCTCCCACAAACTTGCCACGGCCGTATTGTTATGCCCCCAAAATCCCCCAAAATGTCATTTTACCTCGTCCATTTCCAATTTTAAATTAGGCCTAGGCTATAATACATCGGTTCCACTTACTAACTTGATTGATATAATCCGTTTAATGGTCCCTTTTAAGGAAATTATCGGTCAAAATCGACATCCATGTTGAAAATCTTGCAAGCCGTGTTAAACTCTCGCTGCCGTCAATCTCATCCCTTCTAGTCTACGCCGAAGGCAAAATGATTATGAAGGAAAAACTGTGATAACGCCATTACGAACGTGTAGATGGCGCACAGTTTTTCCTTCATAATCATTTTGCCTTCGGCGTAGACTAGAAGGGATGAGATTGACGGCAGCGAGAGTTTAACACGGCTTGCAAGATTTTCAACATGGATGTCGATTTTGACCGATAATTTCCTTAAAAGGGACCATTAAACGGATTATATCAATCAAGTTAGTAAGTGGAACCGATGTATTATAGCCTAGGCCTAATTTAAAATTGGAAATGAACGAGGTCAAATGACATTTTGGGGGATTTTGGGGGCATAACAATACGGCCGTGGCAAGTTTGTGGGAGGGGCCTAGCGGCTAAAATCTAGCGGAATAAGTTCAACACAGGCTGGCATAGGCAGTCGTTCAGACTTCAGTCTCTATAACCGGAGGTCTAGTGGAGCCAGACGTAGTCTCAGTGGAACAACCGACGATTATAGAGACTGAAGCTTTCGGTCTACACCCGAAGAAGCTCCGAGTCCGACGCCTTCGGCATCGCCATCGGCGTCGGAGCTTCCCGGAGTTAAGTCTTATTTAGATCCTCTAGCTAAATTAAATAGAGTCTAGATTTGTGTAAATATGAGAAATCATAGATCGAATATCACATTTCTTACATTTTTTTAAATCTCCGCGAACTTTGGTCACCCCACACGCGGAATAGTGAAATCATAACGAATGGCAATCAATCATCGACATCGTGATTTCAGACGCAAAAGCAGTACACCAAATAGAACGAGTGGGACCAATTCCAGATTTTGCTCTGACCCGAAAAAAACAGTCGACATCAATGCCTCGGCAAACCATCATTCACATAAACAATTCTTCGTCATACATACCATGCAAGAAATTGGATGCAACAGTATCAAATTCTACAAATTATAACTTCAATTTCTATCCATATTATACAGTTTGAAGCAATTCTTCTCGTCAAAACAACATATTTGTCGCCATTTTTCTCGTAAGCTGTTTAGGTTGTCATGGATTCATCCAGAGTTCCACTATCGACTTCTCTAATTGGCCGTACGAAGCATATCAATTATGCAAATTAGGGCAACAGACGAATGAACGCCTGCGTAAGAACCACTACCATTCTTCTTATGAATATGCATTTTCCAAACCCTGGGTTCGGCTCGTGCTTGTTCGATATTCGCAAAAACTTCTTCTCGATTAAAAAATAGATATTAATCTTTTAAAAGTGACCTTATTAAACACACTAAAGCACAATGTGTACACACTCGTTATTTGTTTCGGGTTAAATATATTCTCTCTTCTCCTTCATTATGTACGTGTTCTCCTTCAATCTATCCTCTTCTCCTTTGTCATGTATTTCTTTCATTTTTCTTCGATCTATCCTTTTTCTCCTTCGTTATATATATTTCTGAGTCCTTCAACCAGGGGCGTAAATCCCGGGGGGGGGGGGGATGGGGGGCTGTACCCCCCCCCCCCTGGCTTGAAGTAGGGGGGATGGCCTGTACAATCATCCCCCCCCCCCCCTGATATTGCAAAAAAAAGAGAGAGAGAAAAAAGGAAGAAGAAGAAGAAGAAGAAGAAAAAAATGTGATTGTTTCAATTTTAGCATAATACATGAGAAATGAGTTATTTTTTTAATGTAAGTATAACTGTATAGCCTACACGGATATAGTATGTCACGATCATTAAGAGTAGTTGCGCGACGTGCGCGAACAAGCACTTCATAAACTTTAGAATAACTTTTCGTTATTTTGCAAGGTATTATTATAGCCCAGACGTAAAGTGCGCCAGCGCGCGAGCGCTTAAAAAGTGCAATCATGTACAGTAGATGCCCGGCTCCCCCACTTAGTATTATTTAGGGTACGCGTACGCTCGTTCCCGCCCTTTAAAAGCACCCCCCCCCCCCCCACCCCCCCCCCCCCCCCAACCCTATCTCAGGACTGCCAACATTTCTGAATCCCCCTTTCGCCGGCTTTTCGCTGGCTTTTCCTACCTTGGAGACCCCCCCCCCCCAAATCCGGAACACTGCTAAATGTACAACCCCCCCCCCCCCATTTCAGGTGAGCTCTAGTCGATCGAGGGGGACTGGGGGCCAATACTTTTACTTTTCAAAATGAAATAATCCTGAATGAGCTTTCAAAGCTAGCAGGAATTTCAGGAATTTGATCCCGGGATTTGATCAATTTTTCTATGATATTCAAGATATTTTATAACCTCCTTTTTACATTTCTCAGGAGTCCAAAGAGAGAGAGAAAAAACCCACCCCCTTTTTAAAGAAATTAAGAGTCGAGAATGGTACAACGAATCGTCTTTTTTCTCTAATGATTTAATGAAACGTAAAAGCTTCCGCGCTTCACGCGGGAGGGGGGAGGGAAAAATTGAATTCAGATGAGGATTTAAAGTCAAGAACGGTACAACGAATCGTCTTCTTTCTCCAATGATTTTATGAAACGTAAAAGCTTCATTAAAGGGAAGGGGGAACTGAATTCAGACGAGGATTAAGAGTCGAGAACGGTACAACGAATCGTCTTCTTTCTCTAATGATTTAATGAAACGTAAAAGCTTCCGCGCTTCGCGCGAGAGGGGGGGGACTGAATTCAGACGAGGATTAAAAGTCGAGAACGGTACAACGAATCGTCTTCTTTCTCCAATGATTTTATGAAACGTAAAAGCTTCCGCGCTTCGCGCAGGAGGGGGGAAGGGAAAAACTGAATTCAGATGAGGATTAAAAGTCGAGAACGGTACAACGAATCGTCTTCTTTCCCTAATGATTTAATGAAACGTAAGAGCTTCCGCGCTTCAACTCTCTAGGTTCTCTCTCTCTCTCTCTCACTCCCCCCCCCCCCTCCCCCCTCTCTCTCTCTCTCTCTCTCTCCTCCTTCTTGTTCCCCTCTTTTCCCCCTTTCTCACTTTGATAGTATCACATGTTTCTAAGCAAGAATTCCCTTTATTCAAATTATTATTTCATTCTTGTTCGAAAGAACACATTATTTAAAATCTAGAATTATATGCAAAGTTAAAGCACCTTCATCCTCAAGCATATTCGGTTGCGAAAAATGACAACACGGGACAAAAGTTTCTGGAAGATAAATTTTGATTTCATTGAATAGTAGATATCATATCATTAACAATTTTGCCCGAAATATTATTGATGCAAATCTACTAAATTTCTAGTGACCCTGATTGTTTTTGGAAATCTATGTATACACAGATTCTGAAGTGCAATAGAATCAATGTGTATACTTTTGCTAGCTAATTTTTTAAAAAAGTATGATTAATTGAGCATAAATATTGGTTCAAAACAATGTTAAATCTAAAACAATACTCCGTTCGGTTATTTTAAAAAATCAAACTGGGAGAAAGACGATTAAAGAGAAACAAAAATGTAACTGGAAGGAAAAAAAAGATTAGGCCTATAATCTCCTAAAGGAGAACCTTTTAACAATTTTTTCGTTTTCTGGTTATCTTTTTTAATCTTATAACAAAATGCCTCTAACTGTTCCTACAAACACCAATTTACATGTCCGGCGGCTGCCGGTGTCATTTGAGCCCCCCCCCCCCCTCACCCCTCCTTCCAACAAAATCTAATTTGGCATCATTTTTACTGTGCCCCCAGCAACAATTTAGACGGTTAAGTGTTCTTTTTATTTCATCATTTGTCTTGAGTTTGTTTGTTTGTTTGTTTGAATGTTTGATTTTTTTTTTTTTTTTTTTTTTTTTTGGGGGGGGGGGGGTGTATTTTTAATGTTCAGTTCAGATTGATTACAGAACAAGCAAAAACGGATTTGTATATATACCACCACCCAGGCGCGTACGCAGGGGGGGGGGGGTTGGGGGGTTAAACCCCCCCCCCTTTGGAAATTTTTTGTGTGTAAACCCCCCTAAAAAAAACCTAAAACCCCCCCCTTTTGGATTTTTTTTTTTTTTTTTTTTTTTTTTTTTTAATTATTAAAAAAAAAAAAAAAAAAAAAAAATTATTCCCATGGCCGACCTAAAAAAGGTGACCTTACCCCCCCCCCCCCAACGGAGCAAAATGTCAAATTTCCAAATTTCGAGACCAAAAAAAAAAAAAAAAAATGTCCTCTTACCCCCCCGCTTATTCAGCGGTCGGCTGAGTCGTTGCGATTTTTTTGGGACCAAAAAAAAAAAAAATGTGTCCTCTTACCCCCCCCCCCCCCCCCCCCCCCCCCCCCCCCCCCCGCTTATTCAGCGGTCGGCTGAGTCGTTGCGATTTTTTTGGGACCAAAAAAAAAAAAAAATGTGTCCTCTTACCCCCCCCCCCCCCCCCCCCCCCCCCCCCCCCCCCCCCGCTTATTCAGCGGCTGGCTGAGTCGTTGCGAAATTTTCGGACCGATTTATAAATGTTAAAACCCCCCCCTTGAAAAAATCCTGCGTACGCGCCTGCCACCACCCCCCCCCCTCTTTCCCCGCAAGAGAAGTGTGGTTCTTCCACACTCCACAATTTAATTGTTAAACAATTTATCCCCTCCCCCACCTCACCCCGAGTGTTTGAATGATTTAAATTCAAAATTGATATCGTTGTACTTAACTACCAAACGCCAATTTCCTACTTTCATTGCAAATTAATGAGAAAGAAAATCATGAAAAGAAAAAGATTTTTTATCAATGCCCAACATAGATTCTTTTCTACAAGGTAGACTTGCAAAATAAATGAAGGATGATTTAAGTAGTGTAAGTTATAGAGACAATTACTGTTTACTTTCTCCCAGTGGTTTGGACATAATGCCAGATATGGAAGAATAGTCTGGTAAACACCATCTTGCGAGGAATAACTAGTGGGAGAAGAAAGAGAGGCAGACCAACTAGGATTATCCTAGGATATGGACTGGTAACATCAAGCAGTAGGCGGCCAGAACAGCTGAAGACAGGAAGTTATGAAGAACCTGTGTCTCAAGGTCCATTTCATTGTCGCCCGAACGGCCTCCAAGTTATGGGACGTAAATAGAATCTCTCCAATCGCATTTCTTCGAAAAAAATAGTTTTGAGCCCCCCCCCCCCACCCCCCTTGCATCCGCCTCTAATATAGCTAGATTGTTCAGGAATACATAGCTTGTGAAATTAATCGTCCTAATTCAGTGATAGGGAGAAAACTAACAACGGTCACATTTGCAAATAATCAACTTAAGATTTTAAAAATAGGTTATCAATATTATCTATAAGCCTATATTTCAGTAAATAACGATTTCGAAAAGGGCCTTGTCTTAATAATAATAATAATAATATGTCTTGTTTACCCAGGGTAGCCTCATCAGTATTCATACTGTTTTCCCTGAGGGCCCTGCTATCATATTATTACCCCGGTCATCGGATTCAGGCTTACCCGCACACAATGTATGCACATTCTCCGCTCCTTTGACGATTCAGCAAAAGGAAATGTATAAACTTACTGAATTCGAAAAACTAACCTGAATAAAGAAATTCTGTTATCCATATGAGATGATTATTATATCCTGATACCTGTATTTTTTTAAAATCACATTTCCATAGCGACAAAATAAAAAACTGATACTTTTGCATTTCGTAAATCGAACGACGGTCGATGAACTCCAAACAAGTTTGGCGAACTTCGGAAATCTGGGTTGCCTAGATTTTAGGGCCTCTTCCAATCAATGACTATAAACACTTCCAAATTTCAAGAATTATGACTGGTTGGCAGTTATAGCTCCGCTCCCTTTCTTCAGCTATAATTTCCTTCGTACGACAGGCCGGAAAATAAAATATTCTATGGGGAACCAAAAAGGAAAAAATATGATCGAAAGACCTAATTTTTGTACAAGTATATGTCGCTTGAATAGTAAATATCTTTTGGAACATTGTATAGTCTGTCATTTTTGTCTATAGTTTAAATTACCATTCGTCGTCTGGGGGAATTGTTTTTGTATATCAGTGTACAACAAGTCGTGTCTAAAGGCCATAAATCAAGGAGGAAAATCTCAAGTGAAATTAGTTTGACAGTCGAAAATAAATCAAATTCAGCGTTTGTGTAAGGACGAACTTTTCAGATAT